GATGTTTCTTGGCTCTGTGCTGCAGATTGGGAGATGGTCAGTCACAGTTAAACTACATTGGGTCGCAGGTGACAGATCTTGGTGCATGACTTCTGTTTATGGACCGCAACAAGATGATGAAAAGCTTCTCTTCCTCGAGGAACTCTCCTCCATTGCAGCCAGTGTTGATGAGCAGTGGATGGTCACAGGAGACTTCAACTTGATAGCGGCAGCGGCTGACAAGAGCAATTCCAGAATTAACAGAAGACTAATGAACGCCTTTCGCAATAAGCTGAATGAACTTGAGCTGAAAGAGGTCTACCTCTTTGGCAGGAGATACACCTGGTGCAATGAACAGGAAAGGCCAACTCTTGTGAAGCTCGACAGACTGTTTGTCACTTCTCATTGGGAGGAGAGTTTCCCAGATGCACACCTCCAAGCCCTAAGTACATCAGGATCAGACCACTGCCCCTTGCTTCTCACCTGTGGGGATCCTGGCCCAAAAAAGAGAAAGTTCAGGTTTGAAACCTACTGGACAAAAATAGATGGATTCATGGATGTGGTGAAAGAAAGTTGGCAACAACAAGTTGATTCAGAAGATCCTTATGCAGTTCTCTATGTCAAGCTGGCCAGGCTCTATAAAAAACTTTCCAAATGGGGTCAGAAAAAGATCAGTCTCTTTAGTTAGCAACTCCACATTGCCAACGAAATCATTTTAAGGTTTGATGTGGCACAAGAAAGCCGACTTCTGTCTGAACCTGAGAGGAACCTAAGAGCAGCTTTGAAGGCCAAATGCCTGACCCTTGCATCACTGGAAAGAATAAGAATCAGACAGAGAGCCAGGGTGCGCAACTTGAAGGAAAGAGACGCTGGCACTGCTTATTTTCATATGAAAATGAAAGCTAGGAGGAGAAAGCAGCTAATACATGTGCTTGAGCACGAAGGCAGAATTGCCTCAACACAGAATGATATGCAAGATCTTGCAAAGGAATACTTTCAGATGATTATGAGCGAGCCAAACAGCGATTCAAGACAGTTTAATTTCCAACACCTAAAGCTAAACACAGCAGATCTCTCTATGCTGGATGATCAGTTCTCTGAAAATGAGGTGTGGGAAGCAATTAAAAGCCTGCCAAATGAGAAATCGCCAGGTCCAGATGGTTACACTGCTCTCTTCTACCAAAAGTGCTGGGATATAATAAAGGGGGACATCATGAAAGCTTTTGAGAAGTTCTGCAGAGGAAACAGTCAAAACCTTGAAATGTTAAACACAGCGGTGATCACTCTGATCCCCAAGAAAGACTCCCCTACACTGCTGAAAGACTATAGGCCTATAAGCCTCATACATAGCTTCGCCAAGTTAGCAGCAAAGGTCATGGCACAGAGGCTGGCCCCAAGAATGAATGAACTTGTGCCCTACACACAGAATGCATTCATAAGAGGTCGATCTATTCATGAAAACTTCATCTTTGTTAAAGGGCTCGTTCAGCAATACCACAAGCAACACAAGGAAATGATTCTACTCAAACTCGACATCTCCAAAGCCTTTGACACAGTGTCTTGGTGTTTTCTATTGGATATGCTGAAGTGGAGAGGTTTCGGTGCCAAGTGGAGATTATGGCTGGTATCTCTGTTCCTCACGGCTGAAACCAACATCCTTATCAACGGGAATGAATCAAACCCTTTTAAGCCGGCTAGGGGATTGCGGCAGGGAGACCCTTTATCGCCACTGTTATTCGTTCTGGCAATGGATGCACTACAAGCAGTTGTAGCTCAAGCGAAAGCAAGTGGACTGCTATCTGAACCAGCACCAAGACGCCCAGTTCCAAGTATATCAATATATGCTGATGATGCAGTATTATTTTTCAAACCAAGTCAACAAGAAGCCAAGGTAGTCAAGGCAATTCTACAGATTTTTGGTGCAGCCAGTGGATTAATGACCAACTACAATAAAACTGCAATCACTCCAATTCAATGCAGTCAGGAACAACTTCAGGTGGTGGCTGATGAGTTGCAATGCAATATTCAATTATTCCCTATCATCTACCTGGGATTACCACTGTCCACAAGAAAGCCAACAAAAGCTGAGGTGCAACCAATTCTCGACAAGCTTGCAAACAAAGTGGCAGGTTGGAAGCCCAAGTTGTTGTCCCCTGATGGCCGGCTCTGCTTGATTAAATCCGTTCTCATGGCCCTCCCAGTTCACTTCATGTCTGTATTGCAACTTCCAAAGTGGGCAATCAAGGACATCGAGCGGAAATGTCGGGGATTTCTTTGGAAGGGACAGCAGGAGGTGAGTGGTGAACATTGAACATTGCCTTGTAGCCTGGAAAGATGTCTGTACACCAGTGGAAAATGGCGGCTTGGGCATTCGAAACCTAGAGCTCTTCGGCAAAGCGATGCGCCTGAAATGGCCAGCCAATCGCTTACATCAGAAGGATAGGCCCTGGACCCTTGTTGACTTCAGACTGAGCGCAGATGACGAGAAAATCTTCCAATCTGCATCTAAATTCTGTGTGGGCAATGGTAGAGACACTAAATTTTGGTCGGACAATTGGCTAGGTGGAGGAAGCATTGCCTGGAGATGGCCCACCCTTGTGACTTTTATTGGTAGAACTAATCTCACAGTAGAACAGGGACTCCTGGGACATCGATGGGTGAGAGATTTGCAAGGATCTCTCTCGGATATAGCAATGATGCAGTATTTTCAGCTTTGGGACGAAATCCAACAAATCAATCTCAGTCAGGAGGAGGACACAATTTGCTGGAAGCTCACTCCGGATGGTTCTTTCTCAGTGTCCTCAGCTTATGATCTCTTTTACATGGCTCGTGAGATTTCTCCTTGCGGACAGCTAATTTGGCAGACAAAAGCTCCGTCGAAGGTCAGATTTTTTCTTTGGCTAGCAACAAAGGGCAAATGCTTGACGGCGGACAACTTGGCGAAGAGAGGATGGCCCCATGAAGATCACTGTGTACTCTGCCAACGCGAACAGGAGGATTGCCTACACTTGTTCATCACCTGTGATTTCTCCAGGCGAGTATGGCAGCTGCTGCGAGCATGGGTCAATGTGGATTTCCCTCTGCCAGGACAAGCGGGAGAGGGGCTGATAGGCTGGTGGATGGTGGCACGATGCCATTTTCGAAGCAGCTACAGGAGCAACTTTGACAGCGTTTTCGCCTTGACCTGTTGGCTGATTTGGAAGGAGCGCAATGCCAGAATTTTTCAGCACAAGCAGCAGACCGTGGAGCAGTTGCTAGAAGACATCAAAGAAGAAGTTTGGATGTGGAAGTCTGGAGGCTATTTTCAGATTATGTAATAGAGACATCATACTTTCTTTGTAGCCTTCGGGCTTTTGTGTATGGCTTTGATTGGGGGGGACCTGTCCCCAGCCTAATCTCGACATCCTATTGTCGATATAAAGCCCATTTGTAATTTGTTCCCCTTTTCCTTAATGAAATTTGGTCGACCGAACCTTTCGGCCAACCCGGCAAAAAAAAAATTGTACTAGTGTGTTGCTATACTAGTGTGATTTGGTCAGAATTCTTCGGGCTACCATATGAACAGTCAAAATTTGAGGCGTATGGCTGTTGACTCCTAACTTTTTTTAACATTAAGGAAGTAGAATAAAGCATGCGGATAACATGAGATAAACATGTGTGATCTCAAAAACTTTGATACAAAATTTTTCTCAGAAATGGTTCAAAAAAAATGTTTCTCAGAAAGGAGAATTATGCAATGAGCCAGTGACCCATGTGATTCCCACAAGAAAAGAGAATCCATTGATATCAAGAACTCGGAGCTTAATTTCCTTTACAGAAGAAACAAAGATGATGATACAAGAAAATGTAAGATGACAAAAAACCCTCCTGAATTCCAGACTTCTTCCGATCGAGATTCGAGAGGCAGATCTGATGAATTGATTAAAGGCAACGTATTTCAAATTCAATTGATACATGAACATGTTCAAGATTCAGTCTTGAACGTTGAGCAGGTTTGATCCGGTCATATAATTATCAAATTCAACTCCAGCCCAGTTTATGCAAGAAATTTAAATAGGATTTGTACAGCAAAGTTGTTCGAATTTGATGTGTATAAGATATCCATTTGTTTAAGTGTGTGGCTGGTGTAGCTAGTGCCGTGGGTCTTAAGGAAGAATGGTTTGGTCAGTAGCTTGAGGGATTTGAATTCTTGTTGTGCGATAAACTTGAGTTCAAAAAAAAAAACAAGAAGACATCAGTTTTATATTTCATTTCGTGTATGTACTTTGAATCCGGTTCGTGCAAGAAATCTGAATTATATATTTCAATTCATGCTGTTAGCTCATTCAAATAGACATTTGCATGACGATTGGTGTGCTTTTGGTGTGGAACTGGTATAGCCGTATAGGTTTGACTTTTTGTGAACTTAATCAAACCCAGCGTGGGAACTTAATCAAACTCCAGCGTGATTCATGCAAGAAATTTGAATTTAACTCATGCAAGGAAGCGTATTCAATTTCAAGCTGTGCAATAATGCACATATCTTAAGCAAAAAGTCTGCATCATAGTACTGATGCAAGCTTGAAACAGCTAAGAACTTGATCAAATTCAACGGTTTTTGTGGTGGAAATTTAAATCCAGTTCATCCAAGAGACGTATTCAAATTGTTTGATTTGCATACGAGCAATAATGCAATTTCTTTAAGCAAAGAGTTGACATCATGGTATGAAAATAATTTTGAATCAAAAGTGAACTTCGATCGCATTTGCTCAGAAATTTGGTTCAGATTAACAGCAATTAGAATAGTGCAACCTTTGTGCGTAAGCAACTGTATAAAAATCGTCAATATTTTTATATTTTTGGGCACTTATCAATACTATCTTCAACTAGGAATGACGCAATTGCACCCCAAACAAATATGCTTTTCTAAAAACTGACGTCAATGAATGATAATGATTTTTCAAGGCCATTTCAACCAGCTACATCTTTCTGGCAAGATAATGCTTGACATAATTCTGCAGCTTCTTCTCAAGCGTACTACTACTATAAATAGGGGGGCATATTGAACTGAGTTCATATCGAGCTTTCAATCTCTCATTTCATCCAACTATACAAGTTCCTGAAGAGTTTACAAGTGACCCAGAAGATCAAGATGTCGTGCGGTGGAAGTTGCAACTGTGGTTCCTGCGGATGCAGCGGTGGCTGCGGGTACGTTCAATCTTCAGCTACTGATTCTGAATATGTTTTGCTATGTATTTATCAAGCTAAACTGGCATAAGCTTTCAGAATTCAGAGATACACCCAATTAGTTCAGGTGATTTTGATGTATTTTCCATGATAAAAGCATATACTCTTCCATCTCCTGTGTTGCCTCCTCCCATTGGTTTGGAGTAATATTCAGATGAAGCTACCCACAAGATGAGAAGAGATTTTTCATTTCTGGTTACCGAATCATCTCATGTTCTACTTTTTGTTTCTTGGTTCAGAAAGATGTACCCTGACCTGGCTGAGAAGATCACCATCACCACTACTACTACAACCACTGTCCTCGGTGTTGCACCTGAGAAGGGGTATGATATATTGATATCTATGAATCTTTTCCTTGATAAAAAAACTAAACTGAAGGGAACTCCTGTCTGAGATTCAGACATGTGACCATATGCTGAAGAAAAGCTGAAGATGTTATCTTTCCATGCCTGAAACTGTTCGCTCCTGAATTTGATTTATTTCTTTGCAGGCAATTTGAGGGAGTTGGCAAAGCAGCTGAATCTGGTGAGGGTGCCCATGGCTGCAGCTGTGGTTCCAGCTGCAAGTGCAACCCCTGCAACTGCTAAAGGCCAAGGCGATCTGTGACTATGTGATGAACAAACAGAGCCCTTCCAGTCTGATGGCTCATGGCTGTGTGACCCTGTGAATCCAGCATTGTGTGTGCGCGCGCGCGTCATGAATTGTCAAAAATTATGGCTGGAAAACCAAGTGGTTTCTGGCAATATGTGTTGTACCGCTTGTATGTAAATGTTGGTAAAAACAAAGTAACATCGCTTATCTCTGAATCTCTAACGTAAGTGGTTGCTTAACAAAAGCTGCTTTGCCCCGCTGTAAGCCTGCTACACTAGCGTGGTTTCTTACATTTTTGCCTGCTATAAATTCTGTTCAATTTCAAGGGGTTCCAAGCTATGTTTCCAACGTTGGGTGAGTTTGGATTAAAAAAAAAAAAGAGAGAAGTTGGATTAGGAGATCCGCGAGTCAGGATCAAACGGATGATGGTGAAGAAGAAAACTACCGGCATATGGTTTGGCTCACAGTGACGAAGCGACCAGTGACTAACCCAAAAACCTTAAAAACATGAGAACAATCAGCCACAGCGCAAACAGAGAACAAGAACGATCATCCACAGAGAGAACCAAGTGGAAGACTACTGACAATTACCATGAGCTAATTCAACAACTCAAGGATTAAATAACCAGGTAAAAACTTCTTTAGGTGGAATGTAGAATCCAGACCATGACCACGAAAACTGCGAACATTCATCACAAATGTGACCAGAGTACCAAGCAAAAAGCACGACCATACTGGAATACATGTCCTTTAATCTAGCGATGATAAGCATGGTAGCGAATATGGATAGTAGCAACAATAAGTAACACTCTAAGTGGCCTTGTCGGCCTTGGCAGCGGTAGCGGCGGCCTGGCCTCTGAGACGACCAGTCCTCCTTGCAGCGATGAGACCAACCTTCTGGCCAGGAGGTGCATCACGGCGGACGGTGGAGGCGTGACCAATGTGCTGGTGGTTACCTCCTCCGTGGGGATGCTCAACGGGGTTCATGGCCACACCACGCACCTTAGGCCAGCAGTTCCTCTTCACGCGGTACTTGTGGTAGGCGTTTCCAGCCTTGAGCATCGGCTTCTCAGTCCTGCCACCACCAGCAACCTGACCGATCATGGCACGGCAGCTGCTGGGGACAATCTTCTTGGCACCAGAGGGGAGCTTGATCCTGCAAGAAAATAATATCAACTAGTTGCATGAGCAATACAGTTTATTTGCACTGAACATTACAAAAAAATTGCAGGAATAAAAATACTTCACAAGGCCAAGGACATCTCTCCAACAGAAGCAAGCATGCGGATCAAACAAGGCGCATATGTAAAGGATTATCTTCTATGTTAGCATACATACATCACTTGATAGCAAAATCATAAGCATAAACATAATTCACCACTTGAAAGAGCGAATTGGCCAATCATATTAATCATGCATAGACAAACAATATCTAGTACATATGCCACCACAATCTTGATGGTAGAACAAATGGAAAGCATCCATGGGCAACAATATCAAGTAGTGCATATACAACTATATTATAACGATAGAAAAAACAGCAGGATTATTGAACAAAACTAGTTGTTTGTGGTGCTCTATTACACAGTATCAACAGAAGCAAATGTTCGAAAATACACTAAAGTAGCTACATCCAAGGCATTCGAATCATCTCTAAACAAATGGCACATATATTTACTTTGGGTCTCTACTAAATAACAAATAATTAAAGCAACATTAAATCGCATCATCCATATTTAGATTGAGCCGAGATCATTTCCAATAGATGAGTTCTTCTAATCACGCGAACAAATCAATTCAGATCCAATAATAGTAGTTACTACCACACAACTACGAGACTAACAAACAGATCTAACACAAAACATCTCATCAATTCAGGCAAAAAAAAGAAGAAGCGAGAGAGATGGGGATCACCTGGATGTGCCGTTATCGGGGTTGTGGCTGATGACGATGGCGTAGTCGCCGGACGCCCTGGCGAAGACGCCGCGGTCGCCGACGTGGTGCTCGACGTTGCAGACCACGGCGCCCTCGGGTACCGACCGGATCGGGAGCACGTTGCCGATGGAGAGCGTGGCGCGGCGGCCGCAGTAGACGAACTGCCCCGTGTACATCCCCTCCGCCGCGACGAACAGCTCCTTCTGGTGCTTGTACCGGAACGGGTGGCGGAACGTCACCTTGGCGAGCGGCGCGCCGCGGCCGGGGTCGTGGATGATGTCGGTGACGACGCCCTTGAGGTAGCCGTTGCGCTCGCCGAAGTCGAGGGAGCGGAACCTCGCGGGGCCCTTGCGGTGGTGGGTGTGGGACTTGAACACGGAGCCCGCACCCTTACGCTGCGCGCGGATCACGCGACCCATCTCCTCGTCGGCGGCGAGACGGCGGCGGCGGCGGCGGGGAGAATGGGGGAGGCGGGGGTGGCTAGGGTTGGAGGAGGGAGAAGGTCTCCGGTTTATATAGAGGTCGGCGTGGGGGGTTTCGGGGAGGGATAGCCCTAGCGTGGACGGCTGGGATGGAGGGTGGGGTTGATCTGGGCCGTTGGATTCGTGGGGGCGGATTTGTCAGTGTAATGGACTTGGGCTGTAATGGGCCGCGTCGTTGTGGTTGGGCTTTTTCGATTTTTCTTCTGAGCGATGGGGGGAAAATAAGTTCGCTTTGACTCCCTTAAAAGTTACCCGAATCTAATCCACGACCCTAAACCACAGAACCGGATATATCGACCCCCGAACTATTGAAATCGGTGCAATTTAACTCCCTAGGCGGTTTTAGAAAGCGGTTTTGCTGACGTGGCACCTACGTAGCGATATTGACCGAGTCTTCTTTACACGTGGCGTTGACGTAGCGCTTAAGTGGCATTAAAATTAAAAAAATACGTGAGCCCCATTAGTCATTAAAAAAAGAAATGTGGGCCCACTAACATGTGGGGCCCACGAGTCAGTCCCCTGTCTCCTTCCTTCTTCCTCCTCCCTCTCTCCCTTCTCTCTCTTTCTCTCCCCTTCTTCTTCCCCTTCGGCCGGTGGCGCGTGGCGGCAAGCAAGCCCGCAGCGGCGGTGGCAGAGGAAGCGGTGAAGGACGGCGGGAGCAGGCCGACGGTGGCAAGGGAGTTGGGAGGCGAGCGGAGGAGGAGTAGGCGGCGCGGCTCACCGCGAGGAGCAGTGCGATGTGGTCACGACGGCGGGGATCCCGGCGAGCCGCGTAGACGAGGGGGAGCGGTGGCGCAGCGGCACCAGGGCGGAGGCGGAGCACACGGCCGGCCTTCACGCCATGGCGGTGGCGGCGGCCGTCGATCCGCCCGCCGCGCCGCCCTTCTTCACCTCCGCCGCTCCGGCTCCCTGCACGAACACGGCGCCTCCCTTCTTGAGCTCGAGGAAGGCAAAGGAGCCCTTCCCCTGCTCCCGCTCCCGCTCGGTCTTGACCCACGCGCCCAGAACGACGTGCTCGCCGGATGCAGGTGCGGATGGTGGCGGGCTCTAGATCGTCGGAGAGGGAGGTTGTGGCCATGGCAGCCGCAGCGGCATATTCACCCATGGGGGAGGGAAGGGATGGATAAGATGCGTTTGCGGGCGATGGCGGGCTCTAGGTCGTCGGAGAGAGAGACCGCGACCATGGCGGCTGCCGCGGCGTCTTCGGCTATGGGAGAAGCGAGGGTTTGGGAGGAGCCGGACGTGTCGGGCGGTCGGCGGTGCTATTCATCCTAGCGGTGTGGGGATGAGGCGTGACAGCTCCGCCGCTCCCTCGCCACCGCGCTCTGCATGGCCTGGTTGTGGTGGTGGTGGTGGCGCCCGTTGTTGCCGCTGCTCGCCGCGCCGCCCTTCTTCGCCTCCGCCGCTCCGGCTCCCCGCACGAAAACTGCGTCAGGCAGCTCCCGTCGATGCTGCTGCAGCATTGGCGGCGGTGATGGCGGCGTGGGGACGAAACGAGTCACCAGCTCTGGCAGCGGCGCCTACAGGACAGCACCGGCGCAGCGGAACTCGCCGTCGACGACGCATTCGGGCGGCCTCTTGTTGGTGCGTAGGTCGGCGCCGGTAGCGGGGCGAGGACGTCCTCGAGGGCCGCAGCGCCATGGGTGGGCGGGCCGTAGACGAAGGCTAGCAACGCGTCAGTGAATGACAAAAGGGTCCCTTCTATAATTTTGATTCTAATTCCACGTAAGCGCCCCGTCAAACGCCACGTGTGATGAAGACCCGGTCAATACCGCCACGTAGGCGTCACGTCAGCAAACCACCCTCCAAAACCGCCTAGGGAGTCAAATTGCACTGGTTTGAATAGTTCGGGGGTCGAGATATCCGGTTTTACGGTTTAGGGTCATGGATCATATTCGGGTCACTTTTAAGGGAGTCAAAGTGAACTTATTCCGCGATGAGGGGTTTTATCTCGGGCCTGGGTAATATGGGCCTATGTTGGACGCTATCATATTGGGGAGAGTCTACTTTACGTTCCTCGACTACGGACCGAGTTCAATTAAAGGGCTAGTTTGGTTTGTGACCTAAATTGACCTTACCAATTTTCGACAATTCCAAATTTTGGCATGGCTAATTTTGGGAAGGCAAAGTTGTGTCTGGATTGAAGCCAAAATAACCTAAGTTAACTATTAAAGTGGCTATTTTCTTAGGCATGCTAAAATTTGGCTTCAGACCAAATAGACACTAAACACTATTGAAATTGTCAAATATTGGTAAGCCGAATTTAGGCCTCAAACCAAACCAGCCCAAAGTCCTTTGATGGTTTGTATGGTAAAAATAACTTAGTGTAAATGGATCCCTTTGATGGTTTGTATGGTACTTTCATTTTACTTGTTTCCACATGACACTTATTCCCTTTTTGGGAGCTTAATATTATGAGAAGTTGATTATTGGCTTCCTACTGGTTCGTAATCCATTTTTGAGAATCTGGAAACTTATTTATTTTTAAAATTCTACAAATACGGCTTTTTAGAATCTGGATAAAAAGCTATATTGTTTGGGGAATTTCATATTGTTAGAAACTCTACCAAACAAGCCAGAAGCTCCCCAAACGGTATCAGATGAGAGTATATTTTACGTTCCTCAACTATAGTCCAATTTTTGTTCACGTCTCTCAACTGCAAAACAGGAATATAGGCTTGGCATACATCAATTGTTAAACCCAGTACAAATTGATTTCCTTCGGGGTATGTTTGGATAATGGGGAAATAAGGGTTGGGATTGGGATTATGAAATGAATGAAGGGTTAGGATTTTAAGATGTCTTTTGGTAGGTGGGAAACCATTTCACTAACCCATTAGCCAATCAAGGCCTCAATGGTTTGGAAGTAGTTTCATCTTACTTGTCTTCCACACGGCACTTAGGGGCTGTTTGGGGGAGATTCTAGCTGCTGCAGCTTCTCCCAGAATCACAAGCTTCCCCAAACAGTTTAGCTTTTAATCTAAGAAGTTGTAGTTGTAGAATCTAGAAAATGAAATAGAAGTCAGAAGTTGAGAAACCCAGCTTTTTTAGATTCTCAGAAGCAAGATACCAACTTCTCAAAATTTTAGTTTTTCTTTTCAAATAGTATCACCGTGGCATTTACGTGACACTGAAGAAAATTAAAGATAAATAGGACTCAGGTGACAGTCTGATAAAAATTAAAAGAAAATGGCGAGCCTCTGCACGTACACATAGTCGCCGCGTCGCCCATGTGCTATATACTTTCATGTCAACTATAATCTTTGGTCCTCAACTATAGGAGTATGTAGTTTCCGGAAATGCGCGCTAGTATCATAGCATACAAAGATCATGGAGGCCAAGTGATATATCATGGTCATGGATAATACACTTCCTTATCAAGGAGTAGTATACTATTTTTCCCCAAAAAAGCCAACTATATAATTTTTTAACAAGATCACCAAGGCACCATATAAGAAAATGATGATCAAGGTCGTACATATACAGAAATATATTTCAGAATCCAAAGACAAAAATGTATCAAATACTGTGCAAAACAACAGCTGAAATGGTGATACGTGTCTTAACATAGCAAGAAGAAGAAGAGGAGGAAGAGCATCCAAGAGCCAACCGCATTTCAACATCTTCTCTGAGGAAATGCAGAAAAGATGACGGGTGTAGTTTTAGTTTAAGAATTTATCTTTGAAAAGAGTGAAGTTTTAATTAAAACGGTTCACTGTATCTCTGTGGTACTGTGCTTTTAGCAAAAACCTCAAATCAATAGTACCCTCTCTCCCTCCTTGTTTTTTTTTATCCCTATTAATAAATAGCATAGTAGTCTTTTAGTCTAAGTCTAGAGTGAATTACGCTTTGGGCCACATTTTATTACCTAAGTTTTACTTTAGACCACCTTTAAACATATCTTTTCACTTTGGACCAGATAAATTTGCCATTATTGTGATTTGAACCACTACAAACAATTTTTTTTCTAGTGCAATCAACGACCTTAAACACATCAGCTTTAAGTATATGGCCGAACTCCTCTATGTATGGTTCATATGTTTGCCAAAAGAGGAAGTTAGACATGACGAGAAAAGTTGTTTATGGTAGTCCAAACCGCAATGATGGTAAATTTACCCGGTCCAAATTAAAAAGATAGGTTTAAGGGTGGTCCAAATTGAAACTTGGGTAATAAAAGATGAACCAAAGTGCAATTTACTCTTTATTATTCTATTATCTAATTTATTTTTGACTAGATAAAACTATACACTTTCATAGTTTCATGGACAGAGAGAGTATGTGCCAAGAAACAGCAATGGCAGTCCAAACTTCAGTTGCTGAATTTGATCAACTTCTGCGTGCCCTGCTCATTGATATTGCAGGATATTAATTTTGCGTGTGATGGGCACTCTCATACGCCGGAAAAATATTAGTTATGACGAAAAAAAATAGTCTAGTCTACTTGTTTGGTGTAATTTATTTTTTTTCTTTCGCTTTACAAAAGATCCTTTTGATATAAAAAAGAATGCAACGGCACTAATCAGCTTATCGTATTCGTGGGATTTTCGTCGTACACGGAGATTTCTTTTTAAAATTTTTCTAGAGAAATGACAAGTACGGATAGGACCGGCCATCTCCTGATTAATTGTTAATTTTGCTGATGCAGCTGTTGCTTGTTGACTTAGTGACTTAATTTTCTCCAGGGAAAATTCCTTCCAAGCACTTGGAGGGCACGTCGTTGACCTACGCACAATCACACCAGTGATTAGCTTGCCAGAGTGTCCAATCATATCGAACCAATCCTATAAACCGCTACTCTGGTTCCATAATTCTTACCGTTACTTTTCATAACTTTTTAAATATTTAGATCTAAGACACCAGAACATACTAATATATAATATATATAGATTAGTCTTTCAAAGTAGTTTCCCGTGTAAAAAATCATAGTTAAATCTATGTTTTAAAGCCATATCATTTAAAACGTTAAGAATTATGAAACCGGTTAGGATATGTTACGTTAGATAGTTAACCAGAGCTAATTAAGCTCTAATCATCACCCTAATCACCATCAATCAAGGTACGAGATAATTAAGAGATCAGGATAGTATATTATATGCTACATATCATATCAGAGGAAGAAGCTAAGTTCTAGCTCGCTCGCATGCCGTCACCAATGGAGGAAGCCGCCGCAGCAGTTCACCGGCGGTGGCGGCGGCGGCTGCTGCCGAAGCTGATGCTACTCCTGTGCGCCGTCGTCCATGGCCAGCAGCCGGACAGCCTCGGCTTCATCAGCATCGACTGCGGCATCCCCGACGGCGGCGGCTACTCCGACGAGTCCACCCGCGGCCTCCGCTACGTCCCCGACGCCGGCTTCCTCGACGCCGGCGCGGGCCTCAGCGCCGGCATCAACCCGCCCTACACCGACCGCGACCTCGCCGCCCGCTACCTCACCGTCCGCTACTTCCCCGGCGCCGCCTCCGCCGCCGGCGAGCGGGGCGGCTGCTACACGCTCCGGCAGCTCTCGCCGGGAGGGAGGTACCTCGTGAGGGCCACCTTCTACTACGGCAACTACGACGGCGCCATCGCCATGCTCCCCGTCGTCTTCGACCTCCACCTCGGCGCCAACCGGTGGACCGCCGTCAACGTCACCGCCGCCGACGCCATCTACATCTTCGAGGCCGTCGTGTCGCCGCCGGCGGACTTCCTCCAGGTATATACGTTATAAATTTGGATAAATTTTGTTGTTCTTTTTTAAGAAATGAATTTCACTTTGAGGCTTTTTTAACTTGAACAGTTTACCGAGCGGTTTCTCTGTGTGAACCAGCAAGAATGGCTCATAAGCATGTAATCGAGAGATTATATTGTCGATTTTTAAAACACCGGTTATCACATCTCTTAGTACAAATTCTAAAAGATATACCAGGCACCACCAGGGTTCAAAATTTCAGAACCATTTCGGCCGAATTTTTTAATTTTTTTTGTGAACGTTAGCAATATTTGTACAAAATTTCAGACCAAAATTTTGCCATATCAGCACCCTCCGATACAAATACCGAAATCGAAATATTGAACCCTGGGCACCACAATTTAACAATGCAGGATTTTATTCTTCCTTTCAAATCATAATTATACATAGGAAACCAATGTTATTAATTACATATAATTTATCTTGAGCCAACTACTCATCTCTTAGAAATGAACTAGCTGGTGCATGCAGCTCAATATAGGGTCTATTTGGGAGAGTTTCACAATTGCAATTTCTCTCAGAATCAGAAGCTTCCCAAATAGTTTTTTTATCTAAATTTTAAAAAGTTATAATTATAGAATGTAGAAAATAAATTAGAAGCTAGAAAATTTTTTAAAAAAACTCAATTTTTCCATATCCTTAGAAATTGACTATCAACCATCCGTTTGCTAGAGTTATAATTTGGTCGTGTCTGCCGATTGCTAGGCTCTATAATTTTGGAATAAAACTTTTATAAACGTGTTCTTAGCGGTCAAAAAGCAAATGCTGAAAAATAAACCTCGATAAAAAAACCCCAAAATCAACTTTAAATTTAAGGTTAAAAATTTAAATTTTGGCCAATATACATAAACATAAACGATAAGCGAAAAGATGGGGCTGCTAGTTAATTTGCGAATCTTCTACAGGTGTGCCTCGTGAACATAGGGAAGGGAACGCCGTTCATCTCCGGGCTGGACCTGAGGCCGCTGAAACCGGAGCTGTATCCGGAGGCGACGGCGAACCAGTCGCTGCTTCTGCTCAACCACGACCGCCCGCCGGCGAGGTTCGCCTTCAACCGCTACCAGTTCTGGCGCCCGGCGAGCTACTACAAACTATTCAGGTGAGATCTCCATCGACACAACAGCCACTAATACTACGGTTTTCTGAATGTAGTAGTTTCAGAATCCATGGGTTCTGTGTCAACTTGAACAGCTGCCGACTGAGGCCCTCTCTAGTTTACATAAATTTTTCCAAACAAATGTCGCATCGAATCTTTAGACACATACATAGATTATTAAATATAGATAAATTAAAAAACTAATCACACAGTTTGCATGGAAATGGCGAGACGAATCTTTTGAGCCTAATTAGTCCATGATTAGCCATAAGTGCTACAGTAACCCACATGTGTTAATGACGGATTAATTAGACTCAAAAGATTCGTCTCGCGGTTTCCAGTCAAGTTATGAAATTGATTTTTTCATTTCTGTCCGAAAACCCATTTCGACATGCAGTCAAACATCCGATGTGACACCTAAAAATTTTCTTTTCGCAAACTAAACGCACCCTGAATTTCCTGTCCACGTTAATGTCAGTTATATTCTAAATCACGATAGGCCGCCGGCCTGAGCTCCCTGAAACACGACCTGATTGACGCATGGCATTTGACCAGCGCAAGCAATGTTAAACAAAGTTATCATCTTAATTAAGCTGTCGTCTGTTTGTACACCTGTCTAAGTTAGTTTAGCCTCTCTTTTTTTCAACTCTTTCGTAATCTTCACAAAATATAATCTTAAATCGATTTTTGCTAAACATCTTGCGACAATTTTTTGCCCGAAATCTCCCATCAAAACTTTTCAATATATCTCTATTATCAGTAGTTTTAAAACAAATTAAAAAATAAATTACAGGTAAAAATCAAAATCAACTCTAAAATTAAAATTTAGCTATGCTGATAAACTATGAGAGACATAATACATTTTCATGCCAGTTACTACATATGAGGGATTCAGTTCAGATTCATTGTATTAGTATGTGTAGTCATGTTTAAATTCCAACTTTTTCATCACATCGAACTTTTTTACACACAAACTTTCTACTTTTCCTTCACATCGTTCCAATTTCTTCAAATTTTCAATTTTGGTGTGGAACTAAGCACAGCCGTAGTTTATTTCATCACACATCTCTTAATCAGTTCAACCACACATTTTACTCCATTAAAATTCGAAATTTTCTCCATTTAATCAAACCTAATCATTATTAGCTTTTCTTGCAAAATTAATAACATCAACAGGTACCCATTCGATCCGTACGACCGGCTGTGGCAGCCGTACGGCGACGACCCGTCGTGGACGAACATCACCGTCGCCGCCGCCGTCGACGTCACCAACATCAGCCGCTCCGACGACCCCTCCCCGATCCTCCGCAGCGCCGCCACGCCGGCGAACGCCACCGTCCGCCGCCTCGACTTCCCCTGGAGCTCCGACGACGCCGCCACCACCACCTACCTCCTGCTGCTCTACTTCGCCGAGCTGCAGCGGCTGCCGGCCGGCGCAGCGCGGCGGTTCGACGTCCTCGTCGATGGCGACGCCTCCGCCGGCGGCGGGCGGCGAGGGTACACGCCCCGGTACCTCGCGGCGGAGGTCGTGAGGTCGACGGTGCGGGCGGCGCGGCCGGGGCAGCGGCACGTCGTGTCGCTCGTCGCCGCGCCGGACTCCGCGCTGCCGCCCATCGTCAACGGGCTCGAGATCTACTCGGTGCAGCCGATGCCTGAACTCGCGACGAACGACAGAGACGGTATGAGTTTAACCAGATTTAAATTCGTTTGAAAAATAAAATTCGATGAAATTCGTTTGTTTTTTTTTTAAAGGACTACCTATATGTTGATCTTGCGAAGCTTCGAATCTCGCACAGTTTTCAATCAATGGATATAGCCCGTCTTAAATGAAATAACAAAAAAAATGAGCTAAGCATGTAAAAAATTGTAAATATATAGCAAATAAATTTAATTTTAGTGTACTGTAACTGAGTGTAAGTGTTATGTAGCCGGGTGTGAATACAAATTAGATTTACAAGAAATACTCTCGGTGCAGCCAACGCCTGAACAAATTCGTTTGAATGCTCAAAATCTTTTTTCAAAGGTTTGGAGAGAATGCTGTTGATCAACTTGCATATAGATCATAACATTGTGTATTTGGTAGGGTGTACAGCATAGTTGCACATCTCTGAATCTTGATGTTTTTTGGCCCCCAAATATTTTATTCAGTTTAAAATCTCGGATTTGAGTTGTTTGTTAGAATGATGGTGAGGTAAAAAGTTCAGAATCTCCTTTTTTTTTCGTATGAACAGCGAAGGCGATGATGGAAATTCGCGATAACTATGAACTGAAGAAGAATTGGATGGGGGATCCATGTGCTCCAAAGGCATTTGCCTGGGTTGGATTGAACTGTGGTTATTCTTCATCTGATCCTGCATTGGTAACAGCTTTGTAAGTAGTCACAAAATTGAGCATTTTAACAGTGCTGTTTTATCAAATGCAGTCGAAAAACTTGTAGTGGTACGAATCTACTTCTAAATGATTTTTTTTTCGCAGGAATTTGTCATCAAGCGTGTTGATTGGTCCAGTTAATCTTTCTTTTGGTGATCTGAAGTCCCTGCAATACTTGTGAGTGCAAAATTTGGTAGTTTTTTTTTTCAAAAAAAAAAAGGTTATCTGTTCTCACTTCCTGACCGGAAATATCGGCCACTAATTTCACTAGCAAAAACCTGAAGTAGCATGATAGTTAAAATATTTATTGATGTACTAGATCAGCTTTACCTATTGGAGTATTTTCATAATGATTTCAATTTCAGGGATTTGTCCAATAACAGCTTATCTGGCCCAATACCTGATTTTCTAGTGCAAATGCCAGCACTCAAGTTCCTGTAAGTATTCTTCTTAGCCAGGATTCGCTTTACAATAAATTACACCAGTATGTTAAGAATGTACTTGGTTTTTACAGTGATTTGTCAAGCAATAAACTCAGTGGATCGATTCCTTCTGACTTACTTCAAAAGAGAGAAAATGGATCACTTGTATTAAGGTCTGCAACTCTGGATCATCTTGTAAACTCATACCTTGCCAAACATCCCCTGATGGACCTGTGATCTATGTAGTTGTGTTCCTGTTGCCAAAATATCTGTATGGACCTAGAGTTAGAATTTAGAGTCAATCTAGTCTCTAAATTTAACTAATTCAGAATTGTTTCTCTTATGCTAGGATTGGCAACAATGCAAATCTCTGCTATAATGGGGCTAATAATACCTGTGCTCCGGAGAGTAAGCAAAGCAAGAGAATCCTTGTGATTGCAATAGCTGTTCCAATAGTTGCAGCAACTCTGCTGTTTGTGGCAGCAAAATTTATCCTTCACAGGAGGAGGAATAAACAAGGTAATCAATCAACAGTTCATCAAAAGAACAACTGAACCTGCATTTTCTGAAGATTGTTCATATAAGATGACTTTTGATTATTTCAGATACCTGGATCACAAACAATGCAAGACTTATTAGCCCTCACGAAAGGTCGAACGTATTCGAGAACCGGCAATTCACCTACAGGGAATTGAAACTCATGACATCAAACTTCAAAGAGGAAATAGGGAAAGGAGGATTCGGCACTGTCTTCCTAGGATATTTGGAGGATGGAACTCCAGTTGCTGTCAAGATGTGCTCAAAAACATCTTCTGAAGGGGATAAAAAGTTTTTAGCTGAGGTAATCTATCAGGTTGTTCAGTTGAAATTCATCTTTTTACGCGTGCCGGGAATAAATAATTGCCCTTGTTCCATTTTTCAGGCTCAGCACCTGACTAGAGTTCATCACAGAAACCTTGTTTCCTTGATTGGATATTGCAAGGATAAGAAACATCTGGCACTTGTTTATGAGTACATGCAAGGAGGAAACCTGGAGGATCGTTTAAGAGGTAAGCTATTTGGCAACATACTGTTTCACCCATTGCTAAATTTCAGTTTTAAACATTATTCTTTACCAAACATAGTCAGTACATTTGTGTGCTGTTGATTATAACCCTGAATGTGTGCTGTTGTGTTATGCTAATTTCTCAGTTCTGAATGCTGCACTCATGTGTCCACTCTCCAACTATTTTTAAAAAAAGCTTTTTCATATCCATTTATTTTGCATGATTTTCATATCCATCTTAATTTCTTTTTATAATTATTCTGTCACAGGAGAGGCCTCCATTGCTGCACCACTCACCTGGCATCAACGTCTGAAGATCGCTCTCGACTCTGCTCAAGGTATATACAAGACTGCACAGTAATTGCACACACCTGAAAACATGTTCAAAGCCTGACACATTTGACCAAAATTTGGACAAATTTCAACTGTCCATGGATATTGCAGGATTGGAGTACCTGCACAAGTCATGCCAGCCTCCATTGATCCACAGGGACGTCAAGACTCGCAACATCCTCCTCTCCGGCGACCTCGACGCCAAGATCGCCGACTTCGGCCTGACCAAGGTGTTCGCCGGCGACGTCGTGACCCACGTCACCACGCAGCCGGCCGGCACGCTGGGCTACCTCGACCCGGAGTACTACCACACCTCGCGCCTCAGCGAGAAGAGCGACGTCTACAGCTTCGGCGTCGTCCTCCTCGAGCTCGTCACCGGCCGCCCACCGGCCGTCCCCCTCGGCGACGGCGACGGCGGCGGCGGCGAGAGCGTCCACCTCGCCGTGTGGGCGAGGCAGCGGCTGGCCGAGGGCGACATCGAGAGCGTCGCGGACGCGGCCATGGGAGGCTGCTTCGAGGTGAACTCGGCGTGGAAGGTGGCGGAGCTGGCGCTGCGGTGCAAGGAGCGGCCGTCGCGGGAGCGGCCGGCCATGGCGGACGTCGTCGCCGAGCTGAAGGAGTGCCTCGAGCTGGAGGCGTCACGCGCGCTGGGACGCGGCTACAGCTGCTACAGCAGCGGCAGCGGCGGCGGCAGCTCGGTGGCGACGACGACGACGACGAGCGGCGCCGCCAATATCAGCGCGGCGGCGTCGGCGGCGAGTGTCAGTGACGCCCAGATCGGCGAGCTGAGGCAGGAGAGCGTGCTCGAGCTGGGACCAAGATGATGATGATGATGATGAGAGTGATCGAGTTAGGTTCAGATAATCAACTAGTTCTTGATTGAAAATGTTCCTTTTTTTTCATGGGAGATATTAAGCTCATTTGTATTGTACTAGTAATAAAATCAGAAAGATGTAATTATATAAGTTGCATGTTTTTTCATGGGAGATATCAATTTCATGTATTGTACTAGTAATCAAAATGTAATTAAGTGGCCAGAAGAACATAAGGAGTATATTTTGTGCCCTTTGTTTCATGTATCTTAATTACTACTACTATCTCCACAGATTTGTAGTGTAGTACTGTTTTGTTTTGAAAGAAAATCTCGAAAATTACGCTTTGACCATTATTCTTTTAAAGAGATTCCTAAGAGTAATAAGACCAATGCTTCATTAAAAATTCACTTTGATATACAAATATACCCGTATAGTTTTTATACCCTAAATATATTTATAATCTGATCTCTTGTTCAAAATCAATAAAATATGAATTTTAAAATTTAAATACTCTCCATAAAAAAATACGTAAGGAATATTTGAGAGGTAGTAAGAGATACTCCCTTCATCAAAAAAGAAAAAAAAAACAATTCAGATAAGAATGTGATACACAACGAATCTGAATAGTAGCAAACCATTTGATTGTCTCGGGTCATTTGAGACAGTTTTGCCTTTGGCTTCCTTATACTATCTGGCAAAATCTGATTCAACTGCAATATGCGTATGAGATTGGGATTCGGCTAATGCTTGTGGAGTCTATATAGACTTTTTCCGCGCGGAAACTGCTACCAACGTGTGGCCTATATGACATGGGCCGGGATGGGATTTACTACGAAACTAGCGGCCCATTTCGTTCGGACCCATATACATCTCGCCGGCCCACCGGCTGGCCTTCTTCCTCCCATCTGTCCTCTCCTCCTCCGACGCCCCGCCGGGCACGGAGGGGGACCAGGTGAGCCCTCATGTGTCTATGACATATGAGTCCAGTGATAAATCTTTAATTACCACCTATAAGAGTAGGTACAATAGCAGACTATTAGAAAATTATAAACATATTTTAATGAGATAAAAAATGATAGAGAAAAGCAACGGGCTACAGATTTATAGCCAGCTACAGCACGGACTGCAAGACGTAGTGTGTATGATAGGTGGAACCATATATTAATAGTATAGTAAGCAGCTATTATATGAATTGACTGATTGGTTATGGATGAATTGGAGCTAGTAGCCAGCTATATTATTAAACTTGCTCTAAAAGTGACAAAATAGTTAAATATCTCCTAATATTGCGTGGCAAGCCAAACAGTGATCCCCTTCTCTTTCTTCTTACATAATCCTATAAAATTCTTCTCTGTGCTGCAGCATCCATCGATTGGTTGATCGCTTGAGTAAGAAGGGTGAGGACGGAGTTCATCACAGGATCCCGCGTTCATTTCGTCCATGATCTCTACCAATCGCCGGGTATGTTGTACTGATCCAATTTTTTTCCCCTTTCACCACCTGAAGCTTGTATGTGATTCATGCTTGATTTAGGGGGAAAAAGTGTAGGCAAAAAACACAAATCCTAAAAAAAAAAGGCAAAATCATAATCGCATTTCGAAACAAGACATGAACACAATTACCCCTTTGGGAACCCATGTTTGCCATAGTATTATAGCGGCATATTTGCAAAAAATAATAATTTGTGAATAAAAAATTTATATATGTGTTTTTAACGATTTAAAAGCGAAGGCTGAAAAATAAACTACGATGAAAAAACTCAAAATCAATTCTAAATCAAGATTAAAAATTCAAATATTAGCTTATAAGTATAGGCATAAGCACAAGCATAAAGGAAACAATTTGTTAGGATTTGGCCAAACCTGGATTCTGTTGATGAAATTAAATGTAGTGTGCTTCTTTTCCGTACTCCCTCTCACTGTGTCATCACAGAAATTATTCTTTGTCTTATATTTTACCAGCGAAGGATATGTTCGCTACTCTCTCTCCGTCCCATTTTAAGTACAATTTTCCACGTTCAACTTTGATCATCCATTTTATTTAAAAAAAATTGAAAAAAAAATTGAAAAACATAAGTCGTGAGTAAAGTAATGTTCATGTTTTATCATCTGATAACAACAAAAATACTAATTATAAAAAGAATTCAAATAAGACGGACGATCAAAATTGGACACGGAAACTCATAGTTGCATTTAAAGTGGAATAGAGGGAGTACTAGCGAAGAGACAACTCTGGTATATTTTCTTCAAAAATAACGTGGCTTATATTTATTACTTCCTCTGTAAAAAAAATCAACATTGATGAGAATGGAACATCGCCTAGTACAATGAATCTAGATAGAGATGATGATGTTCCATCCTCACCGAGGTTTGGTTTTTTGGGACAGAGGAAATACTTCATCCGTTTCAAGTTATACGGGTTTCTAAAATTTAATGGTTAAAGACAGAGATGTTTGACTTCGAACAAATCCAAAGAAAGGAAGTAAGAAACATTGATAGTTGGTAAGAAAGAACTTTGTCTTTGTCTTCAATCCAAGATCATACTCCACCTTATTATAACGCGGTTGAATTTTAACATACATTTTATCATTTTTATAATCAAAATTTTGTAAATATAAAAAACCTATAAGTTGGGATTAAAGTACATTAAATAATAAAACAAGTCATGTACTCTCTCTGTCCCATAAATATTCAAACCGTAGATTCCAAGGTAGAAATATTGAGAAAGACAAAGGACCAAAATATCTCTAATTAATAGATAAGTTATGTTCTATCAAAAAAAAAGACAACTCATACCTACAAACCTAGACACGCATATTTCCAGGTTCATAGTTAGGATTGTTTTTTTTTTGGACGGAGGGGTAGGTAAGTGAGGGATATTGAAGGAATAAAATTTCTTTGCGGGTCAATGGTAGGTAAGAAGGTAAAAGTTGATTTATTTTAGGACATTCAAAATGTAGAAGTTGATTTAGTAACCATTAAGATCCCTGAGATGCGCTGAGATAGACCAGACCAAGAAGAATACCTCACAATACTTTTTTTTTTACTAAAAACGCATTCCTATATGTGTAATTTTATTGAACACAAAAAATTGAATATTGAGAGGGGGTTATCACGACTACACCAACGTACTTTCTTTCGGTGCTTCCGCCTTAAAATTCATACATTGTTCCAAAGAAAACCACATTGTTTTAACTTGGACATCAAGTGCATTCCACCAAACCAAAGCATATTTTTGCACGTAAGCTACACATTGTCACATAGATATTTTTTTTTCATAAGGTAGGGAACAGTGATAGAGAAAACAAAATTGACTATTAACGAGGAGTTCGACAACCCAGGTATATTTTCTTCAAAAGGTCAAAATGTGTCATATTAATTTGACAGTAAGAAAGCACTATATATGGTCGTCTTCCTTTCTTCCATGCTAATGACATGTTCCATGGATGATTCTAAGTTTAGGAGAATTATTCCAGTGGTAGATAAATTAAGTATTACAGTTGAAAAGTTGTTTTAAAACGATATTCTAAGAAATACTGATAAATAAAAAAAATATTTACAGAAATCATACTCTTAATTAGAAAGAGTGTCCATAAAACCCACAATTTATAAGCTATAAATTACTTCATTTGTTTCATATTATAAGGCTTTCTGACTTTTTTCCTATACAAACTATTTTAAGTTTAATCAAATTTATATAAAAAATATAATAACGTTTTCAACACAAAGCTAACCTATAATATGCAATGAAACTAATTTGGTATTATAGATGTTGCTAAATTTTTTTATAAACTTAGTTAAATCTAAATAAGTTTAATTAGAAAAAAGTCAAAACAATTTATAATATGAAACCGAGGGAGTACAGAGAACTGGAGCTAAACATAGCATATTTTCTTGATTTCTTCTATGTTCACGGTCATTCTATATTTCTATCATGGGACACGTCACTGGCACAGTGACACATCACCATGGGCTTTAGGTGCGTGTTACTTTCCTACGTGTACCATGCGATGCAGCATCCACACTTAGCTTAATTACCATCTTGATCCCAATCCCATGCATAATGTCCACATGTTCCAACAACAACCACACAAATCAATCGCACCAAAAGGCTTTACTACGACGTCCACTAATTAAACACTAGGGCACGGCAACTGGTTTAAGTGGAGCTTTCATGCATGCCTGGTTGTAAATGATCTCATGCATCATGGATATGATCATGACTCCCATGGTTTGATTTGATTTAATTACCTCAGCTATAAGATTACACATAAGAGCTTTACTTGATCTCCTTCCAAGTGGGACCATCCCTTAACTTCTTCCTCTAGGATCCCTGGACCACACTTGGAGTGAAAACTCTCAAAATTTACTTTTATAATGCATTACCACCTATATATTTACCTATACCAATTCTTGCACTTCCACTGTCCTAAATATATTAATTTCTAGCGTCTAATATTTTTCCCAAAATTTTATTTTTTATTAACAAATTAAGAATCCAACCTGTGTAATTTGTCTGACCTTAAATATAACAAATTTTTCACCTATATTCTTTTCTCGAGCAATCACAATCTTTCGCCATTTAATTTCTTAATTATTAAATATTTGTTAGACTATATTAAATTCTCCCCGTGATTATCTACATATACATAGTTTGGTAAAAAAATAGCAAGAATTTGAAAAAAGAAGAGTGATATCAAAATAGAGAAATGTTACCGAGCTCGGAGAGTCGTACACATGCCAGTGGTTTTTGCTAGCCAAGTGGCTCTTATCTCGTATCATTGGCCGTCACCGTCGTCGCAGCCACCATAGCCGTTCAACAAATCAGGATTAAGAAGGGAATCCACGGCTCTATACTCCCCTTATCACTAATCCTTTTCTTTTTTGGCAGTAAACCGGATGGTTGGTTATCTCTCATGCATCCCCATCAAAAGCCAAGGCAAGAGCACTAGAGAAGGGCAGGCATTCACGTTAGAGATCACAACCACTAAGATTTTATAACTTTTCCTTATTTCATTTTTTCCCCTTTGCACGATGACATCAAATGCACATGTACACACACCCACGACCGCGTCCCCTGCAACTTACAACAAATATCCGTATGTCAAAAATAAATCCGTAAATCTCACTAAAATCCTGGTAAAAGCTACTACCTCCGTCCCAAAATAAGTGCAGCCGTGGATATCCGTGCCCAACGTTTGACCGTCCGTCTTATTTGAAAAATTTGTGAAAAATTTAAAAACATTTAGTCGCACATAAATTACAATTCATGTTTTATCATCTAATAGCAATAAAAATATTAATCATAAAAAAATTTCAAATAAGACGAACGATCAAACGTTAAACGTTTAACGTGAATAGTGCAGACGGAGGTAGTACCGCACACGATGGTGAGTCAAACACGCAAGAAATCATTCGCCTCCGAAATTGTTACCACCATAACCTATCTCCATCTGATCACCCCCTGAAAAAAGATGGGTGTCTGCCTCTTCCAGAAAAGTGAGACGCTGCCTCTCACTGAGTTCTAAACCTGCCAGATGCAATGGTACATCTGTTCACCTTTCAGCTGGCGCAGGAGACGTCCAGGAGCCCATCGTTTCCAGGTCGCAGGGCACAATCAAACCACCCAAAGATCATGGCTTCCTCGCCGTGAAAGGTTGCTTGCCGGCCGGCCGGCCGGCCAGGCCACGAGTACCACGAACCACCGTGCCATTGTCGTCGCGTCGCCTTGATCTTTTACCACAAGGACAACATGTTTGAAACATGGGAATTTATCCGCTTGCGGGATCTATCATCCTCGATTTATCCACTCTCCGCTCTTTAAAATAAGATTGCAATGACATGAGTACAGCATCCCAAGGTCCTAAGTTCCAATCTTGATAAAAGTGAAATTTAGATTAGGGTTGTTTGAGGGATTAAGTTTCTAATTTTAAAGGCTGCATATATTCTGGTTGGATATAGAAGCCGGGTATAAAATACCCTTTTCTAAAAAAATAATTACTCTCTTTGTTTTTAAATAACCGATGACGGATACTATCCACTTTGTCACTTAGATCACTAGTCTTTTTGAGCAAGATATATATCTACAAACACTAAAAATGATTCCATGTGTTCTTAAATTGTACTCCTTCCGTCCCTAAATATTTGACGCCGTTGACTTTTTAAACATGTTTGATCGTTCGTCTTATTAAAAAAACTTTAAGTAATTATTAATTCTTTTCCTATCATTTGATCCATTGTTAAATATATTTTTATGTATACATATAGTTTTACATATTTCGTAAAAGTTTGTGAATAAGGTGAACAGTCAAACATGTTTAAAAAAGTTAACAGCGACAAATATTTAGAGACGGAGGGAGTATTACTATGTCGTAAATATGGACTTTCATGTAAAGTTCAAAGAGTGATGTCCAAATTGTCGGTTATTTAAAAACGAAGGGAATACCTGCTCCTAACTGCTTCGAGTGGCCAAATAAGATCTCAAATCTTGACAGAAAAAAAAAGCGAATATTAGGGGATGACCTAATATCAAATAATTAGACAAGGTGAAGCTTCGAACCCAGGCCAGCTAGCCACCACCTTGTAGAGCTAGCCGGAAGATCCCTGGGTGTTTCTCGAATCTTAAGAGATTGCAATGAACTTCAAATGGACCCTTGATTCGTTCAGTTCCACCATCTTTCATCAGTTTGCATAGTGAATCAATGTACCACAATTATTGCCGTCGGCTTGCAACGTCTGGGAATCTAATGGAAATATCATGAGTCATGTAAGAGTACAGCTAGAGCAACGATGCTAAGTAAAGAATATTTAGAAGACGACCTCAGCCGTAATTCTTCTTTTATCCTCTCAACACACATATAGGTGACCTTGTAGCCTACGGAAGGAATAAAACAAAAATGGAGAGGAGCATAAAAAGTCCAAAAACTTTCAGCGTCATCACTCAAAACAGAATACGAATTTTCCTTTTCAGGGAGCACATATATAGTCCACTTTTTTCATAGCAAAAAAAAAATCTAGCAATAAGCAATTTGTCAAAAAGAAATACCACCAACAGTGGCACATGTGCAAACTATATACAAATCAAAGACTGGGGCACAATATTTAGGAATCTAATAATAGGTAATGCGAGGTTAAAGAAAGTTCATGTCATCAGCAGGGCACTTGCTAATGACACATCAACAGCTAAGGATCAACATAAGATTACACACAGACAGACACACAAATAAAGTAGAAAGTGGTACACAGAGGACAACCAAGGCATGTCAAATAAGTTTTTTTATATATATAAAAGCTGTAGTGACCACTGACCCTTGGGTCCTTGAACAGTCACTCCAGAGTCTCAGAAAACAAGAAACATTGTAGTAAAGCATTAATAGAACGTCAGATAAAGGAGAAAGAAAGATGATCAGGTGAACAGTAGGTGAACTCGTAATTGCCAACCAATGCGACACACATGCACACAAAAAAGAACACGTACGATGTAGTATGCAGTATGCTACAACACGGCAAAACGTGCTGAATTGTTAATGCTTGGGGTTAATTAACAGATTAAAATGCCAGCCAGCTCTCCTACAAGAAAGCATTTTTCCAAACGGCCAAATTCGATTTTTGCGTATATGAAAACAAAAATGCCGATTATCATAATCGGGCAGCGCAACAGCGTGCGAAATCGGATTTTGAGTGTCCAACATCTCCAAGAAAAGTCCTCCAGTGTACAGCATCAACGTGCTGTTTCCACTAATTTGAGTGCAAATTTGCAATTGCAAATGAAATTGCACATCAGGGATCATCTTTTGGAGGGGGGCCATGGCGAAGTCAAGAAGGATTGCAGCTGCACACCTCACCTGCATGGAGATTTTCAACAGGGCACTCGATTGGGCACTGGAACGAGAGCTTCATACATCTCGTCGTGGCGCCGATGATGACCGACAAATCCTGAAGCTAGTGCATGCTGCCACTGCCAGAGGAAGAAGAAGCAGAGGCAGGGGCTCAACATCTCCTCCCAGGTAGCCCAACCCACACAGCTGACTAGGTGAGACCACACCAGCCGATAGGGACATGATAGAGGTCCAACCATGGCAAAAACCGGTTTCGCTGAAATAAACGACATCCCAGCGAAACCCGGTAACCGGCTTGAATAGCTCTGAATTTGAAGAATTTTTGTTCAAATTCATATCCTTCCAGCCGGTAACCGCACCCAGAGTTTGGAGTTCTGGACCGGTTACCGGGCGGTGAACCCTGCGGGTTTTAGTAACCATGGGGTCCAACATAGCAAAACAACAAACAAAAGCAGCGGAAAAAAAAGGATGGAAATTGAAAGGAAAGAAAAATCAAAGGGTTTTCTTTGTAGTAGTGGGATAGAACAGTGCAGCAGTGTATCTCGAGGAGCAATCCAAAAGAAAGATGCCAAGATAAAAAGGAGGTGACTGGTGAGAGGCCACACCCCTCCAGGCCAAAGTGGACTGCAGCACAGATTGCAGTTCGGTGGCCTCCACATCAGAGCTTCTTCCATGACTTTTTTGGCTGCCATTGCTGAACCTCACATCAGAAAATCATTTCAATTCTGTTATGGAGGCCCTCCTGAAGGGAAAAAAAAAACACCCAAGTAATTGTGTACAGTAATGGAGAAGTTAGGTCCCAGAGGTGAGCAATTTTCAAATGAACCAACTGTTCTGGAGATGTGGTCATCTCAGGACACTCTCTTGTGCATGCAGGCAAAAATTATGCATGAAAATGCGGACTTCAGCAGAGATGATGATGGCAAAAGAGAAACCACTCACAATGAGATTGACAATAAATATATAACTATAGCATGCAAAAAAGGAGCAGCATGTCCTAACATCCTGTCATCAGTATGATAGGGTCAATCAAAATCATTCTAAATTAAGCAAAGGAAACATAATTCGACGAAACCAAATTGAAATAAGAACATGTTGACTTGACAGCACCGAAGCATTCAAAAAAAGACGTTCAAAACTTTGACAGTGTGCATCATTTCAGATGTACAATCAGGGTCATCGATGAATGATCTTTGCAAAGGCCAAGGTCAGCTTAGTACCACAGATTTCCAAAAAGCTTTGCTATCAGCTGGCTCAAGCAGCTCTAGAGGGACACTTCAATGACAGAGGCCTGTGCAGCCACTCAAACTGTACTACAGTAGTAGGTGAGAGCTGGGGTCGTACGGGGAGTGTGCCTGTGAGCTTGTAAGATCTTTTTTCTGTGCCTGTGATAATGGCTGACAGAAAAGGAGGGATGGAGTCCTCTGTGCCAATGATAATGGCTGACAAAAAGGCTAGTGCTTTTCATATCAGACGGACAGGGAAAAATATTTGGAAGAAACCAGATAGAGACTTTTCGAAGATACCATTTCCAATGGTAAGAAGCCCGTCAAAATTACAGAATACCCAAGCCTTTTCATGAAGTGCAAAGTAGGTTTTATTCTACATTACTCCAGTCCAGACTCTGGCCAAGTCTTTAATCTGCAAGCACGCACATATTACAGAATATTCTTGAAAAAGGAGGAGAATTAATACTCATTAAGTAATTCAAGTAAATTTACTTCAGCCAAAAACCAGTCAGTTTTCAAATTAGTGCTGGTTACTGCTAATATTTCTATCAGCAACCAGCAGTTGCCTGTTAAGAACAAACCATTATGCATTACTATATTTCCAATATACAACCCTAGGTAGAATGGTACTTCAATTGTTACCCAAAAGATCAATGATATTATGCAACATAAACTAAGAATATTTAAATAAGAAAAGCATCATTAGTCCACAAACTTGGATATTCTGTCATTAGAGTTTCTTGAACTTTCATACAATATAACTGCCAAAATTGAGTCCACACGTTTAAAAGTTTTTTGAAACAAAACCAGAAATATAGTACTCCACCAGTTCCATATTGTAAGGTGTTTTAGTTTTGCCCTAAGTCAAAGTTCTCTAACTTTGACCAAGTATATAGAAAAATGTATTAACATCTATAATACCAAATAAATAAACTACCAAGACATATTTTATGGTGGATTTAATTAAACTAATTTGGTGTTGTAGATGTATTTTTCTACAAACTTGGTCAAAGTTAGAGAAGGACAAAAACTAAAACACCTTACAATATGTAACGGAGAGAGTGTATCAAAAGCATCATGTTTCAATCAAGTTTTAGGACTGTAGACCTGTAATTCATCTAGTTGGTTGGAAAACAGAAAGAAGGCATTATTTACAGTTATACCATGTATGGTGGTCTATCCAAGCACCAAAAAAAGGTGATAAGCACACCAACTTTTATTTCTCAAGAGAGACAAAAATGAATCATATTCCCATCAAAGAAGCACGTAAGTAGAAAAGCAGTAGCATATACCTTCAAATCATCATATTATTGAAACACAGGAATATATTTGCACAAATATAAATTTAAGGGTCTAAAATTAAGTAAAAGTAGGCAGTTCTGGCTAGTAAACCCATAGGTGTTTCCAGCTGGTATTGGCACAAACCAGTAAATAATCCAGCTGGTATCAAGGTGAAACAGTAGACAATTAGTAAATTGTTTGTGCAACAAACAGATTATGTGTTTTCAGTTCTTAAGTTTAACAAATAGCTACCACCAGTGTGCAGAAGTCCAGAAGTCTTCCCTCCCTAAAAAAGGACAATCAACTGGCCAATAATTTGTACCATTTCAATATTGTATTAATATGACCCGGCGAAAATCTTGTATTAATATGTTTCTACAAGGTATGAACATGCAATGATTTATTAACAAATCAAAAGCTAGGAAGATTCAGGAAGACATATGAACATGAAATAGGATGTTCATGAAATTTCAAACATGTCCAGTATTAACAAAGTTGTTACATGTACAATGCATCAGAGTTCATGTATAATTTGTAATCACAATGGCGGCATATACTTCTATCTCCAATGAACTCCTTATGCCAAGATAGTGGAGAACCTAATTGGAACACCTAAGAAGGTGCAATATTATACGTGCAGCATAAGCCAATTCAAAAGCTACTTTATTAGTTAGAATCTGTGGACAACACAAATGATGTAATATGGGATCTTTAGGGAGCTCCACCATCACGTGACCCCAAGAGCTCTCTCTCTTGCCTATAAATGAGGGGCAAAAGCCACCAGACCATAGGGCAAACAAACCAAAGTGGTTTACTCTCTCTAGTAGCTAGTTTTCCTCTGCTGCTGAACAGGCTGGAGTTCATCAAGGATCACATCCTGAAGCTGGAGCCAACAAGCACACAGAGGTGGAAGAAGAGCAAGAAGACCGGCTCCGAGCCGATACAAGGTAGGAGCGAGCAGCGTTAGTGCAACACTGTCATCATATACTAGGGTAATCAATATGGTGACAGTGAGAGAAGAGATACGCAAAGGGCCATGGACAGAGCAGGAGGACCTGCAACTGGTATGCACTGTCCGATTGTTCGGTGAACGTCGTTGGGATTTCATTGCCAAAGTATCAGGTTTGAGGGGTGGGGGATCCAAAAATTAGGTAGCTATATTGAATTCCTTCGCGCTAAGTCGCAACAGGAAACGCCACCATCTCTAACCGAGTTCTCTTCTTGCACACACTGTTTGTATCTCCATGCAGGCCTTAATCGCACAGGCAAGAGCTGCCGCCTCCGGTGGGTCAACTACCTCCACCCTGGCCTCAAGCGTGGGCGCATGTCTCCGCATGAAGAGCGCCTCATCCTTGAGCTCCATGCTCGGTGGGGAAACAGGTATGATATGATCCAAAGGATAATGTCAAGAACAAAGAGCTTAATTTCTCTACTACTATGGATGATATATTTGGTGTTCTCCTCAATAGGTGGTCCAGGATAGCAAGGCGTCTGCCAGGACGTACTGACAATGAGATCAAGAACTACTGGAGGACACATATGAGGAAGAAAGCACAGGAGAGGAAGAGTAACATGTCACCCTCATCATCCTCGTCTTCACTGACATACCAATCTTGCCACCCAGAGACCCCGTCAATGATCATTGGAATTGAGGAGCAGGAACTTCATGGCGGCAGTGGCTGCATCACAAGCATCATGAAAAGCACCCCTGTTGACATGGATGGTTATCCCATGGATCAGATATGGATGGAAATTGAGGCACCAAATGTGCTCCCAGGGCCATGTTTTGATGAAGCAAAGGATAGTGCATCCAATAGCCTATCTGGTCCTCTATTGCCATATCCTATGTGGGATTACTATTGCCCAGAAACATGCTTGAGGATGGATGATGAGATCAAGGTAGCACCACAATTTGGTTATGGTAAAGGGGTGGGCCCATGTTATTGAAGCAATATATTGAACTAGGTTACCCAAGTTAATTATCCACCTAGCAGAAGTGAAGTGCTTTTGTAGAAGAATCATTAGCATGGATCTAAATATTTACAGCTATGTAACATTGCAAGTGTGCTCATGTTTCATGTATCTAGCTAGTGTGCAAGATAGCTTTTGCCACTTGGTCCTTGATGTATGCAATGCAAGTGGGCAAGGCACTCTGTATTCACAATACAACCAGCTATCTCCTTAGCGACTTTTCTATCAATCAAGTTTAATATAATATTGTTATTATATTTCAACATGACTACTTTCTAGATTTGGGCCTTGAATAAGGTGAAGATTATGCTGGTGGAATTAATAATACAAGTAAACCAGTGAATATGCATTTTTAGAGTATAATGCAACATGGCTATTCTATTTCAACATGGGTTCTTTCTACGGCTTTGTATAAGGTTGAAGAATATGCTGGTGGAACTGATAATACAGTACAATAATGTTATGAAATCAGCTAATGCAAGTAAGAAGTGAATATGATTTTTTACAGGTAGATGGGCTAGTTGATGGCTTGAGGTTGAGGCAAAGAACCAATTAACCAAAGACAACTGGAACTAGTGGTTTCATGGAGTTCATCACCTTACCTTGCCATAAACTCTAATATTCCATAGTAAGCTAGTAGCAGTTTGCATCCAGAAGTAATAAATTAAGCAGCTTGCTAGCTGCTTATATTCTGTTCTAAATTCTGGTATATTGATATTAATTTCAATTTTACTGTGGTGTTTGACCCCAGAAGTACGTGTTCTCATAGTACCGGACTGAAACTAAAAATTAATGTACCACATGTTTGGCCAAAGTATGCAACATGCAAGTGTGTATAGGCCATGTTTGGCAAATGGGATAGGGAAATGATTTCCCACCCACCAAAAGACATCTTTAAATCCTAACCATTCATTCTCCCCCTTTCATTTAATCCTAACCCTTCATTCATTTCCCAATCCCAATCCCACCTCTCATTTCCCATTATCCAAACACACCCATAGGATTATTGGCCTTAGAGTTCACAGTGGAGGAAGTAAACTTTTAAATTTGAGTGAGCCAAACTAGTAAATATAAATTGCAGGTTGATGCCAGAAACAGAGACAGAAGAATAAGTTGGGTGCTTCTTTTATACTGCTATAGAACTATGGAAGTATATAAACTGCAAGCAGATGATAGGTTAAGAAAAGAATGGGTGGGTAGTGAGCTGCTTCCTTGTATACTTCTCTTTAGGCAAAAAATATTAGCTGCAGTCACGCGTGCAGGAAAAAAAGAAAGTTCACCGTTATAGGGGAATTAAAAGGCGGTTATAAGTGGCCTGCATCGAGAACTTTGTAGCCATCTACTTTATTGCAATTGATCTGCAACAAATTAACCTTATATAATCTTATAATTGGATAAAGCGTAGTGCTTAACCACCTGGATCCAACCATTACTGTCATATGGTGCATCCTGGAATTTCTATTTTTTAAAAAAAAAAAACTGTGGTAGGATAAATTCTGGATTGTTTCTTTGCTTTTCCATACAACATATTCTCCAAAGAGAACGAAAACAATAGTAATTTAGAAGGGATGATTAAAAATACAAAATATCGTGGAATAAAAGTAAATCAGGTATAATAAGTTAATAACTCATGAAAACATACAATCTGAAGGACAGAAAAATAAGGACCCAGAGTCATGAACCAAAATGAACAGCAAAAAGATAAATGCTGGCTGTGTTTTCTGAATTTTTCTCCACTATATCTATAAGCAGGACTGCTGGAGAGCAAAATCGGCAAGCTTTATACATTTTATAGTTAAAAATATTAAATAGAGAATCAAAGGACCACCAAGTTTCATGGTGGTTAACCATAGAGAGGTTAATGGAAAATCTAAAAGATCACGCATCCATTAAAAAATAAGCACCATCTAAGTGCCCAAATAAAACACAATAATGGTAAGTAAAGTAACAGACAAGAAACACACCACACATGGCATCCTTTTTGGAAACTTGACATATTACATGAGAGCATTCCTAGCAGCAAGGAGTAAACAGATCCAACACACCACCTTTGCTTTCAAATAAAACACATACATCTGAACAGTAACAAATATATTCTCAAACGTGTATGATGTTCCCTTCTCTCTCTCTAATCACAATGGACTATCAATTATCAACTCATGTGAAATGATGTTTCTTGGACATTTTATATTTGTAGGGTACATGGTAATTATTAGAAAGATGTCAGCTCCTGAATACTAGAAATATCAACTAGCAAACACAATTAAGGGCGTAGATAAATGTAACATTTTTACTTAACCCTTCCTGATCAAGGATGATCAATTCTACAAATAACACGAACACAAGGAGTCAGGTTGGAATGAAGAACTGCTACTTTAAGTCAGTCAGAGCAAAAATCATCTATGTGATGTGGCACATAAATGATAGTTTCACAAGTCAATTAACCACGACCTATTACCCATGCAATTTGATATACAGATATTTCCTGGGAGCAGGCAACAACCATCTTGCCAAATAACACACATGCTCAATCATTCTGTAGTAAATCAGGATATCTGTAGACAAAAAACTCAAATGCACATGCAGTTATGCACTTAAGACAGCAAGGGTTTATTGCCAAAGGAAGGAACAAAAAAAAAGTAGGAGAGATTTACTACCAATATAGGGTTCAAACCTGACAAACTAAAGAAGCAGAAAAGATTTAAAATAGTAGATTTGTTTGAAAGAACCCCGTAATTCTGCCCATAGTAAGCAGGCCACAGGCGCAATTAAGAATCAAGAGGGGTTGTGCTGGTACCAAAACACCAATTTGATAGACCTTATACTCAATCTCTCAGGCTCCCAGTTGCGGTAAACTTTTCCAGCTTGGTCCCTGGTACCTAAAAAAAATGTTTGGTAAGCATCTACATGCATTGATATGTTAATCTGTTAATGACAAAATGGTGCAACACCTTCATAGTCTAAAAAATGTTTTTTTACAAAATAAAATCATTTTACTTGGCTAACTAAAAACTATGACCATCATAGTTCTAAATATAATTGCACGTGTCACTGTAACTATCAGTTTTCTCCAATTAAAAACTGTGCTATACAGTGGACATGCAATACAGCATGCTTACAACTTGCATGAAAAGAAAACTATTTATATGAGATCCACTCAGAAATGTAAGATATCAGGGATCAAACAAGACAACATTCTCCTAACCACATAATTAACTATGGAAAACAAGTAATATCTAGTATTTTATCTTCTTACTCAATATAATTTACTAACAGCTGATCTATCTTTGTTCCCTCTGTCAATCTAGATTGGATCAACCCAGTATTTCTATAAACTGATAAACACAATAATTAGAATGATTCAACTTACATAATCTTTGATGTGAATCTTTATTTAGTTGGTAAGCGTATATCCTAATGAAGGTTAGGCTTGAAATTCTTCACACCGTGACTGCTCAGTATATGTCATATATGACTTCCCCTTTCATTTATTTTTGTTGGTAATTATACCTCCTAGTTATGTTCCAGGGTTACGATTTCTGCAAACACTAACTAACCAAGTAAAACAAAAAAAAGGACATGCAATTCTATTTTATCAACAGCCATGAACATAAGATAGGAACAAGCTCATAAGTTAAACCAATACGCTCTTGCCATTCAGGTCTTATGAGAACTATGGATCATACTTTACCCTTTTACACAGGTAGATAATATCAATGTTATAATGATTTCAACAATGCACTTATAACAAAAATAATATATCACAAAGCAGCTACTGACAAATTGAGATAGCTTTCTATTTAAAGAAACAAGCTGACCTAGTGAACAGCAGATCCATAGAAGACAGCCTCTGCAGGACCAGTCATGTAAATATGATTGTCATCCTCCCTCCATTCGATTTCCAATGGTCCACCAGGCAAATCAACTACACATTTCTGTATCCCAACAAAATGTGGCCAACTACAGATAAGGATATAAGGTACAATAGAGATGAAATTGACAGTGCAAAGTACAAACAGTTGAAAGGACAAACCCGTTCAGCTCGACCCTCGAGGACAGCTGCAACAACTACTGCACAAGCACCGGTTCCACAAGCAAGCGTCGCACCTACAGTCAAAATCATATATTGTATACCTCAGAATATAAAAGGAGATACCACTGAATCACATACATACACTACAGTTATTTACAGAATGCACTAATGTTGTGGTGCTAATGACACAGCAACACCTATGATGCTATGACTATATGACATGCAACATTCCTAACAGACAAAGATATATGCATGAAAAAAAAAGGAACATGCTGAAATTAAACCACAGTGCATATATCCTATAAAAATCAAGATTAAGGGAACATCAGTTACCAGCACCACGCTCCCAGACTCTCATTTTGAGGTGTGAGCGAGACAGGACCTCTACAAATTCTGCAGAAGAAAATTAATTTAAGTAAACTCAAATGCAAGAATATGTATGAATAGAAGGCATACGGTTCTATAATAATTAAGAGTAACCTGTGTTGGTGCGGGCAGGAAACATTTCATGATGCTCGAATTTAGGCCCAATATCACTAAGCTTTAAATCATCAACATGCAAAACCTGTTTTTCCAGCCAAGACAACAATAAATTATTATATGGACAGCCTGGACCTGGATAGGCTAGGATATATACAGTTCAAACAACACAGGAACCTAATCACTAGCAGAAAAAAATATTTATGGTTGCTAGGGGGATCTTGTTGGCTATATCAGAACATATGGGCCAATAAACAGAGGCAATCACGTATTGAAGCATCTAGAGACATTTCTCAAGCTTGCATGAAGTATATAACATAGAAAGTGCAAACATTTATTGGAAGTGAAAGCAACAATATTAGCAAATCTTGTGGTAATGAACAAGTGGATCACAAAGCCAACTGGTAGGATCAGCAGTTAATTTAACTAAAAACTAAACAAAAGATAATAGGATTAAAACACGTTAAATTGATCTGGAGTTCTAGACTGTAGACCTTGGGCCTAAGCAAGCACTCCTGTATGGAAACATAAAAAATATTGAAATGTTTTAATAAGCCATGATATCCCCATAAATGAATAATTGCAAGATCCACATGAATCAATAGGCAACAATTTAACATATTTGTATAGGAAATATTTAGGCATATTAACGGTTTTGACAGAATGTAATTTAAAACTACGAGAATATGAACTTGCAAGTCAATTACCTTGAGCTCCTTTGTGCCAAATGTGACACAATGTGGATTGCCCATGCTAACACAGGTTACTTGCCATGTTGAGCCATCAACTGCCAAATCAGCTTGGACAACGGCTTCATTCTTGGTGGATGGCAGTTTTGTTGGAATATCTGGTCCAGAGAGAATGGGCTGGCCCATATCAACCTTTACCTGTGAACAAGATAAATGCAAGTGGATCTATCAATAAAATAATTTCATACTTTTTGGGAATCACATTCAACAAGAATGAATCAGTCAATTAATGGCTTACGCTTGACAGGATAGGTGTATTATCAAGACTACTGGAGCTAAGAAAGCTCAGGCCAACATATTTCCTTTTAACACATCCAATAAAATTGCAAGAGCTAGAACAGTATGCTAGACTGAAACCATCAGTACGACATGCTTGCCATATGACTTAAGAAAGTTGTTATGGCATACTTACTGAAATATAAGTTGAAGTCATAAGAACAAAATGGCAACTAGAAGTACAGAAATGTAAACTGTATGACTTCATGAGGTTTTTCTGTATTTAAATGAATCTATGAACAATTGTGCGAGTCCTTCATAATGGTATAAAGTATCATGTTGCTAGTAAATTGCAAGAAGCATACAAGCCCAGGCAGGTTATACAGACCAAGAAACAAAAACCATATAATGGCAGATATATAAATAAAATCGATTGAGGGAGGTGAATGGCAAACTACAGTGGTTTATACCTTCAAATTCAAAAGGCATTATCATGCTTAAAAGTAAACAATAACTAAAAAACTAAAAGGCATTTACCTTGCCATCATTTTGTATTTCAGGAATGATTAGCCCAGCGCCAGTGTGAATTTTGAAGCTGAAATGCAAGAATGTAACTTCAGCTCCATTACAAAGAATGGTTCATCCATATCATAATTCTATTGGCGTTGGCAAAGAACAGGTTGCAATCCAATCATGAAGTACTTTAAGATTAATATCATGATAATAGGTATTTTTTAAGCATTTTCAATGATAGTTTGAAGTTCACTATTCTTGTAATCCTACTAAAGGATATTGAGTAGTACATTACCTATGTGTTCCCTGTAGGTTTTCAAGCTCAGCTATAAACCGGGCAAAGCAACGGACTCCATTGCCACACATCTGAAATAAATAGAAATAATACATAAGGCATGTGAGAATAATTCAGCACTAACAAGCTGAATAGAGAAACATAGAGTATAATCAACCACTTTGACAAACAAATGGATGGTTTCTTATGCATAGTTCACAAAAACAAGCTCAAAGAAATTTTAGTCCATTTTTAATTTCCACTGGAGTATATATCTAATTGAAAGTACATAGACTAAAGTTCTGCTTTAGATGTAGGGGTTGGTAACATGATAACAATTAGAATGTCACAAGATAACAAGGTTAAGACATGCAGAATAAAGATAATGAATAACATGTAGGGGTTGGTTAAAATGTAATAGAGTAAAAATACACACTTAAGACATACACATACAGATTAAAGATAATGAATAATCAACGAATTAGATCCCCAGCATTGTATAGAGTACCAGCAGATTTCACTTAAGTTCCCTATGACCTATTCTGAGTGTGGATTAAACTAGTACAAGGCCTAATCTACATGGAGAGCTATAAGCAGCTAGTACACACTTGCACAGTTAATTTTCAGGCTAAGTATCCCCGCCTAACAATTCAGGGACACAAGAAACTTTATGAGAAGTTGAGAACGTGCAAAGCTTTTGCGCTTTCTTTCCACTATCCTACCTAATGAGGATCATGCTAACATTAGATTAGTCCATATCATCCACATTGCATTTATGATTGACGAATCACTACGGATATCACAAAACACCAACACCCGAATACATTTCCTATCACGCACTGCAGAAATGCAATGGATTGCTCACCTCCGGCTCACTGCCGTCCGAGTTGAAGATCCTCATGGTGTAGTCCGCGCCATTGACCCCCGGCATGACGAAGATCACACCGTCGGCGCCGACGCCGAAGTTCCTGTCGCACAGCTTCGCCGCCTCCTCCGGCGTCACCTTCGGCACGGCCGAATCCCTATTGTCCACCTGAAGAAAAAAAATCCAAGACTAAATCAAAAAAATACAGAAATCACCGCGTCTAAAGCAGCAGAGACTGCTCTAATTCGTGCAGACGAAGCGACTGATTACAAAGGGGATTAAAAAAATTGAAGGGAAGCAACAAATCGGTTCTAAGAAAAGTGAAATGGAAGCGCTAGTAAGGCGTCGCACCATGATGAAGTCGTTCCCAAGGCCCTGGTACTTGACGAAGTGGAGGGCGCGCTCCGACTCGCGGCGCTCGAGGAACGCGGCGGCGGCGGCCGACCTGGGGGTGGACACGGCCATCGCGGCGACGCAGCGGCGCGCGGTGGGGTTCCCGCGGAGCGTGAGGCGGCGCCGGGAGGGGGCGGGGGCGGGGGTGGCGGCGAGCTTCGCGGCGGCGGCGGCGATGGTGGCGGTGGCGGCGGCGGTGGCGGACGACATGGCGGCGAGGGCGTGCGGGTGGGAGGGGGGATCAGGAGGCTCCTCTACCTTCAAAGGTACGTGCCTTTGTCACTGACATCTGGGGCCGATGAACCACGGGCCCACCTGTCAGTGGCATTGGCGGTGCCTTTGAAGGGGGTTCCGGTCGCTGTCCGGGCTAATGACGGGGAGGCTTTTCGGTCACTGCGGGGTGGGCCCCACCGCGTGCTGGGCCCTACTGTCATAGAGGGTGGGTTGACTGGTGCGGGGGATCCTCTGCGCGTTGGGCCTGGATGTTGATATGCTGACGTGGAGGGTTTTGGTGGAACGCGTTTGCCGATTTACCCTTTTCTGACGGTGTTTACGGCATTTCTTCACTTTCTCGTATTCTAATGCCGTGTTCTTTCCTGGTGATCTAGGTGATTGTAGTGAGTTTTGTTTCGCTTTCCGCGTGCACGTTTCCCGAACTACTAAACGGTGTATTTTTTAAAAAAAATTCTATAAGAAAGTTGCTTTAAAAAAATCATATTAATCCATTTTTGAAGTTTAAAATACTTAATAGTCAATTAATCATGTGCTAATAGCTCATCTCGTTTTGCGTATCTTCTCAATCTCCTCTATCTCCTCTCCTCAAAGACAGCCTTATTCTTCCTCTCAGTCCCATTGACCATTGTTTAGCTTATTTGCAAACGGAAAATAATTTGTGAATAAACTGTTATATACGTGTTCTTAACGATCTAAAAGCACAATCTGAAAAATAATTTACGATAAAAAAACCCAAAATCAACTCTAAATTTAAGGTTGAAAATTTAAATTTTAGCTGATAAATATATGCATAAGAAAAAGATGAGGTTGTCTCTTATTGGACTGTGTAAGAGATCAGAATTCAAGATCAACGGAAATTATTTGCCTTCATCTTCACAATGTCAACGATCAAATACTTTCTAATCCTCGATGAGCGAGTATGGTTTTGTACGGATTGTCCTTTGATTGCATTCTTCCTAAGTCTTCATAGAAATGAATCTACAGTTTTTTTTTCTGATTTTATGAATGAATTTTAGTTGATTGCATTTGTGCGTTGAAAATAAATGTTGTTTGCCATTGTATTTTCGTATTGGCCATGAAACTCGCACCGAATCATATGAACGCCATAAAACTCCCTCTCGACCACATGCGCACTATCGAGCTCGCTTTTGGTGACAACCATCTTTTGTACGTCTACGACGACTTGGGAATCGGGAATTTTCGTGTCACTAGCTACGTAGTCCTCCAAGACATCGACATAAACATCTGCAGAATCGTATACGACCACCTTAGCGAAATAACGCTCCCTCTCCAAAAGAGCGTCCACTTGCTCGCTTCCCTCCACTTCCATGACACCTTCTACATGTGGACGGTTGTCCATTTCATGCAAGCTGTTGTAGTTGACGAACTATGGAGAAAAGAGATACATTATCGCAATATAATTGGAACCAAAAATTGTTGTCAATTTTATTGATCCAATATGTAGAGCCGCAACACAACGAGTAGTGGAGGATCACTCCCGATGCACAATGCGTGATGACGGAGTAATTTTGCACAAGAGCCAAAAAGGGCTAGGGCATTGGACCCGAGACGTAATGGGTGGCCAATGCAAATGTAACAATCAATTTGTGGAGATCCGTTTTTTTATATATATGACATTTAAACTTGAACAGAGAAAGTATAAAAGATGGACTTGGTTTTACTATAAAATCAAATTTAATCTTTATACGATTTAAAAACTAAGAGACAAAAAAGCACAATTAGAGTCCAACAGAACCGAATAGGTTATCCAATGGTTTCCTCTGTGCAACTATGCTAGTGAAGTCTAAATTAGTTCAATATAGTTTAGTTGCACATGTCTACTTGTGATCTGTTATCTTGTCCATAAGTATCAACAAAAACAACCAACAACCAAGACAATCTTAAAGGGCTAAGCTATAAAAATGCATATTTCAATTTCACCCTTACTCAAAACACATCAAGCGTATGGAAAATTTTACTTGAACAAAGATAAAAGAGTAAGTTATTTCACTAGATATGTATGCTATGTTTAACAACAAAAACACCATTTTATATAACGAAGCGAGCGTAGCTCAATTGGTTAGCTTTATTACAGTGAAACCTACTCATTAAAATATATGTTTGTATTTATAGCTATATACCCGTCCGTCCAAGTACATAAGATTAATTGCCACCTATAAAATGGGCTTAGGTTAGATGTTGTGTTTGCCGTATTTAAGTGACTAAGATGGCCCAAATATCATTTCACGAAGTTTTTTTTTTCTCTCTATGGCCGTGTTTAGTTCACCCCAACTACCCCAAATTTCCAATTTTCCATCACATCACATCACATCCAAAAATTTTCCTACACATATAAACTTCTAACTTTTTTTCTAAACTCCCAACTTTCTTCAAACTTTCAACTTTTTTCAGAAACTAACCACACCCTGTAAAAGCTACTATCTCTTCTTAAAACAAACAAACGCCTGTCATCGGGCGGTTCGGACTTCTTCGGACACGAAACAGCTAAAATTCTCACAAAGACCCCCTAAACTATCTGCTATTCTCCTGAAACCACTTAATTTATCACAAACACCCCTCGTAGACCTTAAATTTAGAAAAACAAGCCCCTCCCCCCTTCCCCCAAATCACAAGCAGAGCAGAGTGCTCGCGCAGTTTGGCACCGAAGCCACGCCACCACCAACTCCTCCCCCCAAATCCGCCATGGAAGACGGCCACGCTCCCGCCGGAGCCGAGCTCGCGGTGGCCCTCGACGAGGAGGAGGAGGAGGCCGCCCCGCTGGTATCCGGCAGACGCGGCGCCGCGGCGGCGGCGAGGGCGGCGACGTCCCAGACCCGCGACCTGCACCTGCTGAGCTCGGCCTTCCTCTTCGTCTTCCTCGCCTACCACGCCGCCCAGAACCTGCAGAGCACCGTCAACACGGTAGCCGAATCGATTCAATTCGACCGATCGATCGATCACGCAGACGCGGCCTCCATGGATTCAGATTAATCCGATCGGATTTGGTGTTTTGCATTGCTGGTGGGTGGGTGGGGTTGCAGGACGAGAACCTGGGGTCGGTGTCGCTGGGGCTCCTGTACACGTCGTTCACGGCGTTCTCGGTGGTGGGCTCGCCGGTGGTGCGGCGGATGGGGTCCAGGCGCGCGCTCGTGCTCGGCACCTCCGGCTACCTCCTCTTCATCGCCGCCAACCTCGTCCCCTCCTGGTAAAACCTAACCAACCTGCTCGATCCCTTCCTCCTCCTCCTCCCTATCACAGCGTAGATTAGCACTAGCGAATAGTGGAATGGATGAAACTCTGAATAATTCAGAAATTCAGACGAGTCTGACTGATTTCTTTTTCTGAATTCTGACGGTTCATCTGACTTGTTTAGCTAGAAGAAAATGGGGATTTGGGAGTGAGTTGAATAATGAAGGAATCCCGGGGGTGGTATTTGCAAAAATGATTTCGTCATTTTATTTTTGGGGTTAGATTAGCATTTGCTTGACAGCCGGCCAGGGCCTTACTATCGGAAGCGTTTAAATTAAAGATTTGTCTTGATTATCTACACTCGCAGTTGAGCCGTAGCCAATTTTGAATTTTAGAAACAATTTAGGTTATTTTATCGCTTTTGTCACTCAGTTTTGACTTGTGACCGGTAAGAGTAGAAGCATAAAATTCTCGTGTTAAAAATGTATTTTTCATAACATTGATCACGTGTCTTCATTTGTTTGAAAGATCCGATTGCCTGTCTATACTATAAGAATGTTGATAATGGCCATGTTTAGGTGTTTATTTGTTTTGGCAAAAAAAATTGACGTATACGGACACACAATTGAAGTATTAAATGTAGACTAATAAGCCTAATTAATCCATCATTAGTTGTAGCATCACATTATCAAATTATGACGTAATTAGGCTCAAAAGATTCATCTCTCAATTTACATGCAAACTATGTAATTGTTTTTTTCGTTTATATTTAATGCTTCATGTGTCCAAACATTTGATCTGACGGAAAAGTTGGAAGTTTGAAAGGAACTAAACATAGCCAATGTCTCTTCAACTTATAAATCGTAGCCTCGAAACACCAAAAATACCTTTCCTAAAGTTTAGATGAATCAGTTCGGCGGATATTTCTCAACAACGCTAGATGGCCTATCTCCAAATTCATTGCAGTCCTTCCATATACCGATAACTTGTGAATTGTGATATCTTCTCTTTTTGAATCGATGAAGTATAAGCGAATCACATATAGCGGCTTGTTTCTATGCATTAGGCAACGAAAAGAAGTAGAGTGACCGAGCTGAAAGCCTGAAACGCAACGATCTGATTCATCTGAAGTTCTGAACATGCATTGCCCACTGCCAACTGCCGACTGCCAAGTTGCCGACCAGAAGCTGCAGCATTTTGCACCAAGAAAGTAAGGATGAATCCGAGCTGAAACTTTTGGCTCAAACGGGCGACGAATCCGGAGCAAATTATCATCAGAGTAGGATAATCTCGTCGGCAGCTGATGGTTTAGTTTTTTTGTTGGAGAGGCAGATGGTTTAATTAGTAGTTCCATGATTTGATCAGATGCGTCACCTGACAAAGAAGATCCCCCAAATTGTATGATACTGCTTGAGCTGCAAATGGATGCGATTAACTATTTAGCTCCAACGGCAGCATTGGATTAGGATATGAACCAACGGCCAAGCCACTGTCACTGCCATCCTTGAAAAAAAATCCAAGAGCATAACAACACTGGGGTTGCAGGCAGCTTAGCATGTGTTTGATTTGGGGATGAGGTAAGATGGGTTGGACTCATCCTTGTTTTTAGGATAGGATCATTTTAGAGTCTCAAGATCATTCTCGTTATTCTAAAAAGTTCTCTCTCTAATTGGATTGAAAATGTGTTCTAGCAAATTGCTAGTTTTAAAGTATTTTTCAGCTGTAGCACGTTTTTACGATATCCCCTAGCAAATTACACAAACTTTGAGTGCCATGTAGTAAAATTTGTCTAAATTTTTAGTCTTTGAATCTTAGTCTACACTATACCTAAGCCAATAATCCAAAATCATGCATACTCATAATATTGTTTGAATCTCCTGAAAATAAAGATGAATATAAAGATTAAGTGTTTCACATAAAACGAGATGGTAATAACGTGTGATTAATTAAGTTTTAATTATTTCAAACTTGAAAAAGGATTAATCTGATATTTTAGAACAACTTTCATATAGAAAGTTTTCGCACGAAACACACCGTTTAGCAGTTTGAAAAGCGTGCAACCTTAATCTAAAATTTAATCCACCCTTTTCATGACTAACGAACGGGACCGCTTCATTTTACTTGTTTGGGAGAGTTCCCTAACTCCCATTACCAAACACAGCATAAGAGAATACAATCGGCAAGATAGGAAAAACGATTTACTCTCATTTAAATTACTTGTCTTTCTAACTTTACCTTGAATCAAACATCTCTACTTTCTACCATCGTTTTTTAAAAATTTGTGTAAACGAAGCCGAACTTCATCCACCAATTATGCCAAGCGATTGGGATCCTCTTCAGTCACTGCCCACTACACCGTGCCTTTGTCATTGATATGTGGACCTGATGTGTCGTCGGGCTCATTTATTAGTGACAAAGGCATGGTGCAGTCGACTGATCTCTATCCTGATACCAAGTGGTCCTTGTTAGTTGAAAAATTGGAAGTAACTAGAAAAAAAAATCTTCCAAGGCCAGTAGGCCACTGACAAAATGACAAGAGGCGGGGACAGGAAGGAAACGCCAAAGCAGTTACCTGCAGGTGGGGACAAACCCCGCGGCTTCGAGCCACTGCCATGTGGGCCCCACCTCCGCCTCCGCGCCTCGTCGCCTCCGCTCCCCTCCCATCCCCTCGCTACCTCACTCTACCCGCTCTATAAAAGGCCTTCTAGAAGGAGCTTCCCGCCTCAAGCCGCGCGGATCGATCGCTTCTAGAAGCTTCCGCCTCCGCCGCGGGCCATGGACGCGCGAGGAGGCCACCACCGCGACGAGGAGGAGGAGGCGGCCGCGGCGCCGCTCCTCGCCGGCGCCGCGCCGTTGGGTTACTCGGGCCACCGCCGTAGCCACGCCGGCGACCTGCACGTCCTCTCCGCCGCGTTCCTCTTCGTCTTCTCCGCCTACTGCGCCGCGCAGAACCTCGAGAGCTCGGTCAACACCGTGAGTGTGCCATCTCGTCCCTCCTCGGTCCTCGTCCTCGTCCTCCTCGTCGTCGATCGGTCGAGCTGATCTCGATCGCCGCCTTTCCTGATCCGTGGATGATGCTGGCCGCAGGAGGGCGACCTGGGCACGGTGTCCATGGGGATTCTGTACACCTCCTTCACGCTCTTCTCGGTGGCCGCGTCGCCCGTGGTCACGTGGCTCGGCTCCAAGCGCGCGCTCGTCGTCGGCACCAGCGGCTACGTCATCTTCATCCTCGCCAACCTCGTCCCGACATGGTGCGTGCGGCCGTACGCTCGCCTTCGCCTACGGATCCCATGGTTTTGGGTTTTGACGCCTTCGCCTACGGATCCCATGGTTTTGATTTTTGACATGGTCCGCATGGTATCGCTGGTGCCTAATTGGGCGTGCTGGTTTGGATGCCTCACGCCTGTTTGATGAAATGCCTAGCTAGACCGTGTTGATATGATGCTCCTTTTGCTCAGACACGGGTACTACTGTTGTTAATCGATCATATGGTTTTAATTTGGCGGTGCAGTGTAGCTCGTCTCACCAGTCTACTGTAAGTGTTTGGTTGTGCACGGAATGCATTTTCATTTTCTGATAATTAAATGCTCTGTTACCCTTTTTGGTGTAGCTGAGAGCCCATACAGCAAATTAGTTAAAACAATCGACAAGTTTTTTTTACTATGCTACTACCTCAGTTTTTTAATTGATGACGTAGTTGACTTTTTGTCACACGTTTGATCATTTGTTTTATTCAAAAAATGTTATCTAATTATTTTTTTTGTGAATTGTTTTATCACTCAAAGTATTTTAAGCATTATTTATATCTTATACATTTGCATAAAATTTTTGAATAAGATGAATGAATAAACATGTGTTCAAAAGTCAACGGCGTCATCTATTAAAAAACGTAGGGAGTATTTACCAGCAACAATGTTTCATTTTCTTCTTTAATATATAGCACTCTCATACAAATATGGATGGCCGATGGATTCTGGCCCTAGTTGATGTGCTTTCTATTATACTATGAAATATTTCAGCTGTGCAAAATACTATTAGAAATGAATCCTTTATGTTTAACATATGCTGAGATTCTATATATGGATGTTAATTTGTGCAACAAATTGTCAGGTACACAAAATACTATTAGAAATGAATCCTTTATGTTTAACATATTCTGAGATTCTATATACGGATTTTAATTTGTGCAACAAATTATCAGGTACACAATGGTGCCAGCCTCCCTGTATCTGGGTTTTACTGCATCGATCATCTGGGTTGGGCAGGTATTTACTTGACAGTGTGCTTGATAAGTCTTCTCTGGTATCCAGTAATCCAGCTCACATAATATATCTCACACTGCAGGGTACATATCTCACGTCTGCTGCCCTCAGTCATGCAAGAGACAATAATTTGCCTGAAGGCCAAACTTTGGGGAACTTCAATGGAGAGTTCTGGGGAATGTTTGCTAGCACACAGGTATGGTTGTACAAAGCTATTCTCCACCAAAACTTGCCAAGACATATTTTAGTATCTGTTCTTCATAACTCAAGTGTAGCATCTATTTCTTTCTGCACATGTGGGCTCTACAGATACAAGGTGTCTTTGACTATTTACATTTGAATTATGCAGGTCATTGGAAATTTGATCTCTCTTGCACTACTGAGAGATGGAAAGGTTAGCATCTTAATTTTGATCTTCTCATGTCTTATCAGAATATCCTGGACTGTCATTTGTTATATATTGTGTACCGCTAACTAGTAACTAAAGTGAACTTCATGATACGTACTTTTAGCATCATGATTTGTTGCAGTAAGAGAAAATATAGTTCTGATGTTAACTGGAGAGTCCCATTGTTTCTTTTATTCTATCCTGGAAACTTCTGTTGTACCTCTATACCCAATTCAAAATATGTGTTCTGCTAGGTTTACAAAATTGTCTCAAAATGCATCGATATATTAGTTGTAACAAAATAATGATTGCAAACAAAAATATTGCAGCACACTACAAGAGAACTATAGAATAATTGCAATGAGCACTACTGAAAATAAATCTTAATATTTATCTTTTAGATGTACATTTTAAAATAAATATCTAAAATATTAGCTGTCCTACTCTAATTTCCCATGAACTTAACTATTATAAGATGCCCTGACTCCTGAGGTTAGCAATACTCAAAAGTCTAAACCCCCAAAAGTATTTGTTCAAACTGTTCATCAATATACTAGTTAAAAGTCTGTATGACTTTTGTTAAATTTTGAAACCTTTTATGTTCTTAATAAAAATCATGCTTGATCATGTGATTCCTTGTTACTCCAGGATGGAGGAAGTGTCACGGGGAAAAGTCTGCTGTTTGTTGTGTTTCTTGGCTGCATGATTGTCGGCATTATATTAATGTGTTTACTTTCCAAAAGGGACGAGAAAGGAAATAATGCTCCAACACATTCCTCATTTGGGGCTATGATGAAGTATATTGTTGCCCCTCTCAAGGACCGAAGGATGATTCTTATCATCCCTCTTATTGCATATTCAGGATTACAACAGGCATTTGTATGGTAAGTACTTTGTAGCGCATATTGCCTTTCGACATTTGTTGCTGTTTGATTTCTTATTATGTGCTCTGTAAGATAATGCTGTGTAATTTTTAGGGCTGTTTTCACGAAAAATATTGTAACACCTGTGCTTGGCATCTCTGGCGTTGGCGGAGCCATGGCAATATATGGTGCAGCCGATGTTGTTGTAAGTTTAAATCACTAAAGTTGTTAGCATAGCCTGATGCCATTTCACTATGAACTCTCTATTATCCTTTCCCTAGGGTCCTACTGTTGCTATTGCTTTGTGAAAGTATGGCATATCTTGTTTCCCAGTTATCTATAACTAATCTATATCATGCTAAACTATTGAAAATGCCATAATTTATGTTTTAGCTGACTTTTGATGGTTACCTGACACTGCAGTGTTCATTGGTTGCTGGACGTTTGACCTCTGGGCTTCATTCAGCTACATCTATCGTTTCGGTTGGAGCTATTCTTCAGGCTGTAGTCCTGTTCTGGTTACTTCTTTTTTACAGGTTTGGTTTCGTTAATCGTCACTGTGCTGTTACACCTTTCTTCTGCAGTTATGCTTGCCATTGGTATCACAGTGAGCTCATCTTTCTATTGCCTACAGTCCAATGGGTGGACTGCTTGGTGCAGCAGTTCCACTGTTTATAGGTGCCTTATGGGGTGTTGGTGATGGTGTCTTGAATACACAGTTAAGTGCATTACTTGGGCTGCTGTTCGAGGATGTCAAGGTAATATCGTTTTAGTTTTCTTTAGCTTTTCATCAGCACGGTAGCGTTCTTCCTATCGATGACGGAAAAATATAATATATGGCATTTCATTTGCTGATACTTAAATGGATACTGAAATGATTATTTTGGAAAAATGTCAAATGCAGGAGGCAGCTTTTGCACAGTTGAAGGTTTGGCAATCGGGTGCCATCGCAGTCATCTTCTTCCTGAGCCCAAATATTACGCTACAAGCCATGCTTATCTTGATGGCCACTGCGCTCATCATCTCTTTCGGCGCATTCTTGTTACTTACACTTGTTGTGGAGAAGCCATCGACCGTCAGATCGTGAGGAAATCCGAAATCCTTTTGTCCAACAGAAACCAATTCCAAAGTGGGGCCAATTTCACCACATATCTTGATCAGTGTTACCAACAACCAAAGCAGCACATACTGTATGCACGAGCGATACGAAACCAAAAGGAAATGAGGTATCTGTCAGTTGATGTGCAACACAACACCACCCTGACTCCATTTGTTTCAGCGATTTTTGCTGAATTGAAGTGATTGCATTCAAAATTAGAGTGACGGCCTTGTAGCAAAATCTGTTTTCCTCCAGTTGTTTCTGTTCCGTGGTTGTTTCTACCAAATGTAACATCAGTCAAATATATATGTTTATAATAGCTGCTCTTTTGTTCTGAAAAAGGATGAGTGTTATTTCGACGTGGTTTGATGAAAAAAAGAAGAAGGTTACTCCTTCGGTCATTAATATATGAAGGGCCTCATCTTTTTCTTATGCTTATGCTTATCAGTCAAAATTTGAATTTTCAACCTTAAATTTAGAGTTGATTTTGAGATTTTTTTTCATCGAAGTTTATTTTTCTGCCTTTGCTTTTAAATCGTTAAGAACACGTATATAAAAGTTTTATTCATAAATTACTTTTCGTTTGCAAATATGTCGAAACGATGCTCCAGAAGTGTACATTTGATTAAATCTGTTTGAAAACAAGAAATTCCAAACCAAATATAAGCCAGAAAACAACATGACCAAAGATCGTTGTCGATATAGTCGCTGTACACTTCCCAATCATTTAATAAAATCTCTGCTCAACTTTCAACGAAGTCAATATTTTCCCAAATTATCGGCGTCACTAAGGTAGTGTTTGAATCTTCTGAAAAAGATTAAGTGTTTCACGCAAAACGAGGTGGTAATAACGTGTGATTAATTAAGTTTTAATTATTATAAACTTAAAAAATGAATTAATCTGATATTTTAGAACAACTTTCATATAGAATGTTTTCGCAAGAAACGTACCGTTTAGCAGTTTGAAAAACGTGCTACGAGTATCCAAAAGTTTATCCAACTTTTGTTGGAGAAAAAAACAACGCAGGTGGTGTTTGAATCTTCTAAAGATGAAGATGAAGATAAAGATTAAGTGTTTCACACAAAACCAAGGTGGTAATAATGTGTAATTAATTGAGTTTTAATTATTACAAACTTGAAAAATAATCTGATATTTTAAAACAACTTTTATATAGAAAGTTTTCACACGAAACGCACCGTTTAGTAGTTTAAAATATCACGAATATCCAAAAATTTATCCACTCTTTGTAGTGGAAACGAACGGGACCCACACACTCCATCGGTCTACCCCACATCCTCCTGCACCACAACAAGAAAAACAACGCAAATCGCAAATCAATTCTTGATTTTGATTTGCTCTCGGCTCTCTCGTTCGTGTGCACATCAAAATCTATACTCCTTTAAAAATATGGTGGTGGCACTACCACCTCAACATTCTTTTACACTTTTTTATAAATTAGCCCTTAAAATTTTATTACTACCTCCGTCACATTTTAAATGCAGTTGAGGGTTTATGTGTTCAATATTTGACCATCCGTCTTATTTGAAAAATTTATAAAAAAACTAAAAAATTAGTCACACATAAAATACTATTAATATTTTATCATTTAATAACAACAAAAATACTAATCATAAGAAAATTTCAAATAAGACGGACGGTTAAACGTTGGATATGAAAATATGTAAAACTGCAGTCTTTTTTTGAACGGATGTAGTAATATTATAGAATATTTTAATATTTCTTTTAAACAAGTGAATACCATATACTCCGTATTCAAATAACATATTTGAAAAATAGAAGTGAAGAAGAAAAAAAGAATCTTCGAAGGCCACTGACGAAGTGACAAGAAGAGGCGGGGACAGGAAGGAAACGCCATGTGGGCCCCACATGCAGGTAGGTACAAACCGCCATGTGGGCCCCACCTCGCCGCCTCCGCTCCACTCTCCTCGCCGTCGCCGGTCCTCGTCTCCTCCTCTATCTATATAAAAAAAAAAAACCTTCTAGAAGAAGCTTCCCGCCTCAACCCTCAAGCCGCGCGGATCGATCGCTTCTAGAAGCTTCCGCCTCCGCCGCCGCGGGCCATGGACGCGCGAGGAGGCCACCACCGCGACGACGAAGGCGATGAGGAGGCGGCCGGCCGGCGCCGGCGCCGACGGGGGTGCCACGGCGCCGCTCCTCGCCGGCGTCGCGCCGTTGGGTTACTCGGGCCACCGCTGGAGCCACGCGGGCGACCTGCACGTCCTCTCCGCCGCGTTCCTCTTCATCTTCTCCGCCTACTGCGCCGCGCAGAACCTCCAGAGCTCGGTCAACACCGTGAGTGTGCATCTCTCGTCGTCCTCGTCGTCGTCGGCGATCGGTCTCGAGCTGATCTCGATCGCCGCCTTTCCTGATCCGTGGGTGATGCTGGCTGCAGGAGGGCGACCTGGGCACGGTGTCCATGGGGATCCTGTACACCTCCTTCACGCTCTTCGCGGTGACCGCGTCGCCCGTGGTCACGTGGCTCGGCTCCAAGCGCGCGCTCGTCGTCGGCACCAGCGGCTACGTCATCTTCATCCTCGCTAACCTCGTCCCGACATGGTGCGTGCGCTCGCCTATGAATCGCATGGTTTTGAGTTTTCACATGGACCGTCCCGCGCATGGTAGCGCTGGTGCCTAATTGGGCGTGCTGGTTTGGATGCCTCACGCCTGTTTGATGAAATGCCTAGCTAGCTAGACCGTGTTGATATGATGCTCCTTTCGCTCAGACACTGGTATTACTGATCTTAATCGATCATATAGTCTTAATTTGGCGGTGTAGTGTGTAGCTCATGTTTGATTCGGGATGCGGTCTCACCAGTTTATTTTGAGTGTTTGGTTGTGGACGGAGGGCATTTCCATTTTCTGGTAATCAAATGCTGTGTTACCCTTTTTTGGTGTAGCTGAGAGTGAAATCTGAAGTAGCACATGTAGCGAATTACTCCTAGTTAAAACTATCGACAAGTTTTCTACTAGACTATTTACCAGCAACATGTTTCATTTTCTTTTATATATAGCACTCTCAAAAGATATGGATGGCCGATGGATTTTGGCCCTAGTTGATGTGCTTTCTAATATACTACTAAATGATTCAGCTGTGCAAAATATTATTAAAAATGAATACATTATATTTAAGGTATGCTGAGATTCTATATATGGATGTTAATTTGCACAACAAATTGTCAGGTACACAATGGTGCCAGCCTCCCTGTATCTGGGTTTTTCTGCATCGATCATCTGGGTTGGGCAGGTATTTACTTGCCAGTGAGCTTGTGAAGTCTTCTGTTGCATCCAGTAATCCAGCTCACATAATATATCTCACACTGCAGGGTACATATCTCACGTCTGCTGCCCTCAGTCATGCAAGAGACAATAATTTGCCTGAAGGCCAAACTTTGGGGAACTTCAATGGAGAGTTCTGGGGAATGTTTGCTAGCACACAGGTATGGTCGACTGGTCGTACTCGTACAAAGCTATTCTCCACCAAAACTTGCCAAGACATATTTTAGTATTCGTTCTTCATACCACAAGCGCAGCGTCTACTAGTATTTCTTTCTGCACATGTGGGCTCTACAGATACAAGGTGTCTATGACTTAATACAACATTCGAATTATGCAGGTCATCGGAAATCTGATCTCTCTTGCACTACTGAGAGATGGAAAGGTTAGCATCTTAATTTTGATCTTCTCATGTCTTATTAGAATATCCTAGACTGTCATTTGTTATGTATTGTGATTTGTGTACTGCTAACTAGTAACTAAAGTGAGCTTCATGAGATGTACTTTTAGCATCATGATTTGTTGTAGTAAGAGAAAATATAGTTTTGATATTAACCGGAGAGTCCCATTGTTTCTTTTATTCTATCCTGGAAACTTCTGTTATACCTCTATACCCAATTCAAAATTCTGCTAGGTTTACATTATGCCAAAATTGTCTCAAAATGCATCAGTATATTAGTTGTAACAAAATAATGATCGCAAACAAAAATATTGCAGCACACTACAAGACAACTATAGAAGAATCACAATGAGCACTACCGAAAATAAATCTTAATGTTTATCATTTAGATGTACATTTTAAAATAAATATCTAAAATATTAGCAGTCCTACTCTAATTTCCCATGGACTTAACTATTATAAAATGTCCTGACTCCTGAGGTTAGCAATACTCAGAAGTCTAAACCCTCAAAAGTATTTGTTCAAGCTGTTGATCAATATACTAGTTAAGGTCTGTATGACTTTTGATAAATTTTGAAACCTTTTATGTTCTTAATAACAATCATGCTTGTCCATGTGATTCCTTGTTACTCCAGGATGAAGTGTCACGGGGAAAAATCTGCTGTTTGTTGTGTTTCTTGGCTGCATGATTGTCGGCATTGTATTAATGTGTTTACTTTCCAAAAGGGATGAGAAAGGAAATACTGCTCCAACACATTCCTCATTTGGGGCCATGATGAAGTATATTGTTGCCCCTCTCAAGGACCGAAGGATGATTCTTATCATCCCTCTTATAGTATATTCAGGATTACAAGCGGCATTTGTATGGTAAGCACTTAGTAGCACAAATTGCTTTTGGACATTTTTTTGCTGTTTGATTTATTAATATTTTTTCTGTGAGATAATGCTGTGTAATTTTTAGGGCTGTATTCACTAAAAATATTGTAACACCTGTTCTTGGCGTCTCTGGAGTTGGCGGAGCCATGGCAATATATGGTGCAGCCGATGCTGTTGTAAGTTTAAATCACTAAAGTTGTTAGCACTATCCTGGTGGCATTTCAGTCTGAACTCTAGATTATCGTTTCCCTAGGGTCCTACTGTTGCTATTGCTTTGTGAAAGTATGGCATATCTTGTTTCCCAGCTATCTATAACTAATCTATATCATGCTAAACTATTGAAAATGCCATAATTTATGTTTTAGCTGACTTTTGATGGTTGTCTGACACTGCAGTGTGCATTGGTTGCTGGACGTTTGACCTCTGGGCTTCATTCAGCTACATCTATCGTTTCGGTTGGAGCTATTCTTCATGCTGTAGTCCTGTTCTGGTTACTTCTTTTTTACAGGTTTGGCTTCATGAATCATCATTGTGCTGTTGTACCATTCTTCTGCAGTTATGCTTGCCATTGGTATCACAATGAGCTCATCTTTCTACTGCCTACAGTCCAATGGGTGGATTGCTTGGTGCGGCAGTTCCACTGTTTATAGGTGCTTTATGGGGTGTTGGTGATGGTGTCTTACATACACAGTTAAGCGCATTACTTGGGCTGCTGTTCGAGGATGTCAAGGTAGTCTCATTTTAGTTTTCTTCAGCTTTTCATCTGCACAGTAGCATTCTTCCTATCGATGACGGAAAAATATAATGAATCACATTTCAATTGCTGATGCTTAAATGGATACTGAAATATTTATTTTGGAAAAATGTCAAATGCAGGAGGCAGCTTTTGCACAGTGGAGGGTTTGGCAATCGGGTGCCATCGCAGTCATCTTCTTCCTGAGCCCAAATATCACGCTACAAGCCATGCTTATCTTGATGGCCATTGCGCTCATCATCTCTTTCGGCTCATTCTTGTTACTTACACTTGTTGTGGAGAAGCCATCGACCACCAGATCGTGAGGAAATCCTTTTGTCCAACAGAAACCAATTCCAAAGTGGTGCCAATTTCACCGCACATCTTCTTCATCAGTGTTACCAACAACCTAAGCAGCACACACTGTATGCACGAGCGATACGAAACCAAAAGGAAATGAAGTATCTGTCAGTTGATGTACAACACAACACCCCTCTGTCTGCCATTTGTTTCAGCGATTTTTTTGCTGAATTGAAGTGATTGCATTCAAAATTGGGAAGTCGGCCTTGTAGCAAATCTTGTTTGGTACCGTTGTTTCTGTTCCGTGGTTGTTTGTACCAATCTAACAGCAATCAAATATATATGTTTGTAATAGCTGCTTTTTTGTTCTGAAAAAGGATGGGTGCTATTTTGACGTGGTTTCATGACAAAAAAAAAAGTTACTCCCTTCGGTACGTGCACATTTGATTAAATCTGTTTGAAAACAAAGAAATTCCAAACTAAATATAAGCCAGCAAACAACATGGCCAATGATCGTTGTCAGTATAGTCGCTGTACACTTCCCAATCATTTAATAGAATCTCAGCTCAACCCTCAACGAAGTCAAACTAGTCGGTGGTATTTTCCCAATTTATCGGCATCAATAACACAAAATGCATAAAAGCGTATATAACACGTCTTTTTCTATACGTCTCATCAATGCATCAGTTTGACAACACACTACATGCCATGACTACACCGTTTATCATAATGTCACTCCACAAACGGTTTGTGGAAAAAAAATCCGGTTGGGAGAAATTAGAATGTGAACCACAATCTGCTTATCCACACGCAACGAACAATTCATACACGGAAATTTCACAGCAGAGCATCCCTTCGCTCTCAAATAAATGATGTCTAAAAAGGAACATATCATGTGCAATGCGCACACCAACTAGCAAATATCACAGAAAATTTTAGAAAAAATTGGACATATATTTTCAATAGTATTACACCTACGTGTGAAATCTTATCTTCAAATTCATTGTATTTTAGTTGTAACAAAAAAAGACAAAATTCTGACTGATTTTTACCCTTAACACTGTTAGATTTTTCACCTTTTTGCTACGGCTAAAATATAATAAATTTGAATATGAGACTTTGCAGATATGTGTAGTACTATTAGGAGTAAATGTTCTTTTTTTTTTAGAATTTTCTGTGACATTTGCTAGTTGGTGTGCACGGAAAGCCTGTGTATAGGATATGTTCCCTTCCAAAAAAAATAGAATACATACTATTAAACCTTAAAATCGCAAAATCACTAATAATAATGACTAAAATATTACTATTTAACATGTTAAGAAAATATGAGTAAACGATGAAACAATTTCGTACGGCTATATTTTTCAATGAACATATATTTAAAATTCTACCAGAAGACGTGTGCTAGACAACTAGTTTGGTGACTAAGGGCATATTTGATAGAACTACATCCTAAGCAAAGCTTCACCTCAATAGTTCGTATTGTGGGACTACTTTAGCTCGCTCCACTCCTATTATGGATGGAGTTGAAACTGTTTGGCTAGGCCCGAAGGAGCTGGAGCTGGAGCTTTGCCAACGATCCTATGGGTTTGTTTGAAACTCCATATCGGACTAGCATATTAGCAGCATGGGAAACTCATTGACATATGATTAATTAAGTATAACTATTATAACTTTGAAAAATATATTTGTTTGATTTCTTTTTAAAAAAAAACTTTATATAGAAAATTTTTACACATAAATACATCGTTTAACAGTTTGAAAAACAAGAAAGTTTAAATTTAAAGTTTAGAACTCAGTCTATAAAAGAAAAGAACAAGAATAATAGTGTATTGTATGATTGTATCTAGTCCGATCTTGATTGAAGAGTTTTTGTTAGTTATAGCTTCTCTCGTAATTTCTAGCTCCCTAAATAGTAGTACTAGTCTAGATTCTCACTCATATTTTAATATATAACACCGTTAACTTTTGTTACAATCTTTGACTATTTGTCTTATTAAAAAATTATGTAAATCTTAATAATACAAGTACTGATTAAAGTTTCTTTATTGATAAATCAAGCCAAAATAAAAAAAATATTTATTTAAATTATTTTTGAATAAAACGAATGGTCAAACATAATGTAAAAATATAATAACTAAAAAATGGAGGTATTAATTACAAAACTAAAAACATGTAGTCATATATTGAAATTGATATTCCAAATTCTTACTGAGTAGTAGTAGCTTACTCTGTCTAACTCAAAATCCTAACACATCCATTAAATTCCGACCCACTGCTTTCGTCTAAAAAAACTCAACCTATGTTTAGCTAGGTTATTTTTTTTCTTTTTTTCGGAGGGAGTACTATCGAATAGGAGTAGTATCTATCCAGGCCCAGGAAGGCAAGCACAATTGCACAAACGACACCGAGCAACAATAATTCACACTAAATGCCTGGCCCACACACTCCACCGGTCTACCCACATCCTCCTGCACCACAGGAGATTAACAACGCAAATCAATTCTTGATTTTGATTCGCTCTCGGCTCTCTCGCTCGTGTTTCACATCAAAATCTTTTGCACTACCACCTCACCATTCTTTTAGTAGTATACTTTGTACAAATTAGCCCTTGGCATTTTCTTAATGTTGTAAATATTCCTATATTTATTTTTAATAAACAAGCGAATACCATATAATACCATATATTTAAATAAGTAAACAAGTCGTACTAACATATTGATAAAAGTATGATATATTATAATATATTTAATTTTATTCATTACAAAGCATGTGTATTTTACCGATGGCATATCTTAAACTTTGAAAAATTATAATAGCATGGTTCCAATTTACCCATGGGTATTTTATTAACCCTCAGAATTTATCTCAAAATATAACAACTCCTTCACCAACATTTTTTTCACAACCAATCACAAACCGTCTACCATTTATTTTTTCCACCTACCTCTACTACTCATCCAATCACAACCCTCCAGCACTAACTTCTACCTATTGTTTTAATAACCGTGTTTAATTTTAAAACTTCTTACATTCTACAACAAAAGGAGTATAATTTAGAAGGACAGAAAGTATATTTTAAAAATGATGAAGTACTATCTATCCAGCCCAGGCAGGCAACAACAAACGTCACAGAGCAACAATAATTCATAGGACTGAATGCCTGGCCCACACACTCCACCGGTCTACCCCACATCCTTCTGCACCACAGGAGATTAACAAGGCAAATCAATTCTTGATTTTGATTCGCTCTCGGCTCTCTCGCTCGTGTTTCACATCAAAATCTTTCGCACTTCCACCTCACCATTCTTTTAGTAGTACACTTTGTACAAATTAGCCCTTGGCATTTTCTCAATGTTGTGAAATATTCCTATATTTATTTTTAATAAACAAGTGAATACCATATATTTAAATAAATAAGTAAACAAGTCATACTAACATGTTAATTAAAATATGATATATTATAACATATTTAATTTCATTCATTACTACAAAGCATGGGTGTTTTTATTACTAGTTAACTAAATATAATTCGCCACTTCTCAATTCTCATTAAGCTCAGCTCAGCTACTAATCGATGAGCTCGGGACCATCACTTCGCTGGTAGCTCAGCTGATTCGATCGATCAGCCATGGCGGGGGAGAGGAGGTGGAGCACGGCGGCGGCGGCGGCTGGATGGCTGCGAGTGGCCGCCGTTGTGGTGGCCGCCGCCTCTGCCGCCTCGTCGGCGGCCGGCGAGGGGGTCGGCCGGCAGACGGTCCCGGCGATGTACGTGTTCGGCGACTCGCTGGTGGACGTCGGCAACAACGACTTCCTGCCGCCGCCGGCGCCGAGGCCGCCGGAGCCACCCTGCGGCATCGACCTCCCGCCCGAGGCCGCCGCCGCCGACGGCGGCGGCGGTGGCCGCTTCACCAACGGCTTCAACCTCGCCGACGTCATCGGTAAACATCAGCTGAGGAAGCTTTTTTTTTTTTGCTTATATTCTATATTCGAGAAAGAAAAAGAAAATCATTTATTTGAGCCCCAAAAAATATAAATCAAAGATCTATATATATTTTTAAAAAGAGGAATAATTTTTTTATGTGTATGGATCTCTTATTATTTGATTATTACCGACGAAAGAAAGAAAGAAAAATCAAATTATTACGCATGTGCATATATATTGATTTGCAGCGCAGCATGTGGGGTTCAAGAAGAGCCCGCCGGCGTACCTCTCCCTGACGACGCCGGGAAGAGACGGCGAACTCCGGCGAGGCCTCGTCGGCGCCAACTACGCCTCCAGCGGATCCGGCATCCTCGACTTCATTGTAAGTAATAGCGTTCACAGAATAAGAACGGCTGGAATTTCTGTTTTGCTTTTAGCAGAACAAATTAATTCAGCTAGATTTATGCAATTTTTGAAGATTTTGAATCATATAAAGGATGTTGGCCATACCATACTGAAATTTGAAACCCAATCCAAAATTTGATGCTTAGTGATGCATGACCTACTCCCTTCTCTCTCTCTCTCTTATCTTGGGATGTAAACATGAAGTTGTATTTTATCTGAAGGATTACAATCATGAACAATATATTTTTAAAAAGTTTCCATAATTATTTTAATGTCATATAAGAAACGAGGGGACATCCCCTCGAGGGGAAAGAAACACCCCTGAGCGATGGCCTTTCTTCGAATTCCATACCTGAACAATTCCATGATACTCTGTTTCAACCACAATCCTTTGGCATCCCCATTCGATTGCCAATTTCGCTCCATCACGGCAGGCCCAAACTTCAGAAAAAGTGCACCTGCAACGAACAGACACCACATCCTGTTCTTGCTGCAACGAATGAACCGGAGTCATCTCTCAGCACCATCCATGTGCCTTGAAATGCATTGAGTTATGCACACGCTGATGAGTTGGGTACCATGCTTGCATCCGATTGCCCATTTGGAAGCAGAGATTGTATTGCACAGAACAAATCAATGGATAAATCACAGATTGTTACAAAGTACAGCAACGAAATCTAAAGTCAGCTAGTCAGTCTAGCACAAATTGAACACTCTGTTCTACCTGCATTACATAATGAAGAACAGAGATATGGACTAGTGGCTATGGACTAATATTGATTAATTTCTTTTACTTTAGTAATGAAACAGAGGAAGGCATCGAAAAGCTCCTTTTCTACGATGAAAAACGAACGGTCTAAAATTAAATTGTTTTCTTACTTTTTCTCTTGAGAAAAGACAATCAGTATTACTATCCCTATTCTATTCAGATACTTCGATTTTTTTTTGAGTGAATTGTTCAGATAGTTTGATCAATTGCATGATATGACATGCAGGGGAACGGCACAATCAGCCTTGGAGAGCAGGTCAAGCTCTTCACCAAAACAAAGGAGGCAATGATCACCGCCGGCGAGGTCGACGGTGAGAACATCGACAACTTGCTCTCCCAGTCCTTGTTCATTACCTGCACCGGCGGCAACGACTACAATGCCTTCACTGATGGCATCGTCCCCGTCAGCGACGCGCCGGCCTTCATCGCCCACATGGTTGCCACTTACATCAAGCATATCAAGGTGTATATGTACTTTCATAATTCCAAACAACGGTTATTTTTTTCCTAACAAGGTTCTCTTAGACTTGTGAAAAGAAGTACTATGTTCTTATTCCCCCCTGTTTAGGCCTCCATTGGAATGGATAACTTTTGTGGAAATTTTGGTGGAAATGAACAACCAATTCTTGTGAAAATCTTATAAAACTATTTTATTCCAAAGAAGTCCCTATTGGCACGTATTGGAAAATAAGAGCGGTTGCCTTCAATTACAAAGGATATAATCAAAATTTAAATTAGATAGTGTCTCAAAATTCTTTAGCAACTTCTGTTTAGATTGACTATAGTCTCAAACAACTTACTGGATGTAGAGGTTGGATTGATTGATTTCCATTGTCGATAATTCAGTCTCAAACGACTTGCATTTAACATTGGAGGGGGAAACATGTCAGTCTAACATATATGCATCTTATTTCTTTTTAAAAAGATGTTCATGTTGTGTTGCTCGTGATGCAGACACTGTACAATCTAGGGGCTCGGAGGCTGGGGATACTTGACGTGCTACCTCTAGGGTGTCTACCGATCTCCAGGGTCCCCATTGAAAATGGTTCATGCAGTGGCACTGACAACTGGCAGGCACGGCTCTTCAACCGTCTCCTCCGACGAGAGATGACCGCCGCCGCCACAGCCTCCATGCCGGACTTGGTGTACTCCATCGGCAGCATTTACTACACCTTCTACGACATGATAAAGAATCCATCTTCGGCTGGTAAGTTACAAGTCGAAGATGTTTGTGAAATGGTAGTGAATAGAGAGTAAGATACTTCTGGTCTTCTTGTTTCTAAAAAATTATCCATCTCCTAGATGCCATGGAGAATTGAGAATCTTCATGTCTTTCGATTCTCATACTCATAATTAGAAATTCATAGGAGACCCATCATTTTGCAATATAAACTACATAAAAGAAACTCTTAGATAATTTTGAAACCAGGAGAGCATCTTAATATATATTCAGAAATATTTATCATTAGCCCGCCATTAAATTAACAAGTTTAAATAGAAGTTTATTTTGGTTGATAGCGAAGGATAGACAAGTCACTTTATACTTCAATAAAAATACACATTTCTTTCCTATAAAAAACTTCTACGAAGTTCCTGTGTTCCAGACAGAGCTTTCTCCTTCAGGATTCTTTCCTACAGTATTTCACTTCAAAAGAAAAAAAGAACACAGAGGTTTCACCTTATCTTTTTTTTTTGAACGAAAGGCAAAGCTTGCCTATTCATTGGATATAGAAGGGCAAATTTACAAGTAACGAAAAAGAGTAATATTTACAGCACAATGGTCCGGGTCTACGGTAACATCTCAGCTAGACGTTTGGCTCCTGCCATAGCCCAAGATTTTTGCCTCTTCCTTTATCTTCGTGATTAGGGCCACTGTGGTTAGCTCCTTTTCACCTTATCTTTTTAATTATGTGTGGTTGGATGGATGGAACAGGGGTGAGGGAGGTGGCGAGGGCGTGCTGCGGAGACGGCAAGCTGAACGCGGAGGCCGACTGCTCGGCGACCACCCACCTGTGCCCGGACCGGGACAACTACATCTTCTGGGACAAGGTGCACGGCACCCAGGCCGCCTACCACAACTGCGTCCACGCCTTCTTCCACGGCTCGCCGCGCTACGCCGAGCCCATCAGCTTCACCCAGCTGGTCGCCTCGCCGGCCGTCGATCTGGGGCGGCCGTCCCCGGGCACAAACCGGACGGCCAGGATTTGATCACCCAATGGACTCATATTGGTATAAGCATTGTTCATTGGTAAACAATGAAAATCGCTGGGTTTCCTTTGGTTTTGGGAGTCAGGAGATGGAGATGTTGAATTGGGGTTGATGATGGTATATATGTGCATAATTGAAGTGTGGTGATACCTCACGGTACATCCTAAGGACCACAGATTCTCAGATAAGACATTGTACAAGTTTTTGTGTTTTTTTCCTGAATAATTCCTCCTATGCTATAGAGCACTTGTTGTCATGCCTGGAAATTAAGCAGTGTCTAGTTGATCACTGCAGGAAGAAAGAAATGCTTGACTAGAGAAGAAGAAAAAAAACATATTGACCTATCTCAGCAGCACCTCTGAATTATGGACTACAAGATCTTGGATAAAGGCATTATACAAACAGCCTTTTTTTTTCTCTCCTGAATAATTGCTCCTATGCTATGGAGCACTTGTTGTTGTCATGCTTGGAAACTAAAGCAGTGTCTAGTGATCACTGCAGGAAAAGAAAAAAAGAAAAAAAAACTTGACAGGAGAAGAAATATGCTCCTGTTGTCCTGTCTCAGCAGCTTCTATGTTTCAGGTGACATTCAGTCATCTCTTCCTGAAAATGATGTGTGGATACCTACACCTAATTGTTTATGTATCTAAAAGGTGATGGAGTTGGAAGTCTTACCTAGTACATGATAGTAGTGTTGTAGATCACCAAACATGCATGTAATCATCTTAGAGATAGCTGCTTAATTAGGTCTTTTACAGTGAGAAATTATCAATACAAGTTAATTTGACATATACAACACAGTGATGATTAATGGCAAATTCTGTGTAACCAACTAGGCAGCTATGAATCTGTATGCAAAAGACTGGACATTGTGTGCACATTTTCCATGGTCTTGTTTGATGATCTTATGATTACACCAAAGATTAACCAGCATTTGTAAGTACATCATTTCAGAAATTCAGATTAAAGAAATAGAATGTGAAGTAAAGTACTCCTTCCAAGGTGGAAGGCGTATTTGTAACCGAAGAAAAATGTGAAATCAAAATACGCCTTGAAAATGGTGATTTCTGTGTAACCACTACGAATCATCACTCAGAAATTGCAGCTTGTGTGCACATTTTCCATGGTCTTGTTTGATAATCTTGTGATTACACCAAAGATTGCCGGCATTTGTAAGTAAATTATTCAGAATTTCAGATTACAGGAAAGGAATGTGAAGCAAAATACGCCTTCCAAGATAGAAGGCGTATTTGTGAGCGAAGAAAATGTGAATAGAAATACGCCTTGTAAAGTAGGAGGCGTATTTGTAAGCGCGGAGAGAAGAGAGCATATGCCGTTGATCTCGTCGACGAGAAGAGCGGCGGCGGCGGCGGATTCGATCGCTAGTAGTCGTCGAGGCGGCGGCCGATGGCGAGGGCGCGGACGAAGCAGGCGGAGGCGCCGACGGCGAGGCCGGCGAACGCCGGGGGCACGATCATGTCGGCGCCGGACCGCACCGCCATCCTCGCCGGCACGCACACGAAGTCCCCCCCGCCGTCGAGCGGCACCCGCACCGCGCCCGCCGCGCACAACTCCCCACTCCCCCCGCCTCCTCCGCCGCCGGTAAGCGCCCACACGAACGCGGCCTCCGGCGCGAACGACGCCACGGACACGGCCAGCGCCAGCGCCCCCGCCCACGCCACCGCGTGCCGCACCGCCGCGCCGCCTTCCCCGCGGCACCACCACCGTTCCCGCGCCCCCGCCACCAGCGCCCCCACCAGCGGATGCATCGATCGGTGCGCCGCGCCGCTTCTTCTCCGGAGTGGCGGATCGAGGTGAAGTGGGTGCGATCTTGATCGCGCCGCGGCGTCGTTCGAGCGAGCGAGCGATGGATGGATCGATAAAAAATGGAGGGGAGAGGTTACGTGTGAGTAGAGTACGTGAGTGGGTGAGCTAAGCGGGGAATACGCAGTGCGGGCTGCTGCGTTTGTTATTCAAAGGCTTTTTTTTTCTCAGTTTTGTTCATCTTTTTTGGGTTTGGTCGATGGAGACATGGCGAAACATGGATGATTTAATACAAGGAGTCTAAAAATTGCAACTTCACGAATTTTGTAGTGTAAAAATTTATACAGATATAATGTGGCTACCATCTTTCTGACTACATGTCTACTCTCTCCGTACATGTCTACTCTCTCCGTCCCTAAATATAAGGGATTTTGGTTGGATGTGACACATCCTAGTCCAGATTCGTTGTACTAGGATGTGTCACATCCAACCAAAATCTCTTATATTTAGGGACGGAGGGAGTACTAAATTTCACAAAATTTGACTAAAAATTTGCGTAAACCTTCTACTCCCTTCGATTCCACTGTTTCCACATTATAAGCACATATGTGGATCTTTATAATGTGTTAAACAGAGGAAGTACTACTGATAATTTGATGGAGGAATCACAGTGCCAGTACTAACAAAAATGTACATTCTGTTCCTTAGGTTTATGCATAAATAAACACGTCCCTGGCTAAAAACTATGTGAACATTTGAAAATCATTGCCTAAAAGAAATCTGACTATTAATCGAGTCCACTAGCCGAGCAAACAAAGGTCGGTAATGGAAACACCGACCCCTGTATTCGGCTATTTAACACCAGCAATCCGCTATGAAAACAAAAATGAGACGCATGAGCTCGCGAATCAACAAAAATTCGATGCAGCAGCTATGGATTCAGATGCAAACACATCGCAATGGTTTAACAAAATTCTCATTCACATTCATGATTGATCGATCATAATGTTTCAAAAAAACAACAGTTGTGCATGCCATACACTGCAACAGGGTAAACAAACATAAACCTGAAACAGATCAAGAAATCTGCCTACAAAAACATCATACTCTCGAGTCAGCCAAAACTCCACTCTGTGGGGGCATGCAAAACCGTATGCCTATATCCTCTTTTTTTGATCCATAAGTCACACCATCAGTAACAGCAGCTGCTGTGATGTATGGTATGGTTGGTATCCACCGCCTATGTGTCACTAAACCTGTGCCTAAACAAGAAGAAAATTATCCAGTCGCCCCATCACCACCGGGTGTATCTACTCTCACTTTCCAGTAAACACAACACTAACTACAGCTCCACCTGGCGAATCGCCACGTCATCAAACCAAGAGGGCCCCTGCTAGGGAGGCGTTACGCTCAGCTCGATGCCCCGTTGCCTCGCAGCTTCGGCGATGCTCTCTGTGCTGCTCCCACTGGCCTTACAGGAGTTCAAGTAAGAGTGCCATAGCTTGAAGGAGAACGGGTAGACTGAGGTTGCCTGCTGGTAGAATCTCTTCACGGTCTCTGCTGCCTGAAGTTTCTCAAGGAGACTGGCACCTTCTAACCATACTGATTCTGGTGCGACAGGAACAGCTCGGAAAATGGCGTTGATCAGAATGGAGCTGGCCCAGAATCGGGTGCCCATGGAAATAGAGTCATCACCTGTGCAATGCTTAACCATGAATTTACCAACCGCCAAGGCCAGACGGTAGTTTGCAGGAAGAACCTCCATCACTGATTCAACAAAATCGACCAGGTACTTAACTTCACCTATCGTTTCTGGAAGGAGAGATGGACCGTAGCACACCTCGAGGACAGAGTTTATCAGAGCAGGATTCGCGGAAGTTGGGCCTATAGTCTCATCTATCAACCGCTTAAGCCTGTGCTTCTTAACATTCTTCATAAACCTTCTTGACAGCAGATCCCTCACGGGCAAGTTCCGTTGATCTACAAGATAACCACTGATAAGACTGAAGGTTGCTTGAGTTTGAACATCTGTAGATGATGACGTTTTCTCCAGTGTGTGAATTGCAGCATGTTCCTTTATACAGTGCTCATAGCTCTCCCCATGTGCTAACTTCAATGCTTTGTCCATAGCAACTTTTGCTTCCTGTAGATTGTTCTCTATCGTCCTGTATAATGAGAGGTTTAATAGCCAAAAGATTTGATCCTCTGATGTAGATGTACCAGAACCAACTTCTTGTATAGAGGAAACTGATGACCGTACAGACTCTTCATTGCTGATCTCCATTGGTCTAGTAGCACCACCACTTTGAATATCACCATCTTTTCCATATTCTTCAAACCAGCGAGTCAGCAACTTCTCAGCTAGCTCGATATTATCTGCCAGAGCATGCTCAGCACATTGGTTCCACAGATACTGAATTCCTTGCACCTCTTTAGGCCAACCCAGGAGCAATTCATCAAATCCTTTCAGACCAGGACATGAACCGTACTTTCTATGTAGCCGAGCTGAGAAAACAAGAATATGAGGACACATTGGATACTCCTCCATATACTTCACCAGCAGATTAGCACAAGATTGGAAGCCTTCAAGAGTAGCTAGACAATTAATGTGGTTAACAGCGAGGAATTGTGAGAGCCTCAGGTAAGATGGATCCCCGTTTTTAACCGTTTCATTAATATCTACAGCAATCTTACCAGCAGCATAGTTCAATAGTACTAAAATCTGACTTCTGTTATCTACTGTAAGTTCAATAGGAGACCATACTAACGAATTAGGTAAATCCTTAAGAAATTCCAGTTGATCTATAATTTCCTCTGGAAGTTTCCTGTAAATTGAGACATATATGCAGGAAATCCAAAATATGCATCTGTCAGAAATGGTCAAGCAAGAAATGACATCAGCGAGCAACTTGTCACCAGAACAGTCGGGAGTTGCAGTCGGCAGAATCCCATAAATCCTGGAAATTGCTTTGTCCACATTTCCAGACATGCACAAGAAGTAAACCATCTGTAAGAAGATATCTAGGACAAAAGAACTTCTATCTTTCAATTCCATGTCTGTGACAGCTGTCATTTGGCAGAGCATGCTCAAAGCATCATTGTAAGCATCCAACCGATCATCAAAGCGCAACCTGCTGTTAATGTACATAAGCCATAGTTCATAGGAGCAAACATTGTGTTGAACCTAAAAGGAAGAAAAGTAGATGTTTTATCAAAGACCACATAATATTAGTATAAGATGATACAAACTAAAGCAAATATACATTGTGTCATAGCCTACATGGTCTAGAAATACAATAATGCTCATGCTACCAATGGTCCAATATTTTGGTCTGACAAGAAGTCCAACTAGTTTTTTTTTTCTCAGTTGACCATCTAGTTATGTCTTGTCCAATAAGTACAAAGTGAATACAAACTCATAAAAGCCTTTCACTGCTCAAACCTCCGTCACTGAGCATACTTCAGTTGAAGCGTGTCATAGCATGAAAGGGCTCATCAAGTGTTTATAAATGAACGAACTGAGTATGGAATCGAAACAGTGTAGGAAATTAAATGAAATTATGATATAGCCTTTTGCATTTCTAAGGTGAGCAGACCAACCACTCAGCACATAAAAGTAAAACAGGACATGCAGGCTAAACAAAAGAAAAAAGTATTAACAGTTCACGCATTTTACTATGAAACTTTCATAGTAGGGTGTGAACCGATCGGCAAAAGATTGATAAAATAGTCTACCGCATGGGAAAACATGTCATCTTTCCCTAGTCCTTCATCCTTTTGATAGTAAATATGAAGATAAAACACCCACAAGATAACTGTGCTTGGATCGGCCTCAATAGCACGTGCTAGATATAAAAGAGCCTGCAGGATGAATATTTTGAGATAAGCAGGTAGAAAATAAATGAAGCCCAATTAAAATGTGTTGAAAGTTGAAACTTGAAAGAGCTAGAACATCTCAAAACACTCAACGGGGAAGATCACCTTGAGCCTATCAGGTTTGTTGATTTTTCCAAAATACAGAATTAGTGCCCCTTCTAAGAATAGTTCAGCATCAACAGATCCCTGTACAATCTTATTCTACAGCACACAAAGTTAAATAACACTAGTCAAAATATAAGAAGAGAATAGGGCAAGAAACTAGATAGTATGAAACTAGCAGGAACTATGTCAAGTCATGAGTTTCAGCTACTAAGAAAACAGATGTGGCAAATAAGAACACTATCAATGGCAAATTTAATAATTTGTCCACTTTGGGTGCAAAATTCCATCTGTATCTATCTTCCTTTTTTGCAAGGAGAAGAATGAAAGGAGTGGACTAACACAAATTGAGCACCGAAAAGAGTTAGCCAGAGCCATCACAATATTAGGCAGGACAGCAAACTTGAAAGGATAAGTTCAGAGCGGAGAACCAGATACTGATAACTCCCACAATTCTGACGATAACTGTGATATGACGAATCCTACCCACCTTCCTACTATCCAGCATTCGAAGATTCAATAGTTGTCTGTCCCTATCAAAATTTGCACTCGAATCATCACCAGCCTGTAAGGATGGAGCATCTGATGGAAGCACCCTTTGAACAGATAAAGGAAAAGGAAAGGAAGCACAAAACCCCCTTTGCCAATACTGCCAAATGCTGCTAGCCAACACCGACTGGATCAAGTTCAGATCAGCCCTAATAAGATTTGAACCAACACGATAAGTTGGCACGGGCAGAATATGCTGAAACAGACCATAAGGAATCCACCCTGCATTAATTCCAGGCATTAATGTAGAAACTTCAGCAAACATAATATGAAAACCATACATGTATGCACCATAATCAATCATCAACAAGATTAATATTGTCTGAACATAAAACAAACCTGAAAATGAGGGCTTTGAATGCTTTGTGTGCTTTGACTTTCTCCAAGCATGATGCTCAACATGTTGCCATGGACATTCTTCATCATTGCATTTTCCTCGAAGCTCAAACATACAGAAAGGCCAGAAGGGATCAACCGCACCACTCACAATGTCCATATCCTTTCTAGTTGTTGAGTGCATCTTAGCATTATCCTTGGCAACATCTGGCAAACGAACCGTTGCTACAGAGGCTGCATTGCTGGTCTGACAGTCATTTTTGTAGTCTGAAGCTTTCTTGTGTAAATCAGGAAATAAACCCTTCATGTGTCTTGCAGCATTTTGTGGAGCTGAAGAAGGAATAATGGGATGAGTCACGCTCAATGGCATGCATAATTCTCCAAAAGAGGAAATATTTTCCTCATGATCATAGTTGCCAATTGAAGGCGCATTGCTAGAATCAGCTCTCTTTTCATGTGCATCATTCCCAAGCTCCACCATACCTATGCAATAGACCTCATGTCATTAAACTGTAGAAAGACATGCCATACTTATCCACATTTTTAATTAACATGCAAGGATACACTCAACATGTCCTCCAGTTCTCATGCATATATGAAGATAAAGAACTACTCCGTATGTTCTAGGACTTAATGCCCACTCAATTTTATTTCAATCGACCAATTTTAGCCATGTTTTGGGTGTTTAGAAGAGCTTGGCCATAGTAATTAGTTATTGCAAAGATAGCAAGATGACTGATTAATTTAACAGATGAAAACATGCTAGATCTCCAGTATGATGGCAACTGGCAATATTTTGATGCATGACATGTACGTAGGCCATCACTAAGTTTAACGCAAAAGTCAATAATAGGAACACAATGGACTTGGGGAATACAGAAATGCGTATAACCTTCAATGTTTGTCATAACATTCTCATCAGCCTCCTGTAGCAGAGGTCCCACATATGCCTTCTCACGCTCAATCTCAGATACTTTTCCAAAGGAGAGTTCTTCAGTGGCTTCTCCAGAATTATTCAAATATGATTTCTTCCCAAATCTCTCCACCAACCTTGATCTCAAAGAAGCTTCCAAAAGCTCATAGTCCTGCACACTTTCACCAGAAATTTGTCTGTTTTCCACAGGATAAACATGTATAGTTTCTTCCATGTGATCTTCCAGATTTGAAATACAATCTGATCTTGCCCGCTTTGAGGGGGGTAGAAGATCATCCTCCATGTAATCTGAAGGTGTGCTGTTATCATTGAAATTGTGTGAGCGTGCCTCATGCTTATCAACTGGCTGCTGAGGGGACTCCTCTGGGTATGGACTGCCAGACCTGCCACCCTGATTTCCAGGCATCTGACCATCTGCATTAGCTTGAGAGTTGAGCACAGATGGCATTACAAGACCGTGTCCAGCATTCTGAATACTCAAAGGCTGTGCCAAAGAAGAATTTTCAGCGATAAAACCATGGACTTGTGCAGAGCAAAGCTCTCTTTTTCTGCGAAGAATGGCACACCTTTCATTGGCCTCAATTAAAGCTCTTTGTGCTCTGCGATAAGCTCTTAGAGCTTCTCTTTCCTCTACTTCGCACTTCCTTCTATGCTCTTGAGCATCCTCCAGCTCCCTCTCTTGAAATTCCTCCATCTCAAGCAGAGAGAGCAATGATGTGTTCTGACCTGTGATAACTATCTGATCACCACAGTTCTCGGCATTCTGCCAAAATAACAGAGGAAAAGGCCTTTAGTATCCAGATGGATTGGCATCACAACTCAAGATTAGAGTAAGTTTAGTAAAATTAAAAATTTACTGCAAAAAATATCAAAACTGCAACTGTTGTGGTGCATTTCGTGAAACTGCAACTTTAAGACTAATTATCAAAAACCTAAACACCTGCTGCTCCATCCATTATCTGATGGGCAACTCAACGCAGCCACGTGCCAGCCTCATACGACTCATTACTGAAAGGAGGGAGATGTGTGGACTGACAGGTGGGTTCACCCTGTCAACTAACAGGGGAAGTGACAGTGATGTAGGTTCTGTAACTGTTCTTCTAATTGCTGTATTTTTTGTGAACTGCGGAACGGAAGTTCTAGGTTTTTATAATGTAATAAAACAGTTGAAATTATGTCAAATTTACCTTTAAGATTATGATATTCATTATATGCGGTAGAGATACAGACCCTGTTTATCTTTACGGGCAAAATAAATAAGAAATATATATACTGTTTTCTCGGATCAGGAAAATAGTGGAAACAAGCCAATTAGGGTTCCAATTTCATGGCAAGGAAGAGAATCTAGTGTGATCTCTCATACACTGAATTTGTAGGCTCGGTGCCAGTGTGTTGTCTAATGTAAGATTTAACAGTGGTGTTATTTCAGAAATAATGTAATTCGTAATTCCAACTTTCCCAGAAAAAAAAACAGGAACTATTGGTAAAAGAATTTGATACTGCAGACAAATAGCATTATCTGCGCGTTCAGTTTGTACTACATTCTAAGAGTGTTTGTATAAGAAACTGCAATAGAACAAGCATGAAATGGACAGACGGCTGAACTAACCTCCACTCCAGGTCCCAACTGTGGTCTCAGGTTTGGCACTGTTGATGTATCAGCAGGCATTATATGTTGCCCATTCCAAGTAGAAAGCATGTTATCCTTCACTTGAATAGATGACATTTCTACATTGGCACCAGCTCGGACAGAAGTTATAGGCACCAGAGTGTTAGCATCTTCCACCACAGATTGCTCATTAGCAGTTGGTGGTGCTGCATGCTTAACATGTTGTTTACCTGTAACATGGTTGTCAGCATCCGGTATAACTGTATGCTGCATTTTGGATAATGAAAGGCTCTTAATGGCACCAATATGATGCCCACCCGGTTCTGTTGTTACAGTATGCACTGCTTCATTAACATTGCAGTCCCTAATTCCATTTTCGATATGCTCTCTTCTTTCACAAGGTTGCACATTGCTTTTCCCCAGTGACTTGCCAGTAGGTACAGGTGGTATCTGATTAACAAGAACTTGGTTGTTGGAGCACTCCTGATTGGGCTTCAACCTTTTAATTGGTCTAATATCATGTCCAACAGGACCATTAAGGTGTGAGCATGCACCAATGCTTGAAGCTTCAAATCCTATCTTTTCCAAGGGTAACCTTGTCTGACCAGTGGGAAAACTTGAGTCCTTCAAAAGACTAGGTGACATTGGTCTTTTCACTTTCAATTCATTTTCCCTAGCAGCAATTTTGTGGCGTAAGCTTTCCAAATTATGAACCGCTGAACTTACTCCCACAACATTTCCATCCTTATGGATGGCCTTTTGGGGAGTGACTTGCCGAACAGGTGGATCTCTCCTAGCAAAGGTGGCACTCAATCCCCTGCCTACCCCTGAATTCCTATATGTTAGTGGAACAGCTGACCAATTTGCAGATCCAACCTTTGCAGCATGGATCTTCTGTTGAGGTGCTTCTTCCCTCATAATTCCAGTGTGCACATTAATCCCTGTTTTATATGTACCTTGTGAACTGTCTTTCCTGCCTCTCTTATCTTGCTTTGACATTCCAGAGTCGGACCCACTATCATCATCAGAGAAACTTATCACAAGGTTATCACTTGACACAGGCTTTTGCCAAGTAAGGTTTCGATTGGTGCCAGGTTTGAAAAGCCCTTGATTCACCCTCGTTGTCTTCTTATAACTTGGAGCAACTGTTTTGTGAGGAAAAGCACTTGAGAGACTCAGGCTATTACTGCCTAGCAAATCAAAATATAAGAGGCAAGAGAAAAGAACAAGTGTAAGAGACTTCCTATTTGAGAAAGGAACATCACGCAACAGCGGCATAAAGTGCGAAACAAAAGCATAAAAAAGGAAACAGTACTTGCTCTCACCTTTTCCAGGAAAATTTGCTGACAACACTTGAGTAGAAGCATCCGCATATTTGGAAACATTGGATGGAGCAGTGAACCGAGCCCGCAGAGGCTGCCGCCGCAATTGAATAACAAGGTAAGCCATTAATGTCGTTATGCTAAGCACGAATGAAGACAATAAACTAATAACTGCACGGTTACATACATGACGTGAAACAGCGATAAATGCGTAGTTAGAATGTTAGATACATAAATACACACCCAAAATAAATTCAAAATACCCATACAACACCCATCCTGCCCGAATTTTACACGTCCACACGGCAAGAGCAACTAAAGGGAGTCTAAATCATAGAGCTTCCACTAAGCAGCCGAACTTAAAGGCAGCTCCAACCAGAACTACAGGGTCACATCACATCATGCTCACAATACATATGCCCTAACCCTTCTCCTCCGGATAACCGCGAACAATTACAAGTAACAGCAATCACAATCTATTCGAGATCCCTATTTGTATCACAATACCCACCAATCAACGCATCCCCGCACCATCACCACCCACCCGGTCCTACCGCAAACCGAACGCGAATGCCGGAACGAACACCCCCCGCTCCTCCAAAATCCCAAGCTGAAACCCTAGTATACACCCTACGCGTGGTGAGTCAACCCCCCAAGCTGTTGCGGGCGCTACTGCTGCTGCTACCACCACAGCTACTACTACTACTGCTACCACTGCTTAGCCGGTCGGGTTCGGGACAACACAAAGCAAGGGGGTCGGGAGCCGTAAAGCCTCACCTCGTCGTCGTCGGCGCCGGAGGAGACCTCTCCCTCCTCCCGCACCCTGGCCACCGCCGCCGCCGCAGCCGACGAAGACCTGGAGGGCGCCGCGGCCGCAGGCGGAGGCGGGGGCGGAGGCGGAGGAGGAGGCGGCGGATGAGGAGGAGGAGGGGGAGGCTGCGAGGTGGACGCGCTAGGGTTCGCGGCCGCCGCCGCCGCCGCGGAGGCCGCGGGTCGCGGGGCTGACATGGGTAGCGTGTGCGGGCGGGGTCGCGTCGCGTTGCCTTCGCGCTCGCGTCTTCTTCGCCTCCTCCTTTCCTTTTGTTGGCAGGAGTTCAGATCGTAGAGATAGAGGCTGACAGGTGGGGCCCACGAAGAGCGAGCGACGTGGCCAACGCGGATTTTTATTTCTGAGGCGGACGCGGAATCCAACGTGGATGTGAAAAAAAAAAGATCATTTTTTGGGCAATTTGAATTACTTCCTCCATCCCAAAATGTAGGGTGTGTTTAGTTCACGCTAAAATTAAAAGTTTGGTTAAAATTGGAACGATGTGACGGAAAAGTTATGAAGTTTATGTGTGTGGAAAGTTTTGATGTGATGGAAAAGTTGAAAGTTTGAAGAAATATTTTGGAACTATAAACACGGTGGTAGCTACTAGTGCAGGACGTGACAGCTACATTACTAGATAACGTCACATCCTGTACTAGGTAGCTACATTTTGGGACGGAGGAAGCAGTAGTTTCTAGCGGCTATAATTTCTCGTAGAATTAAAACTTCATTTAAACAGTCTAGTTTTTCACCCAAATTCTAAAAAACTGTAATAAAAACCAGAAGCTTGGAAAACCTAACTTATCTAGCATATTCGTTGCAGTAGAAGCTCCCCAACTTATCCAGATTTTATAATATCTTAAACTCCCAACTTATCTACATTTTAAGAAGTTGGCTTCAAACCAATTGCATTAAGCTCCCCCCAACAGGCTTGTCATTTTTTGTTCTCTCTAACAATCTAGATTTTCAACTAAATTATTTTCAACTAAATTCTATTACCAAAATCTCAAAATATAAAGGATTTTGACCATGTGTAGTTTAAAAATATAAGAAAATTTGAACTATATAGTTACAATATTTTTGGACTTGGGTCAATAATGGCAAGTTTATGGAACTTCCGACAGCTGTACTTCTACCAACAACAAAAGCTCCTCCAAACAGTTTGGTTTTTTATCGATTCTAAAAAGCTGTAATTATAGAATTCAAAAAAAATAAATAGAACTATAAGCTTTTCTAATTCTCAGAAGAGTTGTTTCTCGCAATCTTAACCTCTTTAAACAGGGCCACCATACCTTGGTTCTCACATTAGCTGCTTCGTGGTATCTTCAGCTCCTCTAAACAAGACCTAAGCACTTTTACATTCATGCAGTGGTGACTGGTGAGTGCTGAAATGGATGTGTTTTTGCGAACTCCACAACACTACAATTGTGATGTGTGTACATGGAGAGCCATGCATCGCAATATCTCTCACAAGCTAGTGAATGAATAACTGGTAATTCACATGGACTGGCACAAGATTGAGTGGTATACAGATATAGAATTCAGGTGACACAAAAACTTGAGTTACACATAGTAGACGTTAAGTTCTTGGAAATGTTTCTCCCCCTCAACAATGAGTGACACAAAAAAAATAACTGGATGGATCATCCTACTGTGGTAAATAACAGAAACTGTAAATGTTCAATCATGTCTTCAGCTTCAAGTCTGGGTCTGAAGGTAGCGCCCTTCCGCGGTGGTTGAAGATCATGAAGTCCAGGTTAGCCGGGAGTGAAACAATCCTGCAGTTGACATTAACACAGATTAGAGAGAAATGATGTAGTACAGAATAGCAGGGTATTATTGTGGATCAAGCCATCAACTATTGGATAAGAGCAGACAAAAAGCTCTGGTGCAGGCTCTCAAAGCTTCAAGATACTAAAGAAGATTATGCATTATGGGAGCGAATCAAAAGAGGTCTAGAAAAAAAAGGAAAAAAAGGAAGATCTAATTCCCATAAATCATCCACATTATTCCAAATTCAGGTGCTAATAAGTGAATTTCAGGTATGGTATGGTAGATTTGAAGGATTTGTGAATAAAAAGGAACACTCTAATGCCCTGAAAAGGAGGGAGATCAAGTACAAGATAAACAAACTTTGAGGATTAATTTATCACTAGAAGACATGGGACAATAACACCAAAAATATTTCACATATTTATTTGTACAGGTCCTCTGATTTGCATTGCACGAACATCAACAAATAGTTATTCAGTATATGTTATTCTATTCATTACCTATCAAGTGTTATGACTGCTCCAACTTTACACAATCACAAAATTAATAAGTTTCAGCAACATAATTCTGCCGCAATAATTTTGTTCTAATGCATATACCATGTAACTATGTTTGGAAGGTCCTGCATAATAAACAAATAAGATTTTTCTTGTTTCCAACTTATGGTCTACCAAGTATCACAGCTGCATCAAATGCACGTGTTTAAATGATTGACGATAAAAAAAAAATCAAGACTTGGTGTGATCCCAATTGACTTCTGAATCCAAAATCTCTGTTTGACTGAATTTTTACAGTTTCAGATATTTTACATTACTTACTACTGAGTATATCCTACCAAAGAACTAATGCACCGACAGTATTGTGTGCATGTTTTTTTTTTCAATTTTCCATTGCAAAGTGTCTTTGTTACTTGCTTGTCAAACAATCAAACAAGCTCATGTTTGTTGGGAATTTCCATACCCTGATACACAACTGTCCTGGAACAACACCACAGTCGATTCTAATGATATTTTCAAAGATTATTGCTCAAAAAAAGATACAGAATCACAGCATCTGTAACTCCACTCCATAGTTTAGTTTCCACAATATGCAATTCAAAGTTAGAAAAGGGAACTACTTTGGAGTTTCTAAGACTGTCATCTTCAAAGCTAAATTATGGCTATCAGCCACCAGCGCATATTTACTCAACATAAGGAAAACAAATTAGCTCCAAACAGGTTTACCTATTCTCCTCAGAGTGAGGGAGCACTGAAAGGAACTTCGCTGGAACAGCAAGACCTGCCCACATGCATAAGGCCAACCCCAGGAGCAATTGCATCATCACCTGCATAATCAAAAGCATAAATTATGCAACGCAAAGACACCCCAAGGCCTAATTTATCGAATTTAGAGTCAAGTTGCCAATAAAACAGGCAGCTAGATCAGAACAACCAGGATCGAATTTGGAACCGGGTCACATGTAATTACGTAAACATACAGTGCAACTCATACACATCCAACCGCAATTTCAACCCATAACTTGCCAGCACCATTTTTGCGGAATTGGCATGCTTAAAGCAAATTCGGTGATAGTAACAAACAACTTTTCTCCTGTCAAACAACCTAAATCACTCTTTTCTTTTTGTTTTTGTCATCTGGAAACTTTAGTTATACACAATTCATGGCCATCATCTACCCTACCCCCAAACTCACTGTCAAATCAAGCAACCCAAATACTACATGTTTTGACCACCACAGCTTTACGCAACAGAAAATCAACCATTCATACCCCGAAAAAAAAAAGAAAAGAAAGCATCGCGAAGGGATAAGGGGGAACACTTACATCCATAGGCGGACTCGAGAACTCCTCCTCCGTGATCTTCAGCACGGCGCGATCTGCAGCAAACGGGCACAAACAAAAAAAAAATCAAATCGTGGAACTTAGCCACCCACCAAACAGCAACCCTTCTCCATCCAATTCATCCCCCCAACTACTACTACCAATTACTATACAAGCCACAAATTTCGACGCGAACCAACCCTACCCGATCTACTGCCCCGATCCGATCAATCCACATCCTCAGTGGCCCGGATCCAAGCCCGCGGCGGGAATCACTCGAACCGCAGGGGGAGGGGGGGGGGGCGAATCAGTCAACATACACTGGATGGTGGCGTAGGCGGCGTGGGCGAGGAGGGCGCCGCCGAGGACGCCGAGCACGTGGCCGATCCCCATGCGGCGAGGTTAGCAAGACTGGAGGAGACGCCCGCGAGCTGCTGCCTGCCGCCACGCCCCGCTCTTCTCCGGCTGCCGCCGTGCGCCGCCGCGTCCGGGTCTTCTCTCTCTCTCTCTCTCTCTCTCTCTCTCTCTCTCTCTCTCGCCCGCGATGCGACTCGATCTGCAGTTCGTCCCGTCCGGGGGATGTTGGATTCCTCTGCCGTGAAGAAGAAGGGCTACTGCGGTATCCCTTCGGATCCACCGTTGCTTGTGTCATCTAACGGTCCGGAACGTTTGGGGATCTTCGACTCGGAAAATATTGGGAATCCTATATAGTTAGGGCATATGCTCGATGTATTATGTCCACGAGTACTTGGTAATAAGGTGAGACCCGTATTAGTTATGGTGTTTGCTACAATGTATATGGTAAGAGAAGGCATTAGCCTGGGTTCTACTTGTCCCACTTAATTGTATGACATGTGAGGGAGAAGAGAAAGTATTGTTATTTTTTATTCTTATGGGTAGGCATTATGCATATTGAGAGCTTATCCTAAATACTACCGTATGGACTATTTTTATAGTGTATAAGGACTACTTTAGAGGCTTAAGACCCCCTCCTATTGCTACATTGTAGCTGCCCTTATATATATATATATATATGTATATATATATATATATATATATATATATATATATATAGTTCATCCTTACTAAGTGTAGTTACTCTTATTTCTTTCTTATCTATTAAGCCACATCACCCTAATTATTTTTAGCATTTTAATGATGGATATATGGTTTAAATTTTCTCTTCTTTTTTTTTTCTCATAATACCATGCAATCTTAATTTGTTTTGGTTTTAATAATCATGATATTATATCTTATTTATACATATTATGCACATCCTTTTATTATACTTGCTCTTACCAGTTTACCACATCTGACCTTTAGGCAAAGGTGTGATTTGAAACACTAACAGTGACCAAAAGTTGGATTAAAAGTCCGGCAAAAAGAATGAAGTATATGAATATATGACCATATGACTACATCAATAATCAAGCCACAACAACGCAGTTCCTGTCACTAAGCCCTCCATTTCACTGTCTCTCATACATGACAAAATCAAGAACCCTCTTTGAGTTTGGTGGATAAGGCCACCAACCAAGGCACAGAGAATTCAGAACTAGAAACAAACATTAACATTATTGCGTAATTACGTTACAAACTTACAGATGTAGTTTATTCTAACAATACGATCTTTCTTTGTTTTGTTTTACACCAACAACAGCACACATTCCCTCAGAGAGAAAGGCAACACCTCACACTGACAATTTCTGAAACAAAATGGACTCAAGCTGGGAACAGCGCAAATAGTTGTCTGAATTATGCTTCAGCCATGATGCAATCAATGGCTTGCTTGCAGATTCCAGTCATTGTTGCCTCTGGTCCATATACCTGCAATTCAGTGAATTCAGCTCGTCCGTTATGATCATGGGGATGGTCCAATGGTGTCCTATGTCTAATAAAGTTAATCTCTGACGAATTCTGATAAATAGTGTAGGAAATGGCTGAGCTAAGGTTTGCTGGAAGAACATAGTAAGTAGCCAGTAGGTCCATACCTCAATTGGAACACCAAGTTCTGCACCTAGTGTACGCATTTTGGCAAGGCCAGTTTGGTAGTTTGGACCACCTCTCCGAACGTAAATGTTCATCCGTGCAGCCTTCAATTTGGATTCCTGCCACCAGATTTGGAAGCCAGACAATAATAAGATGGATGAAGATTTTAATGGCAACAAGTGGGAGTGGTTGGGGACAGAACAACGATCCAATCGAAACTTGCCTTCTCTCTTAAAGCTCGAATGATGCCACTGAATGTAGCAGCGACATCAGTGAAGTTCGCTATACCACCTCCAATGAGAAGAGCTCTCTTACGGCCATCAGGATCAGCAGTGGCACACTACAAAGATTCAAATATCATTTTGTCAGAGCGGAAACATAATGATCAAACTGTCAGCCGAAAAGGTTCCTCTGGAGCCCTTACATCCAAAACCACTCTAGCATACTGCAGAACCTCCTCCTCGTTGGGAGCGCCGCTGTATTCTGCATAATTTCCAAGCTCTGACGCATATCCCAAATCTCCAACCTGGTGATATTGTCCAGTGTGTGAATGGCACTGATAAACTTCAAAACTTAACCTAAAAAAGATCTGGATAGAGTTAGACTTACAGTATCAGCATATATGACACTAGCACCACCACCTGCAACCATTGTCCAAATGCGCCCTTTCGGGTTCAGGACTGTGAATTTGAGCGATGAGCTTGTCTGAAAAATTACATCAACCTCAATTCAAGATTCAATATTTTGCATGCAGAGGCAGTGAAATTCAATTTGTATCCAAATTTAAGTGATATGTACTAACAGGCAGCAGACTTCAGAGGGGAAAGAAAGAAATATGAGGTTACCTTCTCATCCAGTTCATGGATAAAGCTTTCAGAGGGGCTGAGGACTCTTCCGAAAGGCAGAGGGAACTGAATGTTTCCCCACCTATGCCATGGAAGCTCTGGTTAGCATGACAAGCATGGTGAAAGGATTGAACTGGACACTATGTAAGCTAGAAAAAAAAAAGCCTGAATCATACTTCTTAAAGTTCTTAAAGGCAGCTGTGTCGTCCAATTCTCCTCTCATGTCTAGAGGATATGGTTCCCCATTCACCATGGTGAACGGATTCATCTCAAGGAATGAGAAATCCAAGTCTGCCAGAAGATCAATAGAATGAACTGAGTTATCTTGGAAAACAACAATTCCAGATTATTTTTATTTTTCAACTGTGAATTACCTTGGAAAACAGAATATACACCTCTGATGAAATCACCTATTTTTGTCCGAACCTGAAATTCAGACAGAAGACGTGAATGACATGAGCACAAGATGGCTAATGCAGACCAAAATAGGTATCATCAATAATAAGTTCTAACACTAGAGGAATTGAGTCCAGAATGGGAGAAAAGTCAACATGTTAAAAAAAAAACAACGTGACATGGGGAAGGTGATACAATGTATAAGCGTACCTCTAACGGTAGGGTGGCAATCAATGGAGCACACGCATCAGGTGTCATTGCTTTCTCGGTGGGAAGAAAAACTGTCTTGACCTTATCCCAGTTCTCCTCGATCTCAATACCTCCACACTCCGAGAAGCTAATGGTGGAACCAAGCCTCTCTGATACAATAGAAAGATAGTACTCTTGATCATGTGGAACAAATGGCTCAACTATGAATGTTGTAATAGGAGCCTTGCAGCCACCCATCTCAACCTGCATAACAGGCATACCGGATAGCTTAGAATAGTTATAACTAACAAGGTTTTAGAGGCAAAGCATGGGAAAATGTATAACTACCTCAACTCCCAACCGCTCTTTGACGAATTGGCGGACTTGAGCAAGATCTAGGTTGAGGGCCACAAGGCCACTCTTCCCACGTTTGCCAAACAGCATGTCGGGTTTCACAACCAACTTCATAGACGAGAGCCATGGCTCTTGGTTGACGAGCTCTGTGAAATCAGTTGATTCCGTGACCTAAGAAAAAGTACAGTTCAAATTAGTCATGGATTGCGGCACTATTAAACACAAACTACTGCAGAACAAAAGCTAATGCAGTCAAGAATATATCAAAACTAACTTCACTCTTTTTCACCCATAAGCGTAGCTATTCTAACACAGCTGAGTGTGCTTTTGAGTTCAAAGGAAATCAGAATAGATTGCTTGTTCCTATCTGGTATTTAGAAATATGACAACACTTAGCTTTTCATAGATGGTACTGAAATTCAACATGAGCCTACACCATCAGAGCAAGATTATCCTAACCCAAACTAGAGATGTTGAATCTCAGATCCAAGATGAAGCTTTGGACCTCGGTAGCGCACATTAAACGTCTACCATTATGGTTAAAAATCAAAAGAAAGGTAACCAAATATCAAAAGCAGAGCACTCCAAGTCAAAAGCTACCAACCAGTTCACCTACCAGCAGTGGAATTTCATTAGGAAAACCAGACACCGAAACCAAAACCTTGGTAAGGACAATAAAGCAATACCTCAGACAGAGTTTACACCATCATCGCAACAGATCTAAGACACACCTTGTGCATCACATGACCCATCCAACCCACAAACAAAAGCATCATACCATCATACCACTAATGAGATCCCATAGCACAAAGGATGCTCCGATGATCGCAGGTTGCATCAAATATGCGAAAAGCTTAGCAGCAGTGGAAGTGTACGATTGCTGTAAACAATTCCCCATTCTCATTTTATCCAATTCAAATGTATTTTGCCCAATCACCCAAACAGATTTCGTTGCCAGGTACTAACCATTCTAACAAATCACATATACTTCCACATCAGCCGGCAGCTACAGCCACAGCTACAATCACCAGTTGACAACACGAAATTGAGCCCTCTTTGAGCAGAATTTCGCCTAATCGGAGCACACCTCCGAGTCCAAAACACCTCAGAACTCCAACCCTTACCCCCCCTCCCCCCCCCCCCCCCCCCCGAAGATCCTACGAGGCCAAACCGCGAGAGGTCGCCGAATCCACACGCTCCGATCCCCGAGCGCCGAGATCCACGCGGAATTCCACCAAACCACGAGCCGATCCAAGCGCGAGGAACAGAGAGGTAGATGGATGTGGTGTACCTGGGCGGAGAGGATGTGGAGGTCGATGGCGGCGAGGCGCTTGAGGTGCTCCCTTAGGAGGCGCTTGGAGTCGTACTCCCGGATCTTCTTCCGCGCCATGGCTCTCTGCCTCTCTCTCTCTCTCTCTCTCTCTCTCTCTCTCCCCACACCTCCGCCGCTTCCAGAAGTTTCTAGAACCTCCTCCTTCGACCGAGCGATGTGTGTGCGGGTGCGGGCGGATCGGCTTGGGTCGCGTGCGCGCTGACGTATGTGGGTGGGTGTATTTATAGGCGTTAGTGAGGCAGCGGCGGCGGCGGCAGCTGAGGTGGGTGGGGGTGGGTTGGATGGATGGGGATCTGAATATCTGATTGCTCTGAATATCTGAAAGTCTCTGATGAATCTCGAAATATTTGCTTGGTGATACTGAGCGTATACTTAAAATCTTGAAAGTGTATTGTGGGATTTATTTATATGTGAAAAATTATATTATCATAATTCTTTTTCATGAAAAAACATTTTCAGATAGTTATCCTTTTAACTTTTACTCTCTCCGTCACATAATATAACAACATAAAAACTAGATAGAACCTTACTGTATAATATTTAAAATATATCTGGACATATTGTACTAGTTAATATCTCATTCTACGTTGCTATATTTTAGGATGGAGGGAGTAACTCATATAAGTAGCGATGGGCTATGAGCAGATTAGGGATAAAATATTAGATAGGACGACTTAGCTTTTTAAGGTAGTAGAGTAATTTCTGTAGATATAATCACATATTGACAAGTAATAATAAAGTAGCATTATGTTGTTAGTTAGAGATTGTATCCATATACTAGTGTCAGGCAACATGTGAAAAACATCATAGTTACTTGCTGCTCTTCCACATCAAAGAAAAAAAAAGTATATTACTACTCCTTCACTGTGTTCAGAAATGTAAGAGCATTTTGTACTCTGTGTTAATCGATTAATGTCTAAAATATTATATCTTGGGGAAAAACTTTTTTTCTTGTTTGGCCAAAAGAATACATAAACAATAGAGATTCCTACAACTAGGTGGATTTCACTACATTCCACACTGCATTTTTTTTATTGGTTAAATCATGGGAGATCAAAGTCCGTCCATAAAAATTGGGGTTTTGGTGTACAATACAAAATGAAGCTTTTTTGTTTAAAAAAGCCAACTTAAACAATGTAAATGCTATATATATTGATTAAATTTGCATATAATAGACCAAAGCTAGACCTATTTTTTTACTTGATGCTTGGCATTTTACAGTCCATTGCAGGGTATTTATCGTCAATACTTTTTACTCCATCCGCATCACAGCCGGCGGTACTCTATTCATATCAATAGAGATAGTGACAACTGACAAACATGCTCCTCTAGCTGAACAAGTAGTAATTTTGCACAACTAACATTAGTTAGAACTGTTCCATTAAAAAAACAATAGTTAAGGGCAGTCTCAACTCTCTATCTAGGATGGTGTCTATGGCATTAACTACATTGTCATGTAGGACTTTTAGCTTATGTGACACTATATTAATTAAGAGAGAGAGTGAATAGATGAAGAAATTGGGTCTCATGCAAGACACAGCTTCAACACGAGAACCTATGCACTAGACACTATCAAGTTTTGCATTGGGAGAGAATAGTGGCTTTATAATAGATGAAGAATAAATATAATTGGTAGAGAAAAGAGATGATGTATTTATTAATGGCCCACTTTAAGAAATCATGGGTTGTAGAGTGTAGTTTCTATTGTGATATCTTATTGACATGACACTATAGACACTGTTTATGGACACTATGGATTGGGACTGCCCTAAAAGTTATGTCAAAAAAGCTCACTAGCCAACAGTGGTGGCGATCTACCTAAATTTGTACAGTACTAGTAGAAAGAAGAATTATGTGTTGATACCGTGACTCAGTTTTCCTTAAAAAATTACAAGAATCTTTAATGAACGCGAAGTAATCATTGAACATTTACGGGAGCCGAGGAAAACAAGCCTGTTATAGCTTAATTATTTAAGAAGAAAGAGATAAACTTTTTTAAAAATAAAATAAGGAGACCCGAATACATGTTAAAATAAATTAGAGGCAATTACAAATTTACCACTACTTTGAATCATTATTGCAAAACTACCACGAAAATTACAAAAATACTACTGAAATTATCATTCGAGTGGCATCCTTGCAATATTGAAAAAACCGGTGGTAAATTTGCAAATGCGGCCTAAAATGTTACGCTCCAATCTAAACCAATTTATCTTAACATAAATTTATTTTAGTAATAATAATGTAGTTGAAATCTGCTAGCCTGTCATCTTTCTAAGCGGATGATGGTCGTTTTTAAGGAGGATCAGACACCGGTGCCTGCACAAATATTTGTGTCCGATAGGAGGTTGGGTATGTGTTGTAGGTTGGAACTAAAATTTCTCACCTTTGCGTTTAATACAAGCAGATAATACTTTTCCTGTCAAGATAGTCTCCATCACGATAGTTCAAATCTACGTGATCATTTCCGATCCCACTCAATCCTATATTTGGCAGAATGAGTTTATATTACCACAGAGACTGGTGGGCAAATTGCCAGGATCATGAACCATATGTCTATTAAGAGAATAAAACCAAGCATCTCAATTCTGACCTCCCCAGATAACACAAACACGATATGAACATGATATGATAATATCAGAGTCTGTCCTGCAGAATCCCCACAACAGATCGCCCAAAACGAACTATTTTTTCTGTTTACATACTACTAACTAATATAACCCCGGTTCTCAATCAACTCCGGTTCTCAATCAACTCCAAGTTAGTACATTCCAACATCAACATCACATCACATCTCACCGAAGCAAGGGAGGGATGCTCCTGAGAACAATTAACAATCACACGTAAAGGGCCAAACGGCCCTGCACAGACAAAATCCATTACATCCTACTACTACTCTCCGCCGTCAAAGACGGCGAACGGCAGCCATAGCTTTTGACCTGCTAATCTCTGAACATGTTAGACACGACGGGGTCGAGATGACATCGGGCATCACACCAGTCACTGGCATCAGGTTTTGATCCAGATACTCCATTCATCTACCTGCTGTGAATCACCCAACAAAAGATAGCCTGCAGTTTTAGCGATCTTGGGGGTGGAGGAAAGTTATTTATTCATCTCGGTAAGAGTTAGCAGCTGGGGTGGAGGCAGGGTTCCTCTTGACGAACTGGCCAGCAGGGCGTGGACCCCTGTTGTGGACGCGCTCCCTGTGCACTGGAGCCCCTTCGGTTCGCTCATCGGTACCTGGGTTCTGCTGGAAGTCTGCTGTTTTGTTATAGGATCCAACTGGCTGGTATTCGAGATGAGTGCCACCCCTCCGCCTTTCTGCGTTTGTGACATGGCTGGGCTTCCCAACATCATAACCCCTTCCCCTGTTTGTGCCACCTCCTCTGTGGTACCTCCCACCATTGTGGTGGCCCTGTCGGCGTGGCGCATGACTAAGCTGCTGCTGCTGTTCTGCATTTTCATGGCTCTCGCTCTTCTGGTAATCGTCTACATGCCTCTTTTCTCCTTTAACTTCTTCACTGTGTGCATGATTTTCATCGTTCCAACCAATGTTTTCAGCAAGGTTGTTGTTGCTGCTGTCTTGTGGAGTAGCACTATCCACATGCCCATCCTTAGCATTATTGCCATGCGAATTTCCCTGGGACTGAGGGATGGTTTTAGGTTTCCAATGAGATCTAGGTTGTGGTACTGTTCCACTGTGCTTCACATCAGATCTTGACATGTTTCTACGTTCATATGAGTTTGAATCAATGCCCGGTGCTGGTGGTGCTGCCATTTGATCCTTATTCTCATTCGGGTAGTTACTTCCCTCATTTCTCTGAGCCTTAACATGCTGACGCCTTTGCTTGTTAGCTGCACCATGTTCTTTGGCAACAGTGACTACTGATGAAACTGTTTCAGCTGGAACTGAACTGTTCCTGGCAGGAGCATCTGCTTGCTTGTCAGGTTCAGGTGGCTGATGCACAGTATGCTTCTGAAGTTCATGTGACTCTTGATAGTTGTCTGCTAGCTCAGTAGCTTTTGGTCCTACCAAAGTTGATTCATCTGTATTCCTTCTACGCCATGAAGGATGAGACTTTCCATGCCCCTTACTAGTTTTCTTGCCCTCCCATTTCTTGGCCTCAGGTGCAGTCTCAGGTTTAGCACCAGTAGACCTTTCAACTATTTCCTTGTCACGAATCTTGTTCTCCTCACAGGATTTTTCTGATGGTAAAATTTGCCTCAAATTCTGCTGCTGAAGCTCTTTGGACAGAGGCTTGGGTACATACCTCTCCATTTCAGCTCTTTTTGTTTTTGTAACATTCTCTCCATCGTTGGTGTTCAGCCCAGCTGGTTGAGTGGGAGCAACTACTCCTGTGCTCCACATGGCTTCGCCAGATTGTTCGCTGTGTCCTGATGGCTTAACTGGTGCCCATACAGCGCCCTCATTCCCATGTGGTCTCTCAATAGGCTGGATGGACTGCTGGTTCTTTCCTGATCTTTTTGCCTGCTGACGTTTTGGGTGGCTGTTTGAGGTACTACTATGAACTTCATCTGCCGGTTTGACACTCTCCTGCGGTTTGACACACTCCTGGTTCAAAGATCCAAATGAAATACCACCCACCATTATACTTCCCACAGTGACAACAGTACCTTCAGTAGGAACTATGGAACTACTGATGATAACACCAGCAGTTTGTGGTTTTGGCTCATTAGGGACTTTGACTGCATTCTGCTCATTGAGCGCTACTGGTGGATGCTTAGAAGTAACTGGAGCTTCGTCAACCTTTTTCTTATTTCTAGAGTGACGGGCACTCTTCTTGTTGTGGGCCAGGGTGTCATCATGTGATGTAACAACAGCAGTTGAAGTGTTTGAAAAGGCCTCAGCAATTTTCTTACCACTTTCCGTGCTTATCGCTCCACTGGACTTCTCACTAGGATTTTTTTCCTCTGACACAGCTTGCCTTCTTCTGTAGCCCTGCTTAGGCTTTGGAACATTAATGTCATGTGATTGCGCTACACCTTTCTGGGCTTCATGCTCTGAGTTCCTGGCCAACGTTGTAGTATTATGAATAGTAGGGTCTTTACCAACACCTAGAGTATGTGTTAGCACAGTAGGCTTGGGCTGTACAGAAAATTCAGTATGCTTAGGATCATTTGGTGGCTGAAGAGAATTGTGACCATCACATGCCACATCACAAGATTCAGCAGACAAATTAGCAGGTTTGGCAGTCTCTTCAAATCCAACCTTTTGCTTTTGTTGCACATCAGCAATATCTGGTGGTACATCATTTGAGCTCTTCTGATGTACTGATGAACGCCTATTCAGTTCTTCCAACTTCACAAGAGCTTTTGCTCTTTGTTGTTTTGTCCGTTCCTCCTCCTCAGCTTGCAACTGTTTTGCACGTTGTGCAGCCAGCTCCCTCATTTTTGCACGCTGAATGGAAGAACCAATAAAAAAATAGTCAGTAAGAACATGGTTATGAATTCCTACCTTGCACTAGATATTACATTATTAGTTGCCTGTTTTCAACATTTCATCCATTGCATCCCTATAAATAATTCTACATTCTATTAAAAAACTCTACAGTCAAGGTAGCTTGCTAAATGCTGATCTAATTATGGCAAAAACATACAGCACAAGTAGGTAACTAACAACAACACTATAGGCGGTTTAAGGTAAAAAGTTCACATCCAAGGACAAGAAAAAAAACTTTAATACAAAGTTTTGCGACATGCATAGCTACAAGCCTTCAAGTCGCCAGAAATTGGTACATAACTTTGTATTGCGCTCTGTTCAGAAATATATGACATTATAGAAAGCATGCAGTCAAATTTCTTTAATTTTAATTATATATACACTATTTAGATGGCCGTGGGAAAACATCATTCATTAGATTAACATGAAAAAAAAATATTTCCATAGTGATATGATAATTTATATTTTTTAAAACTATAATGATCACAGTTTGATATTGGAGAACCATGCCAGCGTCCAGAATATCCTATATATTTAAATATATTATTTTATGTTTGTACTCACAAGGTTCAAATAAAATTTGAACCCAAAACAATGAAAAGATTAACCTAAGCATGTAACATGGCAAATTGGAAACAAACAGTAGAGCAGTAAATGTCCTAATTTAAAGCTATCAGACAATGATTCTATATTTCTATGTTTAAACTGCAAAATGAAGAATGACCAGCATCTCAAATACATTGACAGTACAGGTTAATGAACTGGAAACTTGATGAAACAGTCAACTGAACAAAAAAATGCAACTCTTTTTCAATGGAATGTGTTACTATAAATAAAAGATAATCAAGGTAGTATGAAGTATTATAATCCTTTTAACAGATATATAAAGATACTACACTGATTGGCAGTCAATCTTGAGAAAGCTTGTTAAAAACTACAGCAATAAATTGAAAACTGGAGTAGAATGATGGATGTATACTTTTGTGATGGTAAGAAATTGAAAACTAGGAAGGTACTAGATAAGCTCTTCAATATTGAAAAAATAAGTAAGAAATCTACAGCAATATACCTGAGATTCAAAATCTAGTGAAGTGTCATCAGTGACCATCACAGGTGCCAGTTTCAAAGCATCCTCAGGAGGTTGTTCATGTTGGCTATTCCTCGAACCAACAATTGGTGAAGAATCAGCTGCAGAATTTTCTCTCAGCCCCTCTCCTGCAAAATTATTAACTAACCTGTCTTTAGAAGAACCATGGTGACTGCTTCTTGAAGAATCACCTCTCCTATGTGTTCGATCACGAGTTGATTCGCCAAGCTTTCCAGCTGTGATGATTTCAGTTAATTCAGACTGTGAAGGTTCAAGAACAGGTTCATTTGGTAGTTTCTGCACCATAGGAGAAATATAAGAAACATAAGCAGGCAGACAGAAATGGTGGCAAAATTTGTAGTGGTGACAGCAGATGGACCATATTTTATCACCTGATCTTCCTTTGAACTTGTACTTTTTTGCATCTCCTTGGCTTGTTTGGATGGGAATGGTTCTGTAATATTACGTGCATCAACATTTCTAGCTTTGTTATTCAAACTCTCTATTTTCTCTATTAATGCCACATTCTTCTTAATGACAGGCTGCTGATCAGGAACAACTGAATTATCTTCCTTGAACTTCTTCCGGAGAGTACCATCATCAGCTTCCCGGGGGTGGGAATGTACATTTTCTGGAATAGATAAATGGCTTGTACCAGCTGGACCTCTATGGTCAGGTGCTGACTTCATAAGGATCCTATTCTTCTCATTAAAGGATTCTCTTATATCTGACCTCTTGTTCACATCAATCCTATTTCCATTTGGATGTGGAAGAAGTGGTGGTGCAGGTTGAGCATTCCTCTCGACTTCACGGGGACCTCTTAAGTTATCATGCAAAATCCTAGGCTGTCCTCGCTGGATAACATGTACTCTATCAGATTCGAAATGCTCATTGGGAGCTGTTTCATGTTTGCCAGGTCTGTTCTGAGGATGTCCAGGATGGAACTTCTCGTGCTGGTTGGGGAATTGATTTAATATTCCAGGTTGATGAGGACCTCCAACAAAAGGTGGATCTCTCACATTGGGATTGTTGAAATTTGCTCGCGGAGGACCATAATATCCGTCGTAAGACATTGGACCTTGGTAAACTGGTCTAACTGGAATGACAGGCTGGTTCATCATGTAGGAACTAGGAGGCACAGAAAGATACGCGTCTCCATTTTTAGGTTGATATCCACCGTGTCCTGGGCCCTGCCTTGCTGCTGCTTCTGAGCTGGGCTGGAACTGACCATAATAAGCGAATGGTTCAACAGGGAAACCACCACCAGGGGGGCCTAGTGGTCTGTATGGCCCACCTGGTGCTGCTCCTCTGTGCCACATTCCATCAGGAGGATGACCTGGAGGCGCATGCCATGAATCAAAATGTGGTGGGGCCACACAAAAGTTGCCAGGGTAAGGCTGTGGCTGCTGAGCTTTGTTTGGCAGACTTGTACCCGGGAAGGGAGCACCTCCATCATACACATGCTGATCTGTCTTTATGTTATCCGCAGACTGGCTATTGGAGGACAATATTTCTTCAGCAGGTCCTAGCACACAAAACATTACCAACCACACAGTAAGGCAATTGAAAGTTTCCAACAGCAATGAGCATTATCATCGATGAAAAAGCAATTTAATTAGTAATACCAGCTGTTATGCTCTTTCCTTGTTCATTTTGCGCTGTCTCTTTACCAGAACTAGAAGTCGGGCGGCCCTTAGAGCTATGACCTAGAATAAAAGGATGTAAACTGTAAAGAGAACATTCGCACATCAACGCATTCGTAAAAATACTGCAATTGGCCAAAATAGTTCTGTTCTAATGGCAATAGCTTTTGTCTATGTTCCACATGCTCAATATAGTTAAGAATTTAACATGCTAAGTCAGAGAGCACAATGTTATAAATCCAAAAGAAAAATAACAAGAGACATCTTACGATGCAGATTACCTCGTTGACTGTTTGACTCGGAGCCAAGTGTTGGGAAATCACCGGTACTTAGAGTAAACCCATGTCCATGTGATGAAGATCCCTGCATAGTTCAGATCAATAATATGAAAAACATGTTACATCCCAGCCAGTTATAATAGGTTTTGGTGTGGTTATTACCGATTTGTCAATAGTTCTTATTGATACTTTCATATTCTCTGAAGAATTGTCTGCAAACCGGGAAAGTTGTGAGCTTCCTGGTCTTGTCTCTGCACTTCGAGGACGATTTGTTGTTGTTTGTAAATGATTGGATGGAAGTGTGCCCGATGCTGTCGATGGTCGAGAACTTGAACCCCAAGCATTAGGTGAGTCAAGGGATTCACTACCAGCTGTGGAAGGTCTTGATCCTCCACCAGAAGACGGTCGGCCATTAAAGTGGCTGGGTGAATTGGAACTTCCATCATTCTTGGGAGAAAGGAGTGAAGAGGAATTCCATGCATTTGGGGTTGTAGGTGTGGGTTTGCTACCCCATGTAAGGGTGCCCCTAAAATACATACCATAAACACATCACAATAGCAATCACAAGAAACATCGAGAACTCCAAATAAGCATATTGCATATCTAAAAATATTAAATCATAAGCAAGTGATAAGTATAACAAAGAGGGCTGCTTACTTTGGAACAATTTCCACATTGGGGTCAAGACCATGATTTTCCAACCTTCATGAGGAACTCGTGAATCAGTTCACATATAAACAAATCAATAAAGTCAAGTTATGGGTAGGCCAGATAGAAATCGAATACCTCTGACTTGGCAAATTAATAGGTTTTGGAATTTTTCCAAGAACGGTCATGCCAGATTTCCTTGCAGGGGCAGCCCATCTGCAAAATGTATCAAAGAATGAAGTATAGAGTACCTCATCTGCTTAAATGCTGACGTAACCATGTACTCCCTCCGTTCAGCTATATAAGGTGAGTTTTCTTTTTGCACGTAGAACAATGATCCAGCAGAAAGGACTAAACTGCCCCCAATTAGTGCCTTAATTACATACATGCAACTTCATAACTCCTACCGCGAAAACTACTATGGCACGCATGCACATTCAATGCAATAACTATGAAGCCAAAACAACTGCATGCATTTCATCGCAAAGAGCCAGATCCTCACGTCAAAACAGAAACTAAATTGTCATTTGAAGTATTAAATGCTATGCTGCAGAACCAAGTTAGCAGGGGAAATGGAGCAAAAAAAATATTACTCTGAAAATAGTGTGTGCCTTATATAGTTGAACATGCATACAAGTAAACCATGCCTTATATAGTTGAATGGAGGGAGTAACAATTAAAGGAACTACCTTGAGTACACAAGCATAAAAGGAATACTATTGAAAAATAAAATAAAATATACAGTCTTGAATGGTAAACTGATGGCGCATAATCATCTACTATGCAAAGAAACCGCGGGAATACCCAAAGGCGTTTTAGAAAATGCCATCAACAAAGAAGCACATACACAAGAAATGATGATTTCATTTAAATCGCATGAATAATTGTGTCTGAGACCAAAAATCCAAACGACAGCAATATGCCAAATCGTGCTTGACGACATATGTCACAACAAATCTTCCAACTTTACGTAAAAGCCACTTGACCAAGGCGCAAAAGTGAAATCAGTAGACCTATAGAACTGGACAGTTGGATAGGCTTTGGAATTCCTCAGACATGCTTACTGCGAATGGACGAAACCTAACATGGTACGAAACCTCAGTTATCGCAAACTTCATGCATGCACGTGTACAACACACGTATGCCAACACTGAACACTGCACATTTCTAAATTGTCCACACTGAATAAATACTAAGTAGAACACTCTGTTCATAGACGAATAGATAACTACAATCATTTTCTTAAATATCATTCTCATGCCACCACACTGGTAAAACCATCTTCTGAACATCTCGCAACCGTTGCCCATTGCCCCCACAAACACTAGATCGGACCAATCCACCCAAAGAACACATGACCTATATTACACACCACCAGAAACTACTATCCACACAAATCAAACGAAACCAAAGCTTCATATACCAGCATAAGTGACACCCTATCAAACCGGTGGTAAATAATCTAAAATTTTCCTATAATTTCAGGCTATTACACAAACATAACCAAACTCTCCGTTCGCAACAATGCACAGATTTCTACATGCCCAACCCATCCAACATCCCGCTCGCGACGATTAAAAATAAAAAATTAAATTGAATCGCCCGACCGCACGAGGGCGGCGGCTCGGGGCGGGTGATGAGGGATCGCGAACCTCTTGTCCGTTGTGAGCAGGCTCGACGCCATAGCTCCTCCTCCTCCTCCTCGTCCTCCTCGCCTATAGGGAGCTCGAATTCCGGGGGTACCGCCCAAATCGAGCGCAGCCAACCTCCGCGCCGCGCCCCCCCTTCACCGCCGAGCCCGGGGAGATCGGATCTCCAGCGACGCCGCGGCCCCCCTCCTCACCGCCGAGCAGCCGAGGGGGTGTACGAAACCCTAGGCCTCGTCCTGAGACTGGGCTCCCAACCTCGGATCAGCGCGCCTACAGGACCGGAGCGGCGGCGGCGGCGCCGAGGCGGAGGAGGAGCAACGGGCAGAGCCCCCCTCGGAGCCCCTGCCGGCCGGCGACCGGGAGCGGCGGCGGCGGCGGCGGCGGCGGAGGTGGATGGCAGGTGGGCCCCACGCGTCAGAGGGGAGACGGCGACGGGATGAGAGAGAGAGAGAGAGAGAGAAGGGAAGAGAAGAGAAGATGGGAGGAGGCGTTCGTGAGAGCGATATAATAATAATAAAAGGGAGGGGGGACGCGTGGCGGGGCGTGACTGGGTGGGGCTCGTGGGCCCACCCTGTCAGTCCGCGACCGGACGCGTGGCGGGATTTGAGTGGAGGTGGTTTTCGGTGTTTGGTGTGGCTACGCGGCGTAGATGATCCTGATGTTTCGTGTCGTGCGAGCCAAGGATACATGCGTATATACAGCTAGCAACGGGCAACGGCAAAAAGAAAAAAAGAAAGAAGAGAGGCAATTGCAAATTTACTACTCCCTCCGTTTCAAAATATTTGACACCATTGACTTTTTAGCATATATTTAACCGTTCGTCTTATTAAAAAAATTGTGAAATATGTAAAATTATATGTGTACATGAAAGTATATTTAACAATAAATCAAATGATATAAAAAGAATAAATAATTACTTAAATTTTTTGAATAAGACGAGTAGTCAAACATGTACTAAAAAGTCAACGGTATCAAATATTTTGAAATGGAGGGAGTACTACTTTGAATCGTTATCATAAAACTGTCACTAGAAAATTACAAAAATGCCACTAGAACTGTCATTCAAGTGGCATCCTTGTAATATTGAAAAAACATGTGGTAAATTTGCAAATGCCTCAAGAAAAGAGGCAATTGAACTCGATCTCCGGTTCGTATTTTCTTCTCGATTTTAAATCTTATTATTCTTGGCATTAACGGCATACCCTAAATAGTACTTCTTCCGTTTCATATTATAAGACTTTCTAGCATTACCCACATTCATATATATGTTAAATGAATCTAGACATATATGTGTGTCTAGATTCATTAATATCTATATAAATATGGGCAATGCTAGAAAGTCTTATAATTTGAAACGGAAGTAGTATTATATTTGTGGACCCGAAATTATTTTCAAGTAGTATTATATTTGTGGACCCGAAATTATTTTCATAACTGATGTTCTTTTGTCGCAAGAAAATTAGAGGATATAAACTTTCAAATTTTCACCCGTCGGATATGTGTTATGGATGATCCTGTTGGAATGACGGGCGCTATCCCCCACTGTGGTACAACACATTTGTTGAGTTACAAGGCAATTATATTCAAATTATATCAAATTTATAATTACATTATATATAGTTATGCATAAAAGTTTTTTTTGGAGAGAATTTCTATATAAAGATATATGTAGCTAATCCCATTATTTTTAGCTCAAGCAAAACAAATTTGCCATAAATTTGACTCATCCAACATAAAACATACATGGGAATTAAGATAGGATTTTCCCGAGCAGCTGAACAAGGATGAGCCAAGATTGGATGAGAGAATTAGATTTGGGAAACGGTCTCCACTAGGCGTTCGAGCCAAAAAGAAAAACCGAATGCCCCTGCGTCCGTTGCCCTAGCAAACGAACTCCCTTTGCATCGTCCTGAAAAGCGATGTCATCATCGAGCCACAGCTGCAAACCTACACATTTGCATGACCCTCATGTGGCATAAGCTCTAGCTTCCTCCTTGGCCTACTAATTATCTACATGGGGCCAATCGGCTGCAGCGTCGACATGTGAGCGCCAAATGACCAAGGGACTTGACCACCAAGCACATGGTTGTCGTAGCGGAGAGCTGAGATGCACTGGGATAGGAGAGAAAGATGACGAGTGTGGAGGTAGGTGCAAAGGTGGCCGTTGATAGGAGAGAGGATAGGGAGATGAAGGGATATGGGGACATGAGGAATTGAGGATAGCAAGAGAAGTGAAGTGGGATCATCCGGGCTGGTGCCTTGGGCATCTCCGGCGCACATTTTGTTTCTAGAGGGTCCTGACGCTTCCACGAGTGTGGGAAGTCTAAATCCGACCGACCATCATAGTGAAGGAAGAAGTTGGGTCCAATCGCCGAAATAGAGAATAAAGGTGAATCAAGCCACTAATAGAATGATAAGTTGGACGGTACTCACGGTATGTTGTGGTTGGAGCTTAACGATTTTGTTGCAATATGATGAATAGCCAATATAATGGCTTCAGTAATGAATATGGCACTCCAATGGTAGTAAAACTAACACAAAATACGTACATTAGAATAATTTTATGTACTTTCATGTTTTTACAATAAATCTATCTACTAAATTATGGACAAAGCAACTCATTAGTTAATTGGCATGATCCATGCTATGCAATTAAAGATAAACCTTTTCCTTTGGCCACCTAAGAGCAAGTTTAATAGTATAGCCCACTACTAGCTCTAATTCATCTATAGCCAATTTAACAGCCAATTCATCTAATAAGTGCTTACTATACTATTAATATATGGTCTCACCTGTCATACACACATTGCGTCTTGGAGTCCGCGCTGCAGCTGGCTACAGATTTGTACCTTGCTGCTCTTCTCTCTTATCTTTTATCTCATTAAAATATGTTTACGGCTGACTAATAGCCTGCTATTGTACCTACTCTAAAGAGAGTCATCTACAACTTGGGTAAAGGTGTGGGACCCAGATATAATTGAATTTAGCTTGCTAATGACGTGGTCAAGCAATTGCTCCATCGTATCTAGACAGGAAGCTATAAAGGAACTTCGATGAGAAACACTCATCACCTGATGCACTTTCCTTTTCATGCATGCATCTAATTAAGCATCTTTTTACTACTAGCTTTCTTGTAAAGTTATAATCTGAAACTAGGCAACAAAAACCTTTGTCTGATCGTTTGGTTTTAAATTTGCTCTAAACCGATCACATGAGAGGTAAGAGCTAGCTCTTCTCTTCACGGGAACCATCTCATCATTCACATAGCAACCTGCGAAAATGGACAGTATGTGCTTTCTTGGACTTTTTGTAAGCAGGTACTGTTACTACAATTAATCAAGAGACCCAACCTGATTTTTTGCTTTTATGGAGGACACTTTATTGATTTGTGGGCTAGCCAACAAAGAAGTGAATGATGCCAACTTATCAAATTAAGGAACTTCTTTATAGGTAACAACATGTCAACATATCATGCCTGCAAACAGTGAGCCGCTAAAAAGGTACAAGCACTAATTCATGTCTTCCATGGAGCAATTTTTGCAAATGGCATGATTCTTTGCTGTTGGAGTGTATAAAGTGAATTGCCCGCTTTTTCCTATCAGCTTAGGCTTTTAGATGCAACTGGCTGATGCATGCAACTTAATATGGTATCAGAGTCAGAGGTCTCGAGTTCGAATCCTGGCTGGCGCGCAATTAAAAAAAATAATTGCAGCCCACTCCAATATTCCACGCTTGAGACTTGAGGGGGTCTCGCGTGAGGGGGAGTGTTGGAGTGTATAAAGTGAATTGCCCGCCTTTTCCTATCAGCTTAGGCTTTTAGGTACAACTGGCTGGTGCATGCAACTTAATATGGTATCAAAAAACGGTGGCCGCCCCCGAGAGGAGATCAGAACCCTCCCGGGGGCGACAGCGGCGGAAGCGTGAGAGAGGCGATGCATGCAACTTAATATGGTATCAAAAAACGGTGGCCGCCCCCGGGAGGAGATCAAAACCCTCCCAGGAGCGACAGCGGCGGAAGCATGAGAGAGGCGATGCATGCAACTTAATATGGTATCAAAAAACGGTGGCCGCCCCCGGGAGGAGATCAGAACCCTCCCGGGGGTGACAGCGGCGGAAGCGTGTGAGAGGCGATGCATGCAACTCGATGCATGCAACTTAATATGGTATCAAAAAACGGTGGCCGCCCCCGGGAGGAGATCAGAAACCTCCCGGGGGCGATAGCGGCGAAAGCGTGAGAGAGGCGATGCATGTAACTTAATATGGTATCAAAAAACGGTGGCCTGGCGATGCATGCAACTTAATATGGTATCAAAAAACGGTGGCCTGGCGATGCATGCAACTTAATATGGTATCAAAAAACGGTGGCCGCCCCCGGGAAGAGATCAGAACCCTCCCGGGGGCGACAGCGGCGGAAGCGTGAGAGAGGCGATGCATGCAACTTAATATGGTATCAAAAAACGGTGGCCGCCCCCGGGAGGAGATCAGAACCCTCCCGGGGGCGACAGCGGCGGAAGCGTGAGAGAGGCGACTAGATCGCCCGCTCGATACCATGTTGGATAGTATAGGAGAGGTATACTGCGTAACGTGGGACTCATTGTATTGAGCCTTGGGGGATACCATGTTGGATAGTATAGGAGAGGGTGGCCGCCCCCGGGAGGAGATCAGAACCCTCCTGGGGGTGACAACGGCGACAATCCTCGGGAGGAGATCAGAACCCTCCCGGGGGCGACAGCGGCGGAAGCGTGAGAGAGGCAACTAGATCGCCCGCTCTGATACCATGTTGGATAGTATAGGAGAGGTATACTGCGTAACGTGGGACTCATTGTATTGAGCCTCGGGGGATACCATGTTGGATAGTATAGGAGAGGTATACTGCGTAACGTGGGACTCATTGTGTTGAGACTCGGGGGGCCGATATATATAGGAGTACATGGGGAGGAGATAATGAAGGATTACAGACATGGAAGGAATCCAAACAAACAAATCCTATCCTAATATAACTCTAACTACCATATACTCTAACATTTGCATTAAAGAAAGAGCAAATTATTCCCTTCCCAAAAAAAGAAAGAGCAAATTATTACCAATACAGAATAATTTTACAGAAATATTGGAAGTGAAAAGATTTGCCATTGCCGCAAATGAATCAATTTGGAAATATATATGTAAAAATTGAACTGAAGAGATTGACGATCTAGGAATCAAATTTAGTTCAAGCCATCGAAATGAAGTTCATGAGAAAAAAAAAACAGATCGTTTGTTGCAATTGAAATAGAGCAAGAGAAAGACAAATGCCCCCATCGATTAACTAGGAGTTGATTATAAGCTAAATCGGCTTTATTAGCGATAAAAAATAATTTATAAGTAAAATTTTTATATACGTATTTTAGTGACTTAAAAACCAATATTAAAAATGCACATTAAAAATACTTGAAATCAGTTCTAAAGTTAAGTTTTAAGGCTTCTTTATTTTTCTTGACACTTTCAATGTTAACCGATAGGGCAACAAACTAAACATATTCTTACCAATGTCACCGTAGCAAATTTTGATAATTCTTTAAGTCTCCCCCTTGAAAATTCTACCAAAATTTGGCTTTAACTAAAACATATCCTAGCACCACCGAAACTCAGTAATGCCGAATGTGCCAAAATTTAACATTACCAAATTGAACATTCACTATTAGGCCCGAACTCACGATATGTCACCTAGATATTACCTATACATTCGTCAACAAATTTTCTTTTTAAAATTTAACAAATATAATTATAATACAATTGTGGTGTAATTACATTGTTACTTTTAAAAATCCCTCCATAATATTCTATAATTACATGTGTCGACAAATATACAATTGTGGGGCTATGTCTCCTCGTGTAAGCCCAATTTCAGAGAGCCAGAGGCCCATGGGCCAAATTTTCTCTTGGGCTGGGCCTCTCTACTCCGGCCCATAAACATCCCATCGGCCATCTCTGCAACGCCTCCTCCCCATGCGCCGCAGCTTGACGACGCCGCCGCCGCCGCTCTCGTCCCCTCCCGCCCGTGCGCCGCCGCCACCGCCACCGGCAATCTCCCCCTCCCCACGGCGACCGCCGTGGCAGTCACAGGTACACCCCTCCCCGTCTGCGCCCTTTTCTGTCCCTGCTCCTCCTCTTCCTCCGATGACGACGGACGAAGAGCTGGTAAGGCCTCAGGCTAGCGGGGCCAAGAACATGGGATTCGCCAAGTTCGATTCCATGTCGGAGCTGCACTGCAAGATTCCCACTGTCCTAGTTCATTGGGGGCTTGGCTTGATGGTTAGGTTAACCTTCGTTTTCAGATCGATGGTTGGTCTGGTGTGGGGAAGTTTTCAGATCGATGGTTGGTCTGGTGTGGGGAAGAATGCCCGGCAGGGCGATTGGTTGTGGTAGAATTGGATATTTTTGTGGGTTAACTAGAGGTTTGATCTTTTTTTTTTGGTTACATGTTTTCAGTGACTGGTTCAGAGACTGAAGAGTGGGTGGAAGGAGATGCCTTCGATTCAAAAGGCTTTGCCTCCAGAGCTTGCTGATAATGTGATCAGAGTAAGTCTCAGTTCTGCGTTACGCCTTTTCCGATCGACGACATCAACACGACCTGTGTGTGGTGATGAGCAGTCAGTCCTGAATTTTTACATGTATGGTTGGATCAGTTCTATAGTCAGTCCCAAATTTTCTTACATGTATGGTTATTGGTTTGAGCAGCTCTATAGTCAGTCCCGAATTTTCTTACATGTATCATCTATGGTTATTGGTTTGAGCATTTCTATAGTCGGTCCCTAATTTCTACATGTATGGTTCTTTGGTTAGAACAGTTCTACAGTCAGTCTTGTAAATGTTTTACATGTATAGTTAGAGCAGCTCTATCAGTGAATCACCCTAAAACTTTACAAAAGCTTTTCCAAAACATGTCTGTCATGCCCGTGTAGCCTGATTTTTCGTTGTGTTTATTTATGAGATACCATTGCAATGAAATGAAATAATGTCAGATGAGGCAAAAATGTCATTTGCTGTTGAACATTGTTTTTTTTCATGTTGTAGCTGTACCGTGAATGCTTAAGGAGGGCCAGGTTCATTGGGCATCAGGTACACATATTTGGTTTTCACTTTTCCATCTTATTATCTTGTGTTGCGTGTACTCTTTCTGAACACATATCAACTCGCAGTTCTCTACCAAGTAAGGGTGTGTTCGGATGAGCAGGTCAGGATCTGCTCATCCCAGCACGCAAAACGAAATGGCTCATTAGCGTATGATTAATTAATATGATTTTTAAAGCCACTTTCCTATAGAAAATTTTTGCAAAAAAAAAAACACACTGTTTAGTGGTTCAGAAGTGCGCGCGTGGAAAATGAGGGAATATAAGCTGGGAAATGGTAGTGCCGAATGAAGCCTAAAAAGTATAATTATCCCATTTTCAGCTCATCCTTTAGACTTGTATTCCAAATGGAATTTTGGGATACTTTCCTTTGTTTTCTTTTCAGAAATCTGTCTAATTATCCCATTTTCACTTCATCCTTTAGACTTGTATTCCAAATGGAATCTTGGGATACTTTCCTTTGTTTTCTTTTCAGAAATCTGTCTAATTATCCATTTTCAGCTCATCCTCTAGACTTGTATTCCAAATGGAATCTTGGGATGCTTTCCTTTGTTTTCTTTTTAGAAATCTTATCTAATGAACTGATGCTTTTCTGGAAAAATCACATAGTAATAAGGATTATTATTATTTTTAGGTACTTCATATTGATCTCCATAAAATGTAGATGAAAGATGCAACCGGTTAATCTTTTATAAAGTTTGCAAGATTCATGAGAGTCAGGTACACAGTGTGCAATAAAATCCGGCAAACCTAAGATTAAGAACTCTTTCCTTTTTCTTTTCCTGATTTTATGGGATATCTTGTATCAACTTGCACATGTTTTTTCCTGACTGAATTGTCATGTCTTGTAACTCAGAAACACAATACGGGGCTTATTGTTTCAATGGTAAGGGAGCAGTTTAAGAAAAACATGCATGAAACTGATCCAGAGAAGATACAGAAAATGAAGGATGAGTAAGTTACTTCTCTTTCCACACCATTGTTTGGATGATACTTCTTATCGTTTGGTACTTTATATTGTTTGTACATATCTTCTAATTGATTCTTGCTGTGCAGTGCGGCAAGGGGCCTTATCAATCACATTTTGTATGAATCTGAGAAGATGACAGGACGCAAATTTTCAAGTTAAGAAATTTGGAACTAGACAATCAGTGTGCTGTATGAATAATAGTAAACAGTGATGTGATCTTGTGGTTGCTGAATTACTTTGTTTTTTTTTTGGCACAAGGATCAACTAATCCTTTGATGGGTCATTGAGTTATTAAGGTGGTTGTTTTCTTTGGTTTCATCTACTGTGGCTCTTGACTCTTGAGGTGTTTCACCCAAGCTTGCAATATGCTACTTGGGCAGGTCATCTTGAAACCTGGAAATATGAATCTTCAGTGATTGATAATGCTTTCTTTCAGAAATCAGATCCATAATAATTTATAGTCCTTTCTCCTGTGATCCATCGAATATTGAAACTTTGCACAGCTACTGTGTATGCTGATCGATCAACTTGAGTATGATGTGTTTTGCTCGTGTTTCCTGGTTCCATCTCCATGGAACAGAACTACACCCACAACTTGCAATAGTGCAAACTGTAAGCATTCATGGCGATGGTTTTTTGGAACGTAGTTTTATGGATCAAAATTCTGGGAGCATCTGGAGCTTTCTGAGGATCCCAGGTGGTAGTCTGTAGTATGGAAACAGTTTATACAGTGAAAAAGCTTGCAAATATGAAATGCATCTTTGTCAGAAATATGATATATGATTGCATTGTGCTCACTGTTCAAAACTGAGTAGTGTTATCCTTTCATTCTCTCGTACAAATGTTGAGCAATCTCTTCAGAGTTCAGTTTCATCAGTTCTACAGGCCACAGAGGCATTTCAGCCGTTCTTTTCCTCCAACAAGAAACAACTAGTCCAGGCTTGACTTACTGGAGTGACACAATTCATTCCAATTATTCAGTGTCACATCTGTAGATTTCTGGATGTTCTGCCTGTCTCTTATCACCTAACATGCCTTTGGATCTGCTATCTGAACTTTTTGATTGATCCATCTACACCCTCTATAGGAATTGTCACATTGCTATCAACAATCTGAAAAAAAAAAGGTGAGATAAAACCAATGGCAATGCATCAAAGTAGATGGAAGAGGCATGTAGGAAAGGAACTGATCAGGGATGATGAATTCAGAGACGCCTGGAGAGAAAAGGAGCTTTGGCCTGTCAAAATGGGACCATTTCTCAGGGAATTCCCTGCTGGGTGTGACACACTACTTACTGTCTGCAGATCAAATGATGGTGAAAGAACACAAAGAACAATGCCTCCTTGTGCACACAATTCTCATCCAGCCATCAGCTATGGACCTCAAGAGATGGATCATTCTGCCTGAACTTTTCTCCGCTGCGCCGATGAATTCCAGCCACTACTCTCTTGACCCCCCACTCTCATCATTCAGAGGGTTCTTGTGGTTGGGATCACCCCTTGTCCATCTTTCCAGCACAGTTTCATCACCTGTGGAAGCAATCCTGGGTTACTAGTCCCGGCTCACGGGTTGTCGGGGAAATCATCCATCGGTCACGAAAAAGGCGACCATGATTGTCGACAAACGGGGTGTCGTTTCGCCCAGCGGCATGACAGGGTAGCAGCTCCTATGATCCTATCTATGATCTCAACCTCCCTCAGCTAGCATGCTGATGAATGAATTCTCTGGAGGTCAATGCTTCAGGGCCAATGCAGTGTGCTTTCTAAAGCTGAAATAATGGCTGCAGTTGAAGAAGGAATGTGGCTGTAAGGCACCCTCTCTTCCCTTTCTACCTACTGCAGGCATGTGTTGGAGGTTCTTCTCTTTGTTTCTTTCATCAGATAGAACTTCACTAGAAAGAGCTGCATCTTGATATTGGCATCTTCCCCTCTATAGTAAGTAGTAACATGAACAAGTACAGTCAGAGACAGTAGCTGCACTTGGTTTTCCAGCTTGCAGCTCTCAAGTACCCTGCAACTGAGTACAGAAGTACAGACATAATGTGTAGCTGCACTTGGTTTTCCAGCTTGCAGCTCTCTAATGTGTATCATACCTGATGTCCTTTACCAGCAAATTACTGACTGAAAAATCAGCAGTGGATGTCCTGTAAGTAGACTCAGACAATTGGCATGTCCCTATGCAAATATGCAATCATCTTTCTGTCAAAATCAGTCATGTGTCATCTTATCTTGTTTTTTCGCATGCGCATTGGTGATGAAGTTCTTGAGTCTAGAATTTGTTGGATCAAGACCAACTCTATATTGCATTATTGTGCCGACTTTAGTTTCTCATTGGATTTAACGTGATTCACGCCAGCGCCGACTATTTTGAAAGAAACTTATATTCTGAAATACTCCCTCCATCTACTTTTGATAGTCATATTTCATCTTGGCACACAGACCAAGGATAAGTAATTCTACTTATCATCCATTTAAATATGCTACTAGTCATTCCTCGTAAATAAGCGATTCATTAATATCTACATTTCTCAATGCCCATGTAGCCAATCATGTGTGGAAAAATAAAGAGTCATGCATTAAATCCAAGAAAGTCATTAAGATGATAAGTTGTTGGATTGAAATATGCCTATCAAAAATAAATTTTTCAGATTTGAAAATTTGACTATCAAAAGTAGATGGAGGGAGTAGATCATAACATTCGGTATAGGTCTTTGAAGCATGTCAGTTCTTAGGACAATTGTATCATCTTGATGTAATTGACTGAGATCAATAAAAAAAACTTTCATTATCTTAAAGAAAAAGGAAACATATCATGGTCATGACGCTTAAAGAGAAGCTACAAATCACATCGTTGCCACAAATCAAGGAAGAAAAGTCATCTGGAAACTAGTTACATCGCAATAGCTTGAGATTTTATAGCACAACTTTATACATCGGTTATACACAAGTCTCAATCACCAATCAAGCTTGAGGTTTTCTTCAGTTCAGAAAATGAATAAAGCTATTGAAATGTTCTTTAAATATCAAGATTTATGCTTGTTGCTGCTCACTAATGCATATAGCTAACAAAATGTGTCCAAATTCTAGAGGGAAATTGGGCCAACTGAGTTTCATATGTTAACTAGTAATAACTTAAGAAACTTCATCTCTGATAGAAGAATACGAGTATACAGCACTCGTATTTGATATTTCAGCTCAACACACAAGCATAAAGGATGCCAACTATAATCCTGTTTCTTTTAAAGAATTAATGAATACAAATAGTTTTCAGTATGAATCATCCACAAGTTCTGACAGGAATTTAGCAAATGAAACTCAAAAGGTTACCAAGTAGTCACTCTAATATTCTGGTAGTTCAGAGATTACACATATGGTGCTCCAAATCAGGAAATACACCAAAAAAAGAGGAAGGGGTGATATACTAGGCTAGAGATATACATAAACATTCTCATAGACTCATACTTGATACTTGATCATAAGACATCATATAACCGTACGCCATAGTTATACAGAAATCATTAGTATAGCTGATTTCAGGTAGTTGCATAGCTCATATGAGCAGTGCATCATTCTTGCTTCACTTTGGTGTTGATCCTTCGCCCAACTTGGACGATCGGGTCTCACCGGTCCTTGGGCTGCCTCTTCCTCCTAGAGGGCTGCGGTCATGCCTCAACTCGGTGATACAAGGGCTGTATGCCCTCTCAGAGATACAAGGGCTGCGGATTCCTTTAAGTTCTGCCACTGGTGTGCCACCGGAGCTGGTGATCTTAGGACTGTTCAGGCGCTTGATTTCACCACGGCTTCTAGTGACAATGTCATCAAGGATTTCTGCACTCTGGGTGCGCGCCAATGCAACATCAATATCTTGCTGAAATGCACAATGTTGAGCATGGTTAGTGTCAAGCATTTCCACATGTTAAGATCTACACATCAGTTTAAAGACTAGCAAGTGCTATTTTGGTGAACAAGTTGAAGATACTTGTCAGATATAACAAGTATTTCTGAACTCACCGCGGCAATGAACGGTATAGCTGGTGACTCCTCATACTCTGCTGCATCCAGATCAGTCAGATGTGCACCTTTGAAGAGCTTTGGGAGGATGTACTGCCTGACTGGAACCAGCAGCATGATCATGAGGGGGAAAAGAACCCCAGCAATCGGGATCCATGTGATCCCGAAGCAGACGAGTAGATACATTGTCTGGAAGAGTGTGAACATGGCTATCGTCTTGAATGGCACGGTCTCGACAAACGTGGTGTGGTACTCTTCTAACACCCTGTAAACATTGGTAAATGGTAAGCATTTTAATCAGGTGAAGGAACAGAGTTAATGCACTGAATCAAGATGAAACTTACTTGTATCTTCTGCTGGGAGCAGTGAAGAGCAGCAAGATCCTCTCCCAGAACTGGTTACCAGGCAAGCTCTCAATGGCCATGAAGGCGAAGTAGCCCCAGAGGACAGAAGTCGGGATCTTCTTGAGCAATGGCATAGCAGCAACACAACCCCCAACCATTGTGGCCTGGAGCAAGTTGCTCAACCTCTGCTCCTTGACCTCGATAGGCAGCAGGTCATCGATTTCTTTCTCGATGTCAAAGACTGTCTCATCAACTGGCGCATCGATGTTGCCCATGCTTGAAGCCATTTGGACTGTTGAGTCCTTGAGCTCATTCAATCCCTACATATTATACAAAATTGAGCACTAATTCCACATACAAGAACTAGATATCCTTTGTACAGACTATGAGGAAATAGTTTTGTCAGATATTGTGCATACCTTGACTGACGGTTGCTGGTAAATCAGTGGTGTCTGCATCTGCTGGTAAGCTTCCTGCATGCTGCCATACAGCTGGCTCAAGCTCGCATTCTGGCTCATGCTTTGTCGGGCTGTGGCTACTAGTCGGTTACGGAGTAGCTGCAGAAATAATCATGTCATGCAAATGAGAAATTTAACTGTACTATATTAACAAAATTTATCCCATCTTACTTGATGTTTGAGAGTAGCCAAACTCTTCGTATGCATTGGAGACTGTGGAATGACACCATTCGCCGGAGGGATACCAATAAGGCCACACAATAATGTCTGTTGTTCAACAGAAGTGGCCAAAATAAGATAATTATTCAAGATGGATTGAAATTGTTATTAAAAATTATGGTCATATATGTGCATACCAGGAAACCCAGGAGAAGCAAATCATAATGGAAAGATGGGGGCTTCCTCAAATTGAACTCCTTCTGCTGAGCAAGCTGAGAAGCAACACTGTGATCGAAGTAGTACAGGACGGCTATCATCGTTGCTGGTATGAAGGCACCAATAATGTAGAGGAGTGGCACATTTGGCATGTCCTGCTCATTTTATTGACATTGGAGAAATAATTAATAAGGAGTGATGTTTCACTTGAAGACTGAATATAATTATTTTTTGGTGTCAAACTGTCAATGTACCCTGATGACT